GCAAGCACTACTACACGGCACATGCACACTTATTCAACATTAACTCGGAATACCTACACACGGCCATACCATCATATATATATAACAAGATGATACAACGAAACCTAATGTATAAACAATAAGAATGTATATAGAGACGACATCTACACCTCTATTTCCCTAAATAAGAGCTTAATATGGTCACGGGACTGTTATACAACCCGGATATGGTTAAAGCCGTTGTAGATAAACGATCTACCGTAGACTATATCGCTAAATACTTTATATATTGCGATCACAGCTGCAGATACAGAGAAGAAGCGCACCTTCACATCTATAATATTAACCCAGATTATAGTGATATCGCACTAACACCGGATTAACACAGTCTATTACCAGACTACGAGAATAGAGATTGTCAATGGGACCTATGGCCCTACCGACACCTACTAAAAAACTTGTAGGCACTGACCTGAAGAGGCTAGATCAGTTGCTAAAGTTGCCTTAGACAACTACTGGATTATACCTGATCCTGTCGGATATCCGGAAAGAGCATCTCGTCTTCAAGGCACAGCTCGCTGGAGTCGACATCAGAGTTATGATCGATAGTGGCGCTAATAGTAACTACGTTAGTAAAGAAATAGCTAAGCGACTAGCCAGGTATCAACGAAAGAAACCACTACCCTATACCCTGTTAATGGCTGATGGCAGGACGGCTGGGATGGTATAAGAAGAGCTTCGAGATATAGCCTTTACAATCGGATAACATAAAGAGACGATTACCCTCGACATCACTAAGATCCTAATATACGATGTCATGTTAGGTATGATATGGCTTTATGACCACAACCCCCATATCGATTAGCAAAAAAGGAAAATCATATTTTCGTTATACAGTACGAACCAGAAAAAGGGAGATCAATTACCTCTAAAGGCCCCTATCGAAGAAAGAGCGATAATAGTGCGACCGCAGGGAAGAAATACGCTAGCTGGCTCTAGTATTACGGAGATTCCCCCGGAATATAAAGACTTTAAAGATATCTTTAAAGAGCGCGAAGGATTAGCGGCGCTACTAGAATATAAGCTATAGGATCACGAAATACTAATCTAGGAGGGTAAGGAGCCCCGATATACCGGATGGCTGAAGAGGCTATCCTAAAAGGAAGAGGAATTCCTCAAGGATTACGTGGAGAAACTCGAGGCTAAGGGCTTTATACATAAATCAACATCACCTATCTCTTATAGAGTACTTTTCGCACCTAAGAAAGATGGAGGACTACGCCCTTACATCGACTTCCGACCACTCAACGAGATCACGATCAAAAACAGATACCCACTTCCACGAATCGATGACACACAGGACCGACTCCTTAGAGCTAAGTACTTCACAGCACTCGATATTAGGGACGCCTACTACCGAGTACGGATGAAAAAAGGAGAAGAGTAGAAGACGGCATTCAAAACCAGATAGGGACTCTAGGAGTATTAGGTAATGCCCTTCGGATTAACTAATGCTCCCGCCTCGTTTTAAAGTTTGATTAACGACACGTTGAAGGACTTCTTGGACGACTTCGTGGTAGCGTACCTCGACGACGTCCTAATCTTCTCGAAAACGTACAGAGAACATGTGGGACATGTACGAAAAGTACTACGACGATTACAGGAGAAATAGCTCCCGATTAAACTCAGTAAATGCGAGTTTCACAAAGACAGTATAGCTTTCCTAGGCTATATAGTGTTAACTAGGGGACTATAACCAGACTTAAAAAAGGTCGAGGCAGTACGAGACTGGCCCGAACTAACCAACGTTAAAGAAGTGCAAGCGGCACTTAGATTTATGAACTACTACCGAAAGTTCATTAAAGACTTCTCGAAGATAGCAGCACCTTTATCAGCACTAATAAAGAAGGACACTACGTACAACTTTAACCAAGATTATAAGAAAGCCTTTAAGGACATCAAGGACTGACTTATATCGGTACCCATCTTAGCAATCTTCGATCCAGAAAAGGAGATCACACTTGAAACAGATGCATCGGACTATGCCATCGGAGCCTGCCTCACGCAAAAGGATGACGACGGACGAGCGAGACCGATCGCATACTACTCCAGAAAAATGACTGGGTAGAGCTGCTCCCAGTAGCATAATTTACATATAATAACTCAAAGGCCTCTATAGGAATATCACTATTCTACGCGAACTACGGAAAACACCTAAACATCGAAAAAGACCTAAGGGGACTACGACCAATCGCAGAAAAAGCAAAAATCTCAATTGAAAAACTATAGTCACTATATAAGATAATGAAACAGGAGTTATATAAAATATCACAAAAAACAACGAAATATGCCAATAAGAAAAGGTCTGAGGGACTAGACTTTAAGGAAGGGGAGAAAGTCTACATTTTACGAAAAAACATTAAAACACAACGACTAAATGACAAGCTGGACTACATAAAGATTGGACTATACAAAATCAAGAGGAAACTGGGACCAGTGACGTTTAAGATGGAACTGCTAGAGGGCATGAACATCTACCCAGTGTTCCACAAATCACTACTTAAGAAGGCACCATAGAACGCTACACCGGGACCCGTACTGGTCCACGAAGAGACATAAGAACCTATATACGACGTGGAAGGGATCCTAAAACACCGGGGCACTAAACGCCAACGACAATACCTGGTTAAGTGGTTAGGATACGAGGACAGCGAAAATACTTGGGAACCAGAGAAGAACTTACCCAGAGAGATAATCATTAAATACCACCGCCACGACCGACGCCGCTAGCTGGAAGGGCGGTCGATGGGGATGGGCCCCTCGAACCCAGCCATAGACCCAGGTTCCAACTTAAATATTTACTCGAGCTGGGCATCGTCCAAGCCAATGAGCACCGTGGAAGAAGCAACAAGAGGAGGATCAGTGTAATCTAACTCGTCTAAGGACTCAAGCTCCTAAACTAACATTTTCCTTTATTTTTCCAGTAAGCCATCGGCTTCCTGCTGTAGACGTATACGTTCGGCGTTCGCCGAAGATAACGCTAACTGCACTCGCGCAGCTTCAGCTAACATTCCTTTAATCTCTTTATCCTTCTAGCGGGCCGCCTCAGCCAGCCGGTTGCGCTGCGCGGTCAGCGCGTCGAACTCCTCTATAGAGAAGGTACCGTCGTAATCCTTCACACCCTTTCTGGTGTAAGACGAGTATTTCGAATACCCGTTTAACATGAAATACAGAGAATTGGAATTTTGGCATAGTATACATCGACCTATGGCGAACCTCTAACAGCTAAGCGATTCGATTCGTTAGATGGCGGTTTAACGACGGAGTGTGGAGGGGCGATTATTCTTAGAGACGCGAAACTAAGGTATAGTCAGCCATGGGGGAAGAAGAAGAGAAACACTACAGCGGATTGGGGGGACACCTCACCTTAAGTACGTTGAGGACAACGAATAGGCTAAGGGGGGGAAAGTGTTACGACCCAGTCTTTGACTAGGTCAGGGCCCAGGAACCAGAGGGAAGCTGGGCCGAGCCTGGGCAAACAAGGGGCCAGTCCTGGGCGGGGACAGTGGACGGCCCAGGCCGACGGTCACGTGACGACTCGGTAGCGCTCAGTGGTGCTTAGTGGTGCTTAGTGTGCTCAGTACTAAGCACAACTAAGCAGGACTGAGCAGACTGAGCGGCCAACTAACATATATACTCGGGTTGATACCTACTCCCATAGCTTCGTAGTTAACTTCAGTTAACATTGCGCTCAAGGAGATACAGTACAAGTGCTGTGTCCCGTCTGACGATCCGTTCGACATTGACCTCTGCTCTACCCCCGATACTCAAGAACCCTGAGGGTTACCTGTGTGCTCACGTGTCCTCATACACGCTGCGCGGAGGCAATTCTTAACACCCGATTACTCCTCTATAATAACCACAACTCTCACGTTACTATTGCGTTTATATTTAAGTGCTTTACCTATAATATTCAGCTGCTTTATATGCCTTTACACTTATCGCACGTCCTTTAACCTCTTAATGTTAGTGTTTTTTCAGTCCTTAAAAGCAACTATCGTAAAAGCATTACTAATATCTTAAGATTCGTTAAAACCACGCCCGTATAACGCCTCGAGTTCATCGAATTTTATAAGATAGCTAGAGCGATGACTCTAACGCCTTAATATATAAAAGGTGGATGGAAAGGCACTAGTCTATACCTATATAACCCCCGTAAAGTCCTTCGATCATCGCAGCTAGTGTAAACCCCTAAAACCCTTACTACAGCACTATAAACACCACGATCTCACAAGCGTAAACCATCTAGAGAGGTTTATACAGCAACGCCGCGTAACGGGCGTCATTTACAGGCACAGGCGATCGGCCTTATCCCGGATATTGCAGCTCAAAAAGGCACTCGGTTGTTTATGCGTAAGGCTGCCAATAAGATCGACCAGCTTTTGTTGTAATCAGCGCAACAGACCCTCCAAATTCAGCAGTTATCGGTTCAAGTTGCTCAAAAGACCACCACCAAGCGTGCACGAGTTAACATCGACTCGAACAAGTCCTTTGCTTTAATCGTTGAGATAAAAGAGGCGCAAGACCGTGCCATCGCGCGCTAAGAGGAGTGGGAGAGGATCGATAGAGATAAAGAGGCCCGTTTGACCTCTGAGAGGTGCCAACAGACCGAGTTCACAAGCCTCTGCAACGTCTTTCATATTTACAACGTCGCTGGCGCCGATCTTTAAATAGTTACGACGGCGATCATATATGACGTGTAAATGCGGGGCTGTTGCAGTACGCGGTTGTTGCATTACACGGTGGTCTGACTTAACGGACGTCTCTGTGGTCGCAGACCCTGCCGGGTTACGAATTATCAAAGCAACTGTTGGTGTCGCCAGAACAAATTCCAACATACACCACCTCTCCAGGCGAGATAGAAGTCACCAATGGCTCTGCTAAGTTACCAATATGCCACAGTGCAATAGGGTGAGGTGGAAGTAAAACAGCAATGAATTGATTGACGCTACAACGCCGCTTCAAAGGTGACCGCCAATCCATGTCTCGCTCGGGATGCTTAGATCAGACAGACCATGTATGTTCGAAAAGTCCGTCATATCGAATTCGAATGTACTGCCATCCCAGAAGCTCGTGTCAAGACCCTCCTGCCCCGATCCTCGCAGCCCTTCTGATGCAAATGACGCTGTAGGTACGTCTGGATTGACAGGTGAAAGGAACTGAGTATTCACGTTCAACTCTACATTGTCAGATGACTCGCCGCTATCAACACTCGGGGACGAGGATGCGGCGTAGTCGAGTAAATTCCACAACAACGCGATCTCAACCTTTGGTGGCTGATCAGAAGCCCTCTCGACATGCGCCGTCGCGAATTGCCCCAGTCGGGTGAGCTTCACAGTCTGTGAAGTTATGAGGTCCCGATCCTGTAAAAATGAACATGACTTACGGTATGCTGCAGATGAGGATGGCTGGCCGCCATCCTCTCAATAAAACGTCGAAGCATATTGAAATTGCTTGCCGATTTGGCTGCCAGTGCGTTGTCCTTTGAGAATTGGAGCAGGAACTCAGCGGTCGCGATCATTGAAGCTAGATGCCCAACAAAAGGGTCGTAGATCTTGAAGTCTCGCTCTTCGCACGAACTTAGGATCAAAACGACCCAAGCCGCGTGCAGTGCTGCTTGGTCGCTGGCATGTTGCAGAAATGAAGGGGAGCGAAGTCTCCTCTGGCCCCGGATTCTGGCAATGTGGAGAAAGGGATGATTCAAAGTGCAATGCGTGGTGTGGTAGATGCACTGTGTGAACACCCAAGACGCCCAGTAATGCCGATGCCTTTCCAGCTCGGAGATATTTCTTTCACGAAACCTCGCATTCTTGAACCGGTGGACTTCGGGCAGGACTGTCTCAAACCGGGACATTTCGGCCTTGATTTGCTGGTACGTCGAGTTCGCTGTCCACGCATCTTCGAGATCGCCCTGGCTGATTGTCTTTAGGTACGACATCAGGCGACCCCATATTGACAACAGTTGAAGGGCATAGGAGTTGATGCCCGCGTCCTTTTCCTCCGCGGCTTGAGGCTCTTCCAGGTCGTTCGGTGAGGTCAATTCCAAATACTCTGGTCTCTTCACAGAGAGCGGCATTTCGGGAGCAGCATTACCAGCCGGTATGGCCGGTACACCCCAGAAACTGCTGCCGTGTATGCGATCAAGAATGAAGAGGCTCCAGTAACACCTGGAATGCTCAGCGCTTACGATCACGCCCTTGACCTTGGAGCTCATCAGGCCAGCACAAACGGCGAGCCGAGTGGCAACGCCGACGGCCATCCAGGCTCTTTTCATGTTTCCATCTATTGTTAGACCTCTCGTTAGTTGAACGTGCAATGAGATTAGAGTTAGACTCACCCGCGATCTCGCTGAGGCAAAGCAGACAGAAAGCCTGTAGAACTTCCGCGTCACTAGTTGGCTCTGCAGCCTGGGCATACAATGCTTTGGAAGCAGAGGCCTTGTAAAACTCCACGGCATTGGATCGACCGCATCTAAAGAATTGGTCGTCTGAATATCTCACAGTCAATGCAAGAAAGCTTCTAAGCAGGGGTTTTGGGAACGTTCGCACGCTGCGCGATAATGATTGAATATGGAACAGGGGCAAGGGCTGGTCTGCGATCTGATCAACGTAAAGCTTGACTAGCGACTGAAGCACCTCTGGCGGGGGATCTGGGCTACAAGCAGTCAGCTCGGGCGTCCCAGGGTCATCAGGGGGCCAACCTTAGTGCGGGATCGAAGACTGAGACGCCTTCCCGTAAACCACGGTCCTCATCAAGCTGATTCGCGGTGCTACTCGGTGTTGGAGTGGACGGTGCTGGAAGCCTTGTCGAGGACTTCCCGGATTGTAGCTGGACAAGCGTGCTAATATTTTTTCAGTAAGTGAGGCACTCAGAAAAGGCGCAGACATACTTCACAGCCTCCATGATCTGATCCACCCGTTCCTCCAACATCTGGACCCGATGCCCGGCCGCGAAACGGCCATCGTCCTGCTCGAGTCATAAGTCTAATGGCCTCGAGACGTATCAGGAGCGCTTTACATGAGAAAGACCATTCTGGCTATCCTTTTCTACACGAAATCCTGGGGTGAGGCTTGTCCGCGTATAACTGCATCGTTGGTTGAGCCGGGTGCAGAAGCCGCAGCTTGGTCGTTCGCCCGGACATCTCACCTTCTTCCGTCTGCACGGGTCGCAGGCTTGCCTCACACGAGTTTGTGCCGGATTGGTGTCAGTCATGCCATTCCCTTCCTATTCTAACACAAGAAGTGACAGTGCCTGTGGGCATTGGCTGTGGTGCAGTATCTGGGAATGCGCGGACACGGACGGAGAAACAACGACGCTCCGCCGGGCAGGTGGGGCTGGAAGGTGTGCCACGGAGAAACTATCTTCCCTTCCGGCCCGGCCTCGGGCTTGAACCGGCAGTTCAGTGACTTCAGGATCTTTCATCTGTTCGTTTATCGTCGCTACACAAACTTCGGGCTTGACTATCCCAGAGGAACGACATGGAATCCGAGGCACCGCAACTTCAGCGCCTTCGAGAGCGGTCGCGCGTTTTCAGCTACAGGCAATACTCTCAAATCGGTGTGGAAGCGTACAGTTGCCGACTTCGCCCAAAGTTACTGTACCACCTGACGAAGCACAATCGATTCACCCTCATTGCGTGGTCAATGTGCGCAAGCAACGCCGACGCCGCCTTCATGCATCTTCTCAGCCATGATCATAGAGTGCCCCGCAGCATCTGCTCCCTCTCAATTGCTTCGAAAAGTGCCCTGAAATTACCTGCACCGAACCCTGAGAAGTTGTTCCGTTGAATGATCTCGATGAACACAGTCGGTCGGTCCATCAGATGCTTAGTGAAGAGCTGCAACAAATACCCGCCCTCGTCAAAGTCAATCAGGATTCCGAGCTCCTTCAGTGCGGCAAAGTCCTCGTCCAGCTTCATGCCAGCTTGTGCAAGCCGCTTCGACATGGCCTCATAGTAAGTGTCCGGTACGCTAATAAACTCGATCCCCCTCTCTTTCAGGTTCGTGACCGTTGCAATGATGTCGTCTGTCCTCAGAGCAATGTGCTGAACACCGGCACCATTGTAAAAGTCGACGTACTCTTCAATTTGCGATTTCCGAATACCCTTCGCCGGCTCATTAATGGGCATCTTGATCTTCTCATCAGGGCTCGCCATCACCACCGACTTGAGCGCGGAATAGTCGGTACAAATATCCTTGTCATCGACTGACCAGAACCTGTGGAAACCCAGTGTCCTTTCATAGTAGTCGCAGGCGGCTTCCATCTCGTCCCAATCCTGGTTGCCTACAAAATGTCAGCCGAATTGTTCATCTATATGCGCGAAGCTCGACGGTTTTGGAAGCTCACTCACCGACACAATGATCAATAGCGAGTAAATCTACTCGAGGGAGGTACTTAGCTGTCTTTTCGACCTCTGTCACAGCTCGATAACCGGGCAGAAATACTCCGGAGTATCTGCTTCGCTCAACCAGGGTATGGATCGTATCGCCGTATGTCTTAATGGAACCAAGCAATGCTGTCCCATAACTGTCGTGAACTGTTTTTGGAGCTTCGACTGGGTCTGCGCCCTTTTCGACCGCAGCATCGTACACTGCGACAACATCATCCACCTCAAAAGCAACATCGCGAACAGCGTCTCCGTGGGCTCTCAAGTGGTCGTGGATTACTCTCAGCTGTGCCCTGTCATCATCACTGAGCCAGGTGACTTTCGCATCTGGCGCATGCAATGGTGAGGTAAGCACGAAGGTAACATCCCCATTCCGAATAACATGAGAGGCAGTCACTCTAGAGTCTGTCTCTAACCCACGATACGCGATCCTCTCGAAGCCCATTCGAGTGACATAGAACGCTGCCGCCTGTTTTGCGTTTCCAACCCACCAAGCAACGTGGTCGTATCCCCGATAATCTGCTATGGTCTTGGAGTTCTTTGGCAGCGTTTTTACTATAGGAGCATTTCCATGTGATGTCTTGTTCGTCAGTCCATGAAATGCAACAGGAGTCGGCTCCAGAGCAATGGGGGCCATCTTGAGTCGACTTAGTGGGGAGGTTTTGCAGTGCAGACCGATCTCAACAGGGGTTTTCACTGCCAGCGCAATCTGAAGAACAGCGAACAAGAGGGGATAATATGCTTATGACTCGGTTCAATGCAACGGCCCTCTGAAGGAACAGCGAACATCCTTATGATGGTACGTCGAACGCCTAGTGTCTTGTGGGTACGGAATGGCATCCGGGTCCGGCCATTCACTCTACCGCAAGTAAGCGCCTGCAGAACGAACAAAGAACCCGGGTTCGAACTCGGACCATGGAGCTCGGGAGGCATCCAGCCGCTGGCCACTTCGCTATTCAGTCTATGAATACTTCATGCAGCTTTCGCGATTGTCCAAGTCTTCACGTTCAGTCCCAAAACTCACAGCCTACCAGTCCATGCCTCCACGGGTCACAATGGCATGTCGATTGACTAAGAACGACTCGAGTGTGTTGGCGGCTCTGTTCGACCCAGAATCGTCGTTAACTTGCGCTGTCGAAACTGACGACAATATCTCAACATCTTCGTCGCCAAGCAGACTGAAGCTGCTCCAGGAACAAGAAGTCTTTGCCCTCAAATCAACAAACCACGACCAACCTCAACCGGGCGAGATCGAACTTGCAATATCACGATTGACAGCCATCATCGAAAGCGAACGCCTCTATGCATCAGCATGGAACAATAGAGCACAAGCACGCCGGATGCTCATCACCGACGAAAAGCTGTCGCAAAACCCATCATGTGTAGCTGAGATTTTCAAAGACCTTGCTCAAGCTATATTATTGACAACCCCGACAAAAGCAAATATGGCGGTTTCTATCATGGATGCGAGAACCCTCGCATCGGCACATACCCACAGAGGCTATCTGCTGCTCCTAGCAAGCAAGTCGGAGGAGAACCGGAAAATGCTAGCGAACGTGCCAGGCCTGGGGCAACTATCCATACAGGACCTGGAGGAAGCCGCCAGTCGTGAACTTGCAAAGGGGGGACGATATGGCAACGAGAGGGCCCGCCAGCTTGCGGTCAAGACTAATTCATACGCCAAGCTGTGCGGATCCATAGTCAGGGAAGCGATAACGAAGGAGATTTCGGACTTTTACCACCTACAGGTCGACCTGGCGGGTTAGATAGCACATAGGACGCAGTCCGCGATTCCAGAATTTCCATGCTTATGGAGTACCTTCTTGAGCTAGTTTGTGTGATAGGAAGGTCGAAAGGGCGGGTAGAAGCATCCGGCCAAGCCATTGTGTGGAAATTGCAGCAGTGGTCTTCTTTCCACGGCGACAAATACCCTTCTCGCTTTCTATCTCGGTTTTCTTCAACAACATACATTACAGAGCCCCGTAATCATGACACCTGTCCCGTGAGGCACGGAGGTCAGAGCCTAGCATAACGTAAGATGGGGCAAAACCTGAACGCGGAGCGCGGACCGTGCTCTCGCCGTGGTGGCTACTACGCGCTTATTTCGGCTTCCATGATCAAAGTGACGGTCATGAGACGTCGCAAAACATTTATTGGCATCCGGAAGAGCCGTGTGCCACGAGATTGCCAAGTTCAGTCTTCGATCAGAATATGTACCTGTGTGACAGGAGCAGGCCGAGGCGTTGGTTGGATGCGGGAAACAAGTGTTCGCAAGGCTGCCCTGTTTTCAATCTGCCTTGCGGAATTGCTGTACACAGTCAGCCTTGAAGTGTCTAGATCGAAGCTGAATGGTGAGAGCCGTAAGTGTCGAGATCGAAGCTGAATACTGACGCTGAGCCTCCACATGGGAAGCCCAGCGCATAAGGCGTCCACGGGCTGGCAACTTGTGCCCATCTCCGTATCTTCATAAGATGACCGTCAAATTTGACCGGATCCTCCGGTTAGAGGTCATCGAAAAAGGCCTTGCATCTATCAGGACTACCACAGGGGCCTCAGGCCCCCAGTGCCTTTACTATACAGCATGACTACTTCAGCAGCTTTATTTGACTGCAAGAACGACATAAAATTGCGCAAGGCAGCCGAGTCAAGCCCAGGATGCTACAGCATCGGAGGTGAGTTGCGGTAAGGAGTCGTTGAGGCCTGCATATCCTTCACTACACTAGCACACCTGGGTTGAACACTCTCATCCGTACACTTGCTCCCTTTTAAGCTACAAACCATGCCAGTCACGGTGGCGGTGGTGGGCATGGGCCCCCTCGGCCTGATGGCGCTGAAGAACTTCAAGGAAGACGGCTTCGAAGTACGCGGTTTCGAAAGGCGACACTGGGTAGGCGGCCTGTGGAAGCAGTCGTTCGACACCAGCCTCTCGACGACAGCCAACACCGTGTTCAACAGTAGCCGGTTCCGCAGCGCCATCTCCGATTTCCCCTTTCCCGACGAGGTGGACGACTTCCCAACGGCGAAGCAGATGTGGAAGTACTTCGAGGATTACTGCGACGCGTTCGACCTGCGGCCTCGAATCCACTTCGGCGCGGACGTGCAAACGTTTTCGAGAAAGCACGGCAAATGGGCCGTAGAATATGTCGAGGATGGCACCACGCACACGGAATACTTTGACAAACTTGCCGTCTCGCCTGGCTCGTTCGTCATTCCGAGATGCCCCAAGTTGAGAGGTATTGAGACATTCCAAGGCACAGTCCTTCACTCGATCGATTTCCCGGACCCGGCGACATTCCGGGGCCAGAACGTCCTGCTGGTCGGCTTCCACGCGACGGCTCAAGATCTGGTGGTCGAGCTGGCGCCGCACGCTGAGAAGGTGTACATTGCGCACAAGAACGGGTTGGTCCTGGTGAGTACACAGTAGAGATGGCCCCATGTTGATTCCACGAACCGTCTCCCCCCTTGTCATGCAGTACATAATGCTCGCGGACGCTAAATCTACACATGTGTCTAATCGTGGTGGCAGATGTCGCGGTACACTCACGACGGCAAAACGTACGACCAGGCGCAAACCCTCTCCGTGCTTTTCCTGCAGATCTTCCTGACAAAGTGGTTCCCCCGCGTGTGGGACTGGATCTTCGATACCGCCATCCAGTCCATGTCCAAGAAAGCATACCCTCACCAGCGGAGGGAGTGGAACCTCTCACCAGCGCCCTCATCGACAACCAGCCCCCCTCTGATCGCCGACGCCATCTACCCATTCCTCGAAAGCGGCTTCGCGGAACCGGTCGCCGCAGTGAAACAGATCAAGGAACCCAACGACATCCTCCTGACGGATGGCCGCCTCCTCAAGGACATCCACACCATCATATACGCCACGGGGTACGAGTCCGCCGTCCCCTGCGCGCCGCCCGAATATAACCCCTACCCCGTGCCTGACGAGGCGCCGATGCTCTACCGCAACGCGTTCCCGCTTCATGGTGACGCCGCCGTGCGCGAAAGCCTCGCCTTCCTGGGGCAAGGAGGCATCGCGTTCCCCGGGTTCGTCCAGTTCGAGCTCGTCATCTTTGCGGTGTCTCAGGTGTGGCGCGGCAAGGCGCACCTGCCGCCTCTGAGTGAGATGCAGGATTGGCATCAGGGCCATATGGCGTGGCGACGAGACGTCATTGGCAGGTCGAAGTTCGACACGAAGCTCCTGCCCGTCTTGCTGCGCCTGCCGGATCAGATCGAGTGGTTGGACAAGGCGGGCGGGACGGGCGTGTTCGCGCACTTTTCGTGGTTCGGCGGCTGGTTCAGCTGGCGGGCGTGGCGCTTCTGGTGCGAGGATAGACGGTTCTACCGGCTTTGCAAGGACGGGTTGTGCTCGCCGGCTGTGTGGCGGCTGTTTAACATGGGAGGGCGGAAGCCTTGGGTGGGGGCCAAAGAGCAGATCATTCGGGACAATGAGCTTGCCGAGAAGAGGCGGGAGGAGAGGCTGAGGGCTGTGGAGAAGACTCAACAGGGCCAGAAGGATAAATAAATAGATTTGGAGCGAATCGGGGGCAGGCAACGGAAGCGGGCTCAAGCAGAAGCTGGTCTGGCACTGGTGTGCTCTATACTCGCGGACGAGTCCTGTACTTTCCTGATGCGAGCCACTGGTTTTGGCTCCCTGGGTCAATCCCCTGACTCCATGGTGCGAGATTGAAGGAGCCAAGGAGACCCCTAGGAATGGCGATTGTCATTCCATTGACGGCGTGTTTTCCGTACCGTTGCATGGTCAATATACCTCCTTACAGTAAGTCAGAATATCCCTCACGAGCCAAACAGAAGATTTATATCGCGTTTGTAGAGAAGATCATATCCCCAACGCCTTGTCCTATCTCTGAACTTCGTAACGCGTTAAGCACTTTAACCCGGTCTGATGTGAATTCGAAATCACATCAAATTCAAACTCAAACTCAGCACGCCCTCGCACTCGCACTCACACTCGCTGTCGCTTCGCTTCGCTCAATTCCTCAAAGCCCTCAACCTATCACCCAATCCTTCCTCCAACTTCGCCGTGTCCGCCTGCGGTAATTCATGCTCAGGCACCTGCTGCTGCATTTCCTGCGACAGCTCAACGCCCGCCTCATCCGCCACACGGTTCATGAGAGCGTCCACCTCGCCCTGGCCCTGCACGCCGACCTGCTGGCTCTCCACCCCGCCAGCCACACCCTCATAGTAACCCGACACGACGTCCAGGTCTTCAAATTGTGACTCGAACTTCTCCATCACCGCCCCAATCTTGTCGAGATCCATGTTCTTTAACGCAGCGTCCATGCCCTTTACGGTCTGCGCCATCGAAGCCGTCACCGTGCGCATGGTAATGGCGGTTTGGACACGGGCGGCGACTGCATCGATCCGCGCCGCGAGCGTCAGCAGCTGGATTCTCTGCTGCGAATTGCGCACCGAGTTTGTGGCGTATAGGCGGGCGATCTGGGGCTGGGGAGGCGTCTGAGTGAGGGCTTTCTTGAGTTTCGCTTGTTCGGCGCGCGAGTCGCGGTCCGCTTTGGCGGCTTGTCGGTTGAGCTGTTTGGATGTGAACTGCGGGTTATAGGGATTAGTATTGGAATGTCTCTGGGGTTAATGATGTTTGCTGGGAAACTGGGACGAGTGGGAAAGGACTGGCCAGGTCGGAGTTGAGGGACCCTAGTGTGCATGGTCAAGCGCCCCGGGGCTTACCTTCAGGTTGAAAAGAGCCTTCTCAAGGCCTGACATCTTGGTGTAATGGGTCAGAACTCTCGATGAAGATAAACGTGGTGAGCAAGCAGAGCCAGGAATTGAAAGCCCGGGTAACTTGGTCGAAAGGGTGACAGAGCGTCAGAACAGTACTGAACGGTCGTGCTTTGTTGATTACAGGGATCCAAGTCAACTGCAGTTCCGTTTACTTTTGATCGTGCTGTTGTGTTGAATGTCTGAAGCCTAGAGCGAGTTCGCGGTTGAGTTGGCGAGCAGATGACGATGGCGGGGATTGCCTCGCCGGACCGAAGATTATCCGTAGAGCATTTTAATACGGAGGAGCACTAAGCATTTATGGCAAAGTGAACCTTCTTTCCACTCGCTCTTCGACTGACGCCGCGACTATTACTCTACCGCTGGAACTACACATGGGATCAGCTATACAACCACTTTTGTACCACCAAGGGGTATATGCGAGTGATAGATTCGCAGATCGTCGGTCATGACTTGACCCTTGGCGCGGACCCGAAGTTTGTAACAATAATATGAATTGAGGATCAAAGTTAGATACACGCATCGTCGAAGGACAAATGGCGCACAGGAGATGATAACAGGAGCCGACCGCAGCAGAACTTGACCCCTGCGAGATTGCTACCCCTGACTCTTGACCGAAGCTTGCGCAATATCGTGGAAAGAACGTTGAGGGAACAGTATATCCTCGTCTGTATCTTCTAAGCCGGGCATGCGGTTACGCGCGGTAAGTGACGTGCTCATACTGGTGGAGGGTAGTCGCCTTGCATCATCGAGCTGAAAGAGCTGCTGTGCTCGCTTACGAGTAGTCGCATATGCAGAGGAACCATCATCAGAGGACACAGTGATCATACCGAGCATATCTGCGGAGTATGGAGTAATGCGAGGTCGAATGTCCTCGGTATCCAACACAAACGGCGCGGAGAGCTGAGGCCGAGCCACTAGACCGTATTAGATGGTCATTTCCGAACCAACGGCAGCCGGAGTTTTCGCTCCACTCACCACGCACGCCTTCACCTCGACGTACTGTGTAGTGTTCACAAAACCGGACAACGTCAATATCACAGGAGCCCACGTCGGTAGCTTGCCGTAGCTGCATGAAACATCCCACGATATCGCTGTTCTCAAGACTATAAATCTACCTCGTTTCTGCTCAGTGAAAGGTTGCTATCCGGTCGCACATTTACACTCATACATTCGACTGGCCAAATCCAAGCAAAGAGTTCTCACCTCTGTCTCTTTCCTCCTCTGACCCTACCAAGTGTACCCAGCCTCGTACCGACCCAGTCCTTGTATTGTTCGAGCACCCGCCTTTCTTCTCTTGGCAAAGCCATCTATTCACCAACCATTCATCATGGCAGGCTTAAAGCCAACCCTCCACCACATGAACGTGAGGCTCTTCCCTGAACGACTTCCCTCACCCCACAGTCCCATCGCTCACACTGTGCCCAGAACTCGCAATCTCAACGTATCCTCTGGCTCCTGGAGGAGCTCGAAATCCCATATAACCTCGAACTCCACCAGCGCGTGGAGCAAAGATCTCCGCCCGAATTGAGACAGACCCATCCCCTGGGGAAGGCACCGCAACTAGAGACCGGCGACGGGCGCGTCATCGCCGAGTCGGTCGTCATCGCCAAGTATCTAATCGAGACGTACGATAAGGCCGGCAAGTTCAGGGGCGACGGGAATCCCAAAAACGACACTCTTCGCGATGAGCAGTTGTGCCTTCTCGCGGCGTCGAGCCTGGGGCCCGTGATGCTCGTGGACCTGATCCTCCTGTTCGCCAGCAGGATGACGCCCTTTTTCGTCCGGTGGCTGATGGCCCTTGTGCACTCGCAGATCCGGACGCAGTTCTCTGGACCGGAGCTGGACTTGTACTATCGATATCTGGACGACCAGCTCGAGGGGCAGGATTACTTCATGGGGAATACCGCGCCTGGGAGGGCGGACTTTGTTCTTAGTTATCCGGTGCAACAGTGCATCGCGGTGGCGATGGTGGATATCAAGAAATACCCTAGGATCGAGCAATGGATTGCTCGGATTCATGAACGGCCTGCGTGGAAGAGAAGTCTCGAGAAAGGCAACGGGTATGATTTGGCGTTTGATTGACGTGTAGTCAGTACAGCTAGTGGGATAGCGGTGTGCAACAAACACAAAGAGGAATTGTCGAAGACCACGATCGCCTAGTTGTCATGAGTCGGTCCATGAAGGAGTAAGTGGCTTACAGTTGACACATGGACAAGGCGAGCTTTGACATGTGCGATGATCCAGGAAGCGAACCACATCAAGTGCGTCAACAGCGAAGCCTTGCAAGTATTATTGTGATCAATCATCCTTGGAGAAGCTTGAGTATAGTCAAAGAGTAACGACACATCTTCCCCCACCTGGTCTAAGGAAAGATCAAAGTCATACATCATTAGAACTAGCAGCCACCTCCACGGAGTTTCGTATACGTGACCGCGTTTGCTTGATCCTGATCATTTGGACGTTATATTCAGGGACAAGGTGGAGAATGTGATATGTCTTCGCGTCTTCGAATACTACATGCCCACTGAGGCCTTGTCACGATCGGCCTTCTGTATTGTCTCGTATATACTCTCGTCGAGGGTCTCAACAGCTCAACGGAAGCGCACCTTGCAAGCTGATGATCCCTTTCCAGATTGCTGTGGCCCACTAAGCTTGAGTAGTACGACCAGAATGAGAACGTCGCTGTTCAGAGAGTGCACTGCTCTCGCATCTTTCAGCGTGCCGGAGGTGGAACGAAAGTAGTGCTAGCTGGTCGCTTTGGCTGGAAGTTTGTGCTGAAACTGTCCTCCACGCGCTGAGCATCACACCTATATGCCAGGTGAAGATATTCTTCAGGTACGTATACAGCGATGCGAACGTGGTGCTCAATAGTGTGTCTGTGCGATCATAGCTGAGTGTCGGGAACAGGAGCTCAAAGCCAGACTGACGTAGCGACTAATGCACATACTGCGGCAATGCTTGAGCGCGATCGAGGTCTTCGAGACGCCGAAGACATGCTTGGGAGGGTGGCAGACGGTGCATTTCTAATCAGCCGAATAGGAAGAACAGGAGAACGACTCATTGGTCAAATATACCAGCGGACAACTCGGCGGCTTTCACGTGACTCTGGGGGCTCGGGTGCGTGGTACGCGGCGCTTTTCGCACCCGAGGCTTTCCCAAGTGAAGGCCGGCAGATGGCTCATCCGCCCCGTAAACCATGCCCAATGCGACAAATGACTTGGCGCTTGATCCTGGGCACCTCGCTTAGAGGCTCTTCGAGCGTCCTTTAGCCACCAGATGCAATCTTTGCGTCTTCGCGAGCTCCACTGCCATTGAACCGCCTGCAACACCGGCGTCACATTGGGTCGTTTGCTCATCAAACAGACCTCTCAAGAGGCGCCTAAGCACTAAGATGCATCACCATGTGCCCGATGGTTTCCATCGAAGCTCGCCTGGAGGAACCGATGCGTTACCGGGTCCACATGGCCGCGAATCCCTCAGGGTGGCTATGGCCGTGATGTACCTCTTGTCTCCTGCTTCTTGCTGCTCTTGACTTTCCTTTGTTTAGAATACCATCACAGTCGACTCCTTCCTTCTCACTGTCTTTCGCCTCACGTTCGACACTCAACCTACTTGTTCTCGTGGGCTAAACCGCCCAGCGTTGAAGCACAATGGCCAACTCGACGACACATTCAGCCCGCCGCTACTGTACCGAAGTCACGCCCGAGTGCCCTGTCACGCTCACGACATATGGCTACTACCCGAACCTCTCCGTAAACTCATTCTTCATCGCCCTCTTCGGCATCTGCCTCTTTCTTCAACTGGCACTGGGCACGTGGAGGCGAACATGGACATACCTGGTCGTTCTTGCCATTGGCTGCTTCGGGGAGGCGGCAGGATATATCGGACGAATTATCATGCATAACAACCCTTGGAGTGGTGCAGGATTCAAGACACAGATCTGCTGCCTGGTGCTGGCGCCGAGTTTCCTAGCTGCAGGCATCTACGTAACGCTGAAGCACCTGGTGATATACTGTGGAGCGGAAAACTCAAGGCTGAAGCCTCGACTATACCCGTGGATCTTCATCGGATGCGATTTCGGATCAATCGTTCTGCAGGCTATCGGAGGCGGCATCGCAGCGAGTGCGGGCGACCATGATGCAGACCCCAAGTTACTGGATGCCGGAAACGGATTGATCGTTGCGGGCATCGCCTTCCAGGTTGCGACAATGGCTGTCTGCGGCCTGCTGGTCCTAGACTACTACATTCGCTTTCAGAAGGCCAAAAAGACGAAAGCGCAAGCCCATGCCGTGAGCGAGTATGAGAAGCGGTCCAACGTGCCCAATGAGGCGCGCAACTTCCGCCTGTTCTGCTTTGCCATTGGGATGGCGTACACGACGATCCTGATTCGTTGCATCTACCGGTACGAAGATCCGACCGCTTTTGTTTCTGGGTCTCTGCTAACGTTGGCTCATGCAGTCTTCCGGAAATGGCTGGTGGTTGGGGCAACGCTCTCATGCGCAATGAGACCGAATTCCTAATTCTCGATGGAATGTAAGTTGTGCAACCCGTCCAGGCAACACTGAATAGTATGCTAATTCGACTTCACTAGGATGGTGGGCATTGCGTGTGTGTTAATGACTGTCTTTCACCCGGGCTTCTTCTTCGAGCCGATGAGGAAATTCAAGAGAAACGGCTCGGTGTCCGGGCCTGGTGTCGACCAGCCGGAGGCATTGGAAGAGAAACCATGATGGCACGACTTGCACTGTACAGACTTGAAATAGACGCATTTTAGAAGGCTCAATAAGATGATAGAAGAGACCGAGGACAAAGCACAGCCTGGGTGATCCGATTAGAGAAGACTAGCCACGTAGTCCGTTCCAGGCATTCGTGTTTGGTGTTTTGGCCCGCGAAGAGGCTTCCAGCTTATTCGAGTGTCATGGCGCCTCGGCATCGATATAACGCCGAGCTGATGTGCACTCTTGACTCGCTAAACATACCGGGCGAATTTGACATAGCGGTCACCTTCATGGCGTATTTCTACGAGGCTGTACGCGGCTTCCCGAACACGAGGGCGATTCCGCGTGGTGCCAAGCGTGACGGAAGCCGATACGAGGCCCGACTTTGGCTCAGAAGTCAGCTTTGACCTCTGCTTCCTCGCCTGTGATGTGCATAATCTGCGTCGTGGAAGACTGGGACGTCGCAGGTCCATCAAAATGCCCTCACGGAGATCGCACACGAAAAGCCACCATGGATGCAGACAATGCAAGGCCAGGAGAGTCAAGGTGAGTTTCTTCCCCAGTTTGTCCCGAGGCTCCATAATTGGTGTGCAGTAATTAGCGGTGCCATCTCGCTTACCGTGCCGTTGACGGTCGCAGTGGATATGGCTGTATTGTTGTTGTTACTGACCCCGGGTCTGGCGCCAGTGCGATGAAACGAGCCCTCAATGTCAGCGCTGTGTGAAGCGGCAGATAGCATGTTCATTTCTGGAGATGAGCTCCGATGGCTTCCCAACGCCACCAGGCAACGCACCCAGCTACGACACGTCGACACCGAAGAGTTTCGACTATCAGCCATCAGATCCGGAGAAGCCACGCCATGGAACAATGCCGACTCCCAAACCGTCATCGCCGCTGGCGACAATGCAAGACGGTCCAAACACGGAGAAACGATTTGACCTGCTGGATCTTGAGCTCATCCACCATTACTCGACTCGCACCTACATGACCATGTCCTCGAGACTCGCCTCACATGCTGTTTGGAGAGACACTATTTTCGCAGAGGCCTTGCGCCATGACTATCTTTTGCACGGACTGATGGCCACTGCGGCACTCCATAAAGCAACTTTGCAGCTGAGGTCGTCCGACGCCTATGCCGAGTACTCGAGGATCGCGCTGGCTCACCAAAACGTCGCCCTCGCCGGTTTCATCCCGGAGGTTAGCAAACCAAATCGGGACAATGGAATAGCGATATTTTCAGTTTCTCTGCTCCTGACGATATGGGCTTTCGCCTCAAAACGACTCCCGGAAGGCTTGAACAATGTCAAACTCGATTTTGGCCGGGGTGAGTCGTCTCCAGGCGTCACCCTCCCCTTGCATTCGCCTACCGGGGACTTTATTGAGGTTATCATGATTCTGAGGGGTATCTATGCCGTAATCAGAGAGACAAATACGTGGCTTCAGGGAGACATCGAGGAACTGCTGCGATATCCCGGGCCGGAAGACTTGCCACCCCACCCCCCCGACGTCCTGGATGCTTTCAGTATCCTCCGCAGTGCCGTTGATGATCCTCAATTGACGTCGCTCTGGGAGGGAGAGGAGGCCCAAGCAACGAAAAGTCTGCTCCTCGAGCAGATGGAGGAGTTACGCAACATCTCGAGATGTCGTTCCGTCGTGGAATGGGATGGCCACATCTTTTCGTGGCTGATTATGGCACCGCCAGCCTTCATCCATTGCCTCAAGAGAAGCAATCCCCTAGCTCTGGCAATATTTGCCCACTGGGCTGCCATGTTCCGCTGCATGGACCACCACTGGTGGGTAAACGGCTGGGGATACAGCTTGGTGAACGATGTCTCGAGCATGCTCGATCCTGTTTGGGCCAGGTACCTGGACTGGCCCCGAAGGCAAGTTGGGCTTGTGTTTCAGGGCTCTGGAGGATTCGATGGGCGCCGGATGCCGTAATCTGCACTTTCTCCCAAAATGGGATACAGTCGCTCAAAAATGGGTTATCACAAATGACGATGCCGCCAGCCAAAGTGAGGAACCGTCTTACCCTGTGAGAAAAGCGAGATGTTCTGCGCCTGCCGCAAGCACAACACAGTCGACAGCGCTTGCTGCAGCTCCAGAGCTTGCAAACCTGCTTTCCCCAACTCGAAGGCATGAATCGCTTGCTGCAGAAGGAGGCACACTCCCAGCTACGCCGATGCTTCCACCCCCGAAACCCGCTTCTTTGTCACGGCGGCACGTTTTACCTCAAATCCCAGCACGGCATCATTATCCGTCCATATCTTATCAGTATAGAAAAGCTGACAATTCGAGGACATGCCCATTACTTTCCGCTCTCTCAGTTCCGTCGACAGTGCCCCCGGCAGCCCACAGAGTGGCACACTATCGACGCCCCCAGTGCCTCACAGAGGCTACAAGGAAGTTCCATACAGACCACCAGGCAACGATCATGTCAGCTTAAGCATGAAACACAGCAATCACCGGCACGACCCGCACAATGCGTCCTCGCGGACGGCTGCTGCCGTCAAAACAGAAAGTCGCAGGCGCAGGAACCAACCAACTGGTTCCCGGTCCCGGACGCGCAGTTGTTCATCGTCAACTGTGCAGCCTCGATTTGACGAGGGTACAGTTGAAACATTTGGGGATGCACCTGAAAGCCCACCATCAAGAGCAAGACGGTGGACAATATCCTCCAAAGCCGCCGCGACCCGCGGACTTGCCACTCTTGTGCCGGCCAATGACACACCCGACAGAGGGAATGCAGACAGCCATTCCAACACCTATGAGAACCAAAGCCCAGCAATGATCACTCTGCGGCGGGCAACTACAGCCAGCCCACAAAGACAAACGACAACGCTAACCTCATTCCCACCACCCAAGTTCAGTCGCGACAGTAATGGACTCCTATCCTCGTTTCTTAACACGATCGCGAGCTACAGCGACACGCCTGTCTACGCGCTTGAGGAGTCGGGGCTGACGAAGCAGGTCGCACAGAGTTCACGAAGACCCTCGACATCAAGCACAAACGACGAAGTCCGCCCTTCAACGGGCGCTCTCGCACCACCTGTGCATACCGAGGTGGTAGCGCTAGAACCGCGCCTATCGATATCCAGATCGAATCAGTCCGCCAGCTCAATGCGCCGGTGCTCCACTCGCTACATCTCGGAGAATGCGGTATATGAGATTATCTGGGACGAGAATCTGAGTTCCTCTGCCAGCTCGGAAGGCGGGAACCCCAGCCCTCGTGGCAGAGGCTCCAGCCTGCAGACCCGGGGACTTGCCGGAACAGAAACACTGGAGAGACGACTGTCCAATGCTCTTTCACGCACAGAGCGAGCCTCTACGGATGAAGGCCGGAGTAGAAGGACAAGCTATGTGCCCGGCATGGAATTGTCCTTGCAGAGCATCTGGACCAACCCCAAAATTGCTCGGCTATTTCGGGAGCCAGCATCCGAAAGGCTACCGCGTTCTAAATCCTCGACAAAGACAAGCAATGTGTTCGCTTCATTGTCAACGGACGTGGGCTCGAGCCAAGCTCTCTCACGGTCCTTCCCCAATCGCGTTGAGTTCTTCCCTTCTTTCAGAAGTCGAGCGAACACGAATGGCGGTGGGCATGGGGTGAATTTGATGTATGGACCAGCGCAGGATGATTCGCAGGGAGATACACAAGCGGACCAGAATGCCTTCAGTTAAGCCCAGGGAGACTTGCAGCTCGGGGTAGCCGGGAGCCGTTTTGGCAGTATGCTCGGTGCCAGCTCCCATGCGAAGCGAAGACGGACCTCGGATCATCATGAGCAACTGCACAGAAGCCTGAATATTGAAGGCAGGCGAGCGAGTGAAGGTCGAAGGCCAGCCAAAGAGTCCAATGACGAAACCCTTCCGCTGCTGGGTGGGACAATGGACGAGGACGGATGAGCGGTGGACGTGAGCTCTGACAATGCAGTTCTGCACGCATACCTATCAGTAATGAATTGTGTAGACCTATCCACATGTGGCAAGGGAACGACGATGCGCTGCACAAGTCCGTGATTACCACAGCAAAGCGAGATGGAACAATCGTTGCACCGAATGTACCTCTAGCTTTGCCATCGGGTTCCCTTCCATGCAGCTGAATGGTCACCCGAGGTTGAAGCGAGCTGACCCTTCTGACAGTCTCCTGGAAAATGTAGGGCTAACCAGGGGATGGACAGGCAGCGTGTGGCATGGTCGGAGGATACATCGCCAATTACGTGCAGCAGTGATATGAGTTCGGAAAGTCAACATCTTCTGGAATTCCCGAGGGCCGGCACATGGGATTCGGAAATCCATCTACTGTGTAGTACTCCGTACTCAGCACAGTAACTCGTATCAGGCATTCCGTAAGGTACCGATAGCGGTGGATAGCAAACCAGTTCCCATGTGCACGACAGCGAATCGTGACGTGCCGCAAGCGTTACCCGGGAGGCCGGGAAGCAGTGCTTGCCCACTCGAGATCTGTTGATCTTGCCATATCCATGCTGAAAGTTTCCTTTGATAGGGCCTCGAACACCGCTAGCTCGTGAGCCAATGTTCGACGTCACCCAGATGTGGAATCTGCAAACGGCATTTCTGCGAACATGTTTCCGGTGGCAGCTACCGAGGGAATCACGGCGACAAGAGACGTTGCACCACTCGGAAGTTGCGCGCCACGGACATGGCTTGACAAAAGAAATGAAGGAGGTTCGAGGCACGAGTGAAGCCAGAGTGGCATAGCGACACTGTTATCGAATCGAGCGGCACAGCGCGGTCGTGCCACGGCGTATTAACCACGGCTAGTCCGGCGACGGAATATTCGATACACACCACGTACCTCGTACTAGTTAGGTAAATGAAGTGTTGCCGACGGCGCATTGACCGCCGCCGCCAATTGGGAGGCGTGAAGGAGGGTGTGGAGGGTGTGGGAGGGTGTGCGGGTATGTGCTCGACCCAAAGTGTATCGTCCGTTGTCGAAGGCCCCCAAGCCCCCTCATCTTCCCTCTTTGTCAAGGCGTTAATTACTTCCGTACGAGTCGTTCCTCTCGTTGATCAGTCAGCCGCAATAATCGCAGTCGCCATTCCCATCGCCGTGGGACTTTCGATTCCTCCTCTTACAGTCTTACGCTATTACCTAGCAGGGCGGACGTAAGACGACCCCTGCGTCGCTGCTGTGGCCGACCCACTAAACCAGTTTGTTTGAACAGAAAGGTGGTCGATGAGTGAGCGACGACAGGAGTTCGGCATCGTTGCCGTAGATAACTAGAGCGAGTCGCGCAAGAGGAGTTGACTGAAGCCAGGGCGGTTGTGTGCTACTGGACTGCGGACTGTGTGCTGTAGATCACAAAGAAAGCCCCCGCTCGTCCCCCAAACTCGTAATTCCTTATCCCGTCATCTCCCACCGGCTAAAGTGGCACCGGCGTAGCGGCGCCTTAGGCCTCGTACCCCAGCAGACCCATGCCCGGAGTGCCTGGCTGGCTGGCTGTCTCACTGGCTGGCTGTGTTGGCAAGCTGTCGGCCTCTTGGTGCGCCTAGAGTTTGCCGATAGGCTTCCGCTTCCTTTGCCCTTCAGTCATCATCAGCTGCGCTGCGGCTTCCACGTTTCCCATCCGCAACCTACAGTCCCAGTCCCAACCTGCCGAACATTGGCACTCACTCTTGCTTCATCCCGACCTCGATCGCAACCTCTCCTTTCCTCCCTCTCGAAAGGCCACCATTCCATTCACACCACGAAGCAGACTTTCCTGTAGATGCACGATTGACTTCAACCAAGTTTTGCGTCCGTCCAGCACTCCACCGACCACCCCGAGTCCGCTGTGCTTCTCCTACCGCTAACCGACGAATCTCCGCGGCATTTACGGAGCAATTACGTTGAGCTGTCAACCTCAATTACAAACCCTGCGGCTGAGGTCTGGGACAGACAGCACGCCGTATCTCCCGACTCCATGATTCGCAGATTTTGGCTCCTGCGTTGAGTGCTCTGCTCTCTCAAGATGACCAGGTCATGACATCTATTCCCCTGGCCGAACCACGGCCTCCTCCTCAGTTACCGCGTCCACCTGGCTTGAGTCGACCTCCCGCCAGGAGAACTACGAGCAATGTCTTCTCGCCGCTGGACAGAAGGCCTTCGGGGCTGCAGAGGCAGATGTCGGATATCGGGGATGACAGACCGGCCAAGAGGCGGAAGATGGAAGGAGAGGGCCAGCTGCTTGAACATGCTCCCAGCCACAACACCCTTACTCCCGTCCTTTCACAACCAGCCGACGCAGGGGACGACGACAGGACTGTCCAACTGCGGTGGGTTAAGCCTTCGGCAATCCGGCTGAGAGCAGGCAATTTCCCGGTGAAGGACGAGGAAAATGGCGACGGGGAAGATGACGTGCCTGAACTCCCACCTAGGCCGTGGAGAACGAATCAAGCGTTCAACGCCGTGGAAGAACCGAAACCGTCACACCGATCTCGAGTCAACATTCCTGTTCCTAACACACCGGATTCGATAGAACTCCCCTCTGCGGTACCTCATTTTGTTCCCAGGAAACCCGCGGGCTTCTTTCCGTGGACTGGGAAACATGCCGAGGACGTTCTGAGCGACACGAATGTCAAGACGGGCTATTTCGACAAACCGCCAAATCCGACAGAGAAGGAGCTGAACACCGCGCGTGTGCCCCTTTACAACGCATTCAAGCACAAGTCGGGCGTCGACAGCTTGTCCGTCTTGTTCTCGCTCGTACTCGACCAAAAGAGCCTCCACGGCACGACCAGTTCCGTCTCGACTTTCAAACCGCCCCCACGTGTCACATTGACCGAAGCGAAGCGAAAGTCGTGGATAGCAGATTTGGCCAATGCGGATGTTCCACTGAGACGGTTGAGCAGGACCATTCCCCAGGGTATCAGGGGTCAAGCTCTTTTGGATCAATGTTTGCAGAGTGATGTTCCCCTCAGCCGCGCGGTTTGGTTTGCAAAGTGCGTTTGTGCAAACGAAATCCGGACTCTGAAACGCAAAGGGACAACTCCTACTGTTGCCGTCGGCACGGAGGGCAAGTGGCTGCGTGAATGGACTGTCAGCGTGGAGCAATTTTTGGAAGCACATCTTGCACGGAGCAGCTCGCCGGATTGGAAAACAAACATTCAATATGCCTTGCGGCTTACCACCCGCCTCTACTTGGAGAACCTGCTGGATCGGGATCACTACCTGGACTGGATTCTGCGTTCTCTTGCTTCGGCTGATGTCGGCCATACCCCGTTCTGGCTGATGGTCACTCACATTTACAAGCAAGATCTGAGCCAGTATCGAAGAAGAGGTAGCAGATTCGTCGAAGCGCTCATTAACAAGTTTCGCCCCGTGGACAAGATCCAGGACTCGACGATAGCTCCGTTGCGGCTGAAATTGCGTGCTGCATTGCGTGAACTCCTGTTTGCACGTTCCGCCCTGTTCTTGATGCCAGATAGGTGGCCAGAGAGCATGGAGATCATCAAAGCTTGTCTTGACCAAACTTTGCCGGCTGAACGCCAACTTTTTGATGGACTCAATCGCATCAACGAGAGGGCGATGGGCTACAACAAAGCGGAGATTTCGTCGACTCGAGCGCCTGACCAAGCCCTAGTGAACATTCTCGACTCAGCTCGAGTACCCTACAACCTGACGGATCTTGAAGCTACTCTGAAGACAGCCTGCTCTGATTTTTCACTTCTTATACAAACCTGCCTCGAATGGTCATGTACCCGATTTCGCTGCTCCAGGTCGCGGGTATACCTCATCACACGCTTGGTCAAACGTTGGCAACGGGAGGGCCTCGATGTGGATACTGCACTCCTCAATTTCCTGTCGGCCTACAAAGAGAAAAGAACCACTGCTGATTCTCAAAACTTGAGGCATTTGATGGCGCAGTTGTCCCGGTCCGATTGTTTCAACATCAGCAGGTACCTGCAATGGCTCATGGTGAGAGGCCTCCCAAAACATGGAACAGTCCGTATCGATACAAGTGCTATCTTTGGATCAGCTGCCGGAACTTGGCATGAGGACGCCCCTGAAGCTACTCACTTTCTGCTTGACCTGTCCTTGAACAAGGCAGAGGATCACATTGTCAATCTGAGGCGGGCAATCCTCGAGCGCGCCAGCTTCGACCCCAACTCCGAAGAGGCCGCTTTCAGAAAATGTATACGTTTCGTCGAGCAGGGGCTAGCAGGTCCCAACTCCGCGTCATCTTCTCAAACACCAAGCGTCACCGAGCCCGCTTTTGATTTACTGCCATGGACCATACGGACGAGGATCTCTATGTGGCTTCGTGCTCGAGCTCTCGAAGGTGCCAAAGCCGAGCAAACCGGCCCGGCTCTCCCTGGATCTAGGGTCTTGAACGAAGGGCAATTCTTTCTAATTCGGCACGTTCTTGAAAGCATGGATGACGAGGCAGTGCTGGCTGATGTGGTTGGCATCTTGTATACCTCTAAAAACGATGACCTGGTGGCGTCGCTTGTCGCAACGATCCATTTTCATGCGGACGCCTTTTCTGCCATTGGCGCGCTAGAGTTTCTACAGAAGCAGATGTGTCAAGTCTATATGACTTGGCGGCCAACGAAGCCGACCATGCCCCTACTTACTTCAACATTGTTGGACCTTTGCACCGCTATCCCGTCGAAGATGCCCACGATCAAGCTGCTACAGCAAGACCTAGTTAGGGGCGATCGTGGTCGGGCAGTTGCGGCTTGTTCACCGTATAGTGACGGCATTGCCGAGTCTTTGCAGCAGGCAGGTGCTACCTTCGTTGAGGACTTCGAGGCCATATTGCAGTCGGAGACCAACATGAATGAGCAAACTATGAATGGCCTCTTCTCGGTTCTGGTCGATCGCATTGAGAAGCAGCAGAAATTTGAGGACGACCCCCACACGACCCTGTCATTTTGCCAGCTTTTGAGCCGGCTCCGTCTCTGTCGCAGAGGCCAAGGAGATCTGCTCATACAGAAATGGATGTCACGAGTCTTACCTCGCCTGGACTCGAAGTGGGGCCCACTGCTACTTCGAAGTCTTCTCTCGACCGGGTGCATAACCTTCGACGCCCTGCTAGGAGCAGTCGCCACGTCTAAGCACGGAACGCGACGGAACGTGGCGTTTGCTTCCTTACTGTACCAGATCCTGGCACCCACCAAGGGCACAGCACCAGATTGGGCGGCTTATCAGACGCGAACCAGATGGTACGGGTACGTGCAGCGGGAGCCCAAGACCGTCCTGGAGGTCCTCTGCGAAGCTGGATTGCAGGGTTTCTCGCCAAAATTCGATTCTCTTCTTCTGTCCCTGCTTGTAAATGGCAGCCCTTTGAGCTCGTCCGTCCTATCCGGAGGGGTCAGGCAATGGTTTCTCAAAACACTCAGTCGTTCATTGAACTGTCGTGACGGGGAATTGACCGCGACCGACTTCCGAGCCCTTTTCCGGACCATGAACATTTTCTCGCATCCTTACGTTCAGCTGCGTTTGCGAAGCATGCCAGCAAGCGCTGCGGAGAAGGACCTAGGAGCAAATCACGACGAGTTGGCGGATGTTCTCTATGCGTCTCTGCAAAATACGATGCCAACATCAGCTCGGTCCTCGAGCAAAGGGCAAGACCGGCGATTCGCCCACTTTCTTCAGACTGTCGGTCCAGAGGTAGCCTCTTCGATCCGGCATAGGGTGGAGAATGAGTTTCTGGAGGCATCGCCGAAGTTGCCGCTGGGTAAAGCAACGAGTCCTTTGACGGCATCGTTCCCGGGCGAGATCCAGCAGCTTGGCTCTATCATCGAGCGCGCGTTCCAGGTCTGCAGGCAAGACACCGTGCCGAGCGCTGGGTTCATGTCTCAACTGATCGATAGGTTATCTCAGTACTTCAAGTCGCTAGCTTTTGCTTCAGTGGCTCCAAGCACCCCAGTCACCACGGGTCACCCAGCGATTCCTGGGCTCTCCGCGCCTACCGCAGCCACGAACGCCTCTCAGATGGTGGCTGCACCTTCTACTCCAACCATCAGCGCATCAGAAAATGGACCGAGTGTCTGTTCAGTGCCATGCTTGAGCTATCTGAAGTATATGCTGCAGATGGTGTGTCTACAACGGCCAGCATTAATCCTAGCTGGGAGTACTGGACCGAACTCGAAACAAGGTCAGTCGGAACAGGTGCAACTTGTGGTGCGTCTCGCGTCGATTGCAACACATCCAGCAATGGCAGCGGCATCAAAGCAGCATGGGAACAAAGAGCAGCAAGCTCTGGCCAAAGATGTGATTCTCTCAATGTTTGACATTATCGCCACGATTGTCGACGAGGTCAGCGACGAAGTCAACATGATGTGTGCGAAACTGCTGAAGGACAAATTCCACGATGGACGCATCCGCTATTTGTTTGGCAGTATAAACATGCTCGGATCTGCACAAGTGCAAGACACGGGTCAAGGGCTACAGCTGACGAAAGAAGGCAAAGGGATCATAGGGGAATGGAGACCTCGAATGTGGGAAGTGCTGAATAATGGCAGCGGCAAGGAGACCGAGACGTCTCTGGGACTGGGACTTTTTGGAGCTCGGTACGGGTAGAGTACCTTGGGCGTGTCTGGTTTTTGGGGGGGTTTTGGAACAGGCAATTGTTTCCGTTTACTTGTTCATCTATGGCCATTTACGATGTCACGATGCAATGGGGGGGGGCTTGTTTTGGTTATCAATACATGGCGGGTGTATGGACGGGTTGTGTCACGAATAGACTTCTGGGGGCCCCTTCTGCCTGGTTGCCCACATGATGTGGATAGCGTGAGGCGATATATCTACAGTAGCCAGACCTTATGAAGACGATTGACCAGCAGTATGCAAGCTTAAATTGACCGTAAGTAGCACTTGATCTGGCTGACACGATGGAACCGGTTCGCTGAGGAGCGCCTGTTATGATCGGTGTAATGAAGCCGTGCCCTGGATCTACCCCAACGACAGGGTAAACGGTTCGGATCATGTTTGTTGACCCGATACCTCGTAGAAGGTAAGTTACTCGGTAGTCCTCAATAAGAAAAAATAGGAGGGTGACCAGTGCGTGACCCAGGGGCAGTAGAGACGGTGAGGCCGTCGTGTCATCTGACGCCGCTCACTCACCCACCGCTCAATGTGATTTTTGCCGATCAACCAAGTGAGCGATGCACGAGGTCGTTCACTCTGTTCACGTCGTTGCACATTGGGTCACCAGACACTTGGCCGCACACGACTGCGGTTCCACCAATTCCTATGTTGTACAAACAGCCTCGCACTGCTGTCGCCAGCACATGCACATCCCGGGAGAAGGGGAAGATGATCTGCTTAGCTGCTGCAATGTGACGTGGTGGTGACCTTGGCACGCAGCGACTGAGCCACCAGCTGATCTGTTGCGTTCCCTCCCTTGTACGGCGATGCCCATCCCCTCTGACCCGTCTAACATGCAGTGTGCTCGGCAGGAGGGTTCGAAGATGCAAGTCATGTTTCTTTCCTTCCACATCCGAATTGATCCTGTGGGTGGCCGCTGCAGCTGCACGTCCTACTGACTGATCGCTGACATCCCGCGTGTCTTCACATCACGTTTTGTTCCTGTTGTGCTTCCACCCTATTCATTACATACAATCATATTCTTAGATATCCCGACGACGCTTGGCTTCTGAATGCATCACTACCCTAGTCATACTTTGCACTCTTCCTAAGTTCATTGCTAGCGTGGCTGATCGAGCCCTGGGTTGAAACTGCATTGCGAGTCTGCTCAATGGACGCAGTCGATGTTCCCTTGACCGTCTGAGCCGCCCGACCCTCCCCCACCACATATCTCTATGGCCAGCAAAGGCCATCCCGAACGAGGCCGCTCTACCGTCACCCGGAATGAAGCAATTGCTCAGGAATCGGCCACTCAATCCTCTATCGAACCGTCGGGACGCCCCTCTGCCCGAGCACGGCCTTCGTCGAGTCCTTCATCGAACAATGAGAAGTCGAGATCCAAGTTAGAAAAATGGACTTTGGGAATTCTGAATGACAAGGAAACCGAGGAGGTGCCCGGGACAGTCCTGCTGCTCTCCAAGACCCGCAACGAACCGCTAGGTCTGGAATATCAACATGGCGGCCGGAACAGGAGCAACTCTTCGATGCCGGCCCAGCCACTGTCACCCAGACGTCCTTCTGTGGGCCCTAAGAAGAAGACGAAGGACGGGGCAGTGATACTGGACCCCCAGCCAGATGACTCGCTGAACGATCCCCTCAACTGGCCGACCTGGCGCCGGGACACCGCTCTTCTTACTCTCGGATTCTATTGCATGATCGGCGGCGGCATGACGCCCATTCTGGCGGCTGGCTTCAACAACGTCGCCGACGATTTTGACGTCTCGTATTCGCAAGTTGCTTTGACGACAGGTTTGTACATGATGGGGATGGGGGTGGGTAGTGTTATCTTCTCGCCAACAGCTATCCTATACGGGAAGCGTCCGGTCTACATTGGCGGCGCTGTGATGTTTGTCCTAAGCTCTGTCTGGTGTGCTCTGGCACCCAACTATGCCCACTTGGCCACCGCGAGAGTCTTCCAGGGTATATCTGTGAGTCCGGTGGAATGCTTGCCATCTGCCACTATTGCCGAGATCTTCTTTCTCCATGAGAGAGCTTTTCGCGTGGGGATATACACGCTTTTGCTGCTAGGAGGAAAGAATTTGATACCACTCGTGAGCGCTGTCCTAATCGATGCAAAAGGGTGGAGATGGGTATTCTGGTGAGTCCTTTTCCTTGTGAACTGGCCTCTTTGCTTACTTGCGTAGGGTCGTGGCCATTGTGGTGGGCTTCGGCGGCGTCCTCCTCTTTTTCTTCGTTCCTGAAACCTTCTGGGATCGCACTCCGAGACCTAAGTCGAGGCGACCCACTGCTCATCGAACCCTGTCCAACCTCCTCCATCCCCGGCACAACAAAACCACTGCGGACGAAGAGCCACCTCTGGGTCGACCCGAAAGTACCGTTGCTGTTGAGAAACCCTTGACCGCAAGACAGCATATGTTGCTTGACCAAAACGCACATGCTCGATTTGAGGATAGCCTAGAAGACGAGAAGACGGCACGGCAAGATGACAAAGACACCACTGAAATATCCAACACTGCCCCTTCAATAAGAAGCACTTCAAGTGCTCCTAGGACCCCTGAAAAGAACAGTGACGCGGCACCCATGACGGACGGCACCAATGAGGGCAACAGCTCAGAGGCAGTCAGTCAGGGCTCACCGCCACCAAGGGCCCCAATACAACAACCGGCGCCCACTGCTCTTCCTCGCAAAAAGTTCAAGCCCACTGGTCTGGCTATGCCGCCGAAACCGGATACGCGCACCTTCTCAGGGCCTTGGGATGGAACTCAGAATAGTAAACCAATCGGACTACCGGCAGGCTTCATGCCTCCTTCTGGTCTTGCTAATCTTGGACAATCGTCTCCTGACCATGACTTATCCGTTCCACATCTTCACAACCTCAATTCCCCATATTACGTTGAATTGGAAAAGGGCGGCGACTACCTCAGCCATCATGAGGCTCCCGAACCGCACCACGAAGAGTTCAAAGAGCAAAGGTCCGAATTGGCACGACTGGACACCAATGTGACGCTGCCTGGCTCCAAATACGGTCATTCTGACCTAGAGAAGTCAAGATCGGGGAGCATTGAGGAAGGGATCCATTCTCCCAAACTTGCTCGCTACACAACAGAACTTCGACATTCGCCTCCAAAGTCGTATGTCGAGACACTCCGGCTTTGGAACGGAAGGCTCTCCAAATCGAGCTGGTTTCTGGTGGCTCTTCGGCCATTCATCTTGTTCGCGTACCCCAGTATTCTATGGTCGACACTGGTGTACTCGCTGTCGATTGGGTGGCTTATTGTGCTGTCTGAATCCATCTCGGATATCTACAAGAGCCGGGACAGCTACAACTTTACTTCCCTACAAGCCGGACTGGTCTACGTCTCGCCGTTTGTGGGCGGCATTCTGGGTACAGCAGTCGCGGGAAAGGTGTCCGATATCATCGTCCGGTACATGTCTCGGAAGAACGGCGGTGTGTACGAGCCGGAATTTCGACTCGTCATGGCAATCCCCGTGGCCATCAGCACAGCCATCGGCCTGATGGGTTTTGGCTGGTCGGCAGAAGAGAGGGATGCTTGGATCGTGCCCACCGTCTTTTTCGGAGTCATCTCATTTGGTTGCTCCCTGGGATCGACCACGGCAATTACGTTCTGCGTGGATTCCTACAGGCAGTATGCTGGTGAAGCTCTCGTGACTCTGAATTTCAGCAAGAACATTTTCCATGGCTTGGTGTTTAGTCTGTTCTTTGCGAGCTGGTTGGAGCACGAAGGACCGAAGAGCACATTTCTGGCCATCGGCGGCATTCAGATTGCGTGCATGTTCCTCACGATACCCATGTACATTTACGGCAAGAGGGCTCGGATGTGGACCGTGCGCAAGGGCTTCATGGAGAAGTTTTGAAGAGCCGGCCATCAAGGGTGCAGCGCTCATGGGGTGCGGAAGCCCAAGGTGTTACATAGTCCAGAAGATGTTGGTGGGTTTCTCCCAAATCGGTGCATAGCGGAGGCGTTAGGTGGGTGGTTATCTGGGAATCGAAGAGTAATGAGCATCACGCGTCGCACGAGCAGAGTAAGCAAGCACATGCTTCAGGACAGGAATCACGACGACCACAGTACAACAGGAATAGATATCGGAATGGTAGAGAATAGCATGTTTGTTGAGACCTATCCGCTAAACCATGCGAGGTATTGGAGCAGGCGTCCTATGTAGTCCGCTTACATCCAAGACCATGCAGAAGACAAAAGCCGATACATGGGCCAGAGACGACATCCGATTTGAAACTGGAGCAAATGTCCCTGTTAGTCCGCCGACATCCAGGACAGTACAAGTCGTAGAGAGGAGAATCACGACGACTACAGTGGGCAAGAATAATTAGCAATTAGGAATGGTAGAGTAGGGGGAGTAGGGAACAGAGTACGAAGTAATTACTGTATCTTCTCAATTCTCGAATTTATCCGTCAAGACCGCGACCGGAGTACTCGTACGGAGTAGGGAGTATTCGAGCAGGTCACCTGTTTCTTCGTGATCTGATACTGCGGGTACTGTAATGCAATCCAAGAGATATAATTACCTAGGTTATTACTCCGTACGTTTTCCCGAGGAGAGAATCGGAATTCACGACGACCACAGTGATTAATTAACAGTACAGTACAACAAGAAGAGATACAGTATTGGACTTGGTTAGAGAGGAGAGAGAGGAGAGAAACAAATACGGAGTACGGGGTACTCCGTACATGTACCTTTCCGTTTGATTATCCGTCAAGCCGAAACATACATACCTCGTACCTACGTATGAGGTATGAGGTATAAGGTACTGGAGCAAGTGTCCTTCGTGGTTCCGCTGACGTGGCGTCAAAGTAACAGATACATATTGCCAATGGGTAAGAGTACCTACCTGGATAGAGAACAGTACATCTCTTTCGATACCCGTTACACCATACGAAGTACGAAGTACGAAGTATTGGAGCGGGTGTCCTTTTGTAGTCTAGTCCGCTGGTATTCAAGGCGGTACATGTATGTCTAGAGACGATATCGGTACTCGATCGACTAGACCCACTCGTCCCAGGACGAAAAGGAGGAGAGGAGGGAGGCCATCGACCTCTAGATGGCTCACAATGAGGTCAATGACCCGCAGGCCAGCTTGCTGGGAGATTTCCCTTGGATACAGTTCATATGCGTGCGTGCATGCAGTACCGCTGGGTGACTGCTCGAGGGACTGCTCCCGGGACCTAAGAATAGGCACTGCAAAATAACCACGAACCACACTACTGTACTCTACTCGGCGAACTTCCAGTCTACAGGTGGCGGTCCGTGACTCCGCGCCTTGCCCCCGTCATACTCGAGTACGTCCCATGCGAACGCGGGCGTACGTGTACCGGGAGGGTATGGTATGATATGGTATGGTATGGTATGCAGATAGCCAGGACAGGGGCGAGGAATTGGACAAAGGTGTAGCTAAGCCAGTCTGGGCTAACACGGACGGTGACGTGTGACGTTGTCAATGTACTCGTGCTCGTGCTCATACTCGTTGGATATCAATTCGAAGGGCTGGAGGGATGTGTGGTTTTGTCAGTACACAAAGTTGACGCGGGAGTGCCTCCCATGGAAAAGGGGAGGAAAAGGGAAGGGTATGCCAGATGGTCTTGCTGGTTCGGTGGTTTGGCGGTCATATTTTGTTACCGACACTCTATGCATACTGATTAGCTTGGTGTTCTCGAAAACTAGCCGTGCGTAAAAGATACCAACTAATTGGCTGGCTGGCTGGCTGCTGTTGTTGAGAGTACGTCCCTTTTTGGCCCCAACAGGTGAGGACAGTCAGGAGGTACGGAGTATGGTAAACATAGCTTTCAACACGTACACAGTAGCCGTGTCGCATGTGGTTATGGAGCGCACCCTGTCGTGTCCCTTGCCTGATATGGTAGAGGGGTAGAACAATGGAACGAACCGGCGAAGGTTCCAAGTCTCTTGGCTCCGAAAATAACTCGTAGTGCCCAGTTGATCGAAGCGTCCTGACATCAAGGGACACGAGCGGGGCGCGCACGCGGTACAGTACTGGTGACGACCGGTGTGGTGTTGAGATCCTCTGGTGCATGGGGATGCATTCCGTCTGCTCAATGGGCTGTTGAGAAAATGCCTCGAGAGGGAATGTTCCGATCGCAGGAACTGGGCGTCCGCGCGCAGAACAACCACGAGTCACCCGGACGGGGAACCTACTCTACTACCCTCGTACGAGTTAGTCGATCAACGAGACGGCAGGATGATTCGACTTGTCTGCAATCCAATGCATGACGTTTCTCAAGATATAGCACTCGTAGTGGGTGAAGCCAGACTGTGTGGAGTATCAAAGGTCACGAGGTATTTTTAGAAACTGTTCGTCTTGGACCGTTGTTCGTATAGGCACCTTACTGAAAAACCTCGCCTATCGTGCGGTCTGTATGGCGGAGAAGTAAAGCTGTATGTCAGGAATAATGGAAGGGCGTCTTCTTCTGATGTCGCTCGAAGTGGCATATAGATGGAACATGTTGTGAGAGGTTGAAGCTCGAGCTTGGCTTGTCGGAGGAGTAATGTCAGGACTGTCGTTCCCAGAGAGGTTAACTTCGCGAAGGAAAGATCACCGCCGATCTTGTCTTTCCATGGTGCTTCCAACACAGATGTCTGAGCAGAAATTCAATCCCCATGGTTGGATATCTGAGGACGCGCGATTTATTCCCGGCAAGGCAGACAGCATCGTCGGGTCAAGATTGTACTCCCACACCCACCGGGGCGCGTCTCGGCACGTGGGGATTGAACATGGTTTCATGCAGGAATCATTCGGATTCCATGGGCCGAGTCCCCTCGTGTCCAGAGGCAGTAATGGGTAAATGCCCCCCGCAGGTGATGCTGAACCTAGACCTGAAGCAGCTGCAGATAAGGCACGCCAACGGTGCAGGCGCGGTAGGCGAATCAGGCACACCAGGCAGACACTCGATGCGCATATCTTTAGAGGGCTCCTGAATGGTTCGTTGTAAGGAGTAGGTTCAGGACCAGCGTGAGGTCATCCTCGTGGAGCCTGGGCAGTTCCGCTTTCGGCACTTGTACCCTCGAGAAAGAACCGTCCAGTGTCACTAAGGGCGTCAGGTCATCCGGGATGTCGTTGGAGAAGCGTGCGCTACCGTGGCTGTGACTCGAAGTTCGACAAATAAACGGAGCATTAGATTCCTAGCAGTCATCTGACTCCAGGCACCAAGGCACGGACGTGTAGGCAGCCAGATCAAAATCTCTCGTAGTCGTTTGAGCGGAGCATCGCGAAAGATCGGGACAGGCGTGATTAGGAACCGAGGATGCATCTAGAGCCCCAGTGCTTGTTAATCCATACACAGTATGGCCGGGCCATCAACACCGTCACCACCATCTACACAGTAGGGGCTAAAGAGCCTAAACTACCCACTAAAGGCCCCCCCTTCGGCTGCGGCTTTCCCATCGCCCAATCCGGAGCCGTCGGAGACGATTAGGGCGCCACAGCCTTCTGGCCAGGGGTAGGACATGACACAGCATGGAGCCCTGGAACTTGGTTATGCGTCGATGTCGGTGACTGATCCATTGACTGTCCCTTCTCTGTCTCTTGACCCGTTTGCCAATGATAAACAATGTAACGCCAGCTCTCCGGTATGACCAAAGCCATGGACCCTGGAGAAGTTTGAGCATCGAGCACTTTGTTTATTGGCCAAACACATAGCTCGATACCAGGACCCAGCCGTTACCGACTGTCCTGCAGTAGCCGAGATGACTCCTTCAAGATCGGTCCGTGCGAAAGATGCTGGCCCGCGTTGCAGGTCCACGTCTATAACTATGTCCGGTCACAGTTCTGCCGCTTGGAACCTTTGAACGTCAAGCAACCAGCCAAGGTGAGCTGTCCTCAAGGGGGTGACTAGGGTCCAGGTCGACGACATCTTGTCTTGATACGCGCAGAATACGACAAGCGGACTTTTGCTGCATTGAACGAGGCTGTGCTCCTGAAGAACACCGAGACACGTCTGTTCGGCGACTTGCCTGTTGGCAGGCCCTGTTGGCAAGGGTCATTGGAGGTGCATGTCGTAAGGCATCACTGTTTTGCTGGCGTATATCAACATGTGAGCTCTCGCGTCAGGTATGCTTTAATTCTTGGAGTCTTAATGCATCTTCCAGCTTGCTTGTGTCTGATATGGAAGAAAAGCCATCGCGTCCATTTCAGCAAACCTCAACCGAAGAACACAGACAAGTCTCGTCAACTGAAAGAAATATCGGGCGGCAGGATTCAGCCGAAGTAGACCAACACGATTGGCAACCGAGCGGCTCTGTTGGCCCGAACGTACAAGACACATCGCCCAGGTCGATAGAACAAGAGGAAGAGGTTTCCTTTAGGACGAGTCCCCTGATCGAGCAGCATTCCGCAGCGTCAACTCCTCAAGGTACCCACGACCCATCCGAAGACAAAGGGAAAGAACGGGACATGAGCTATCCAGGCGACTACCATTATTCAAGAATGGCAAATGCGCAGAGCGAAAGAGAAAGAACATCCTCATCAGGTCAACGTCGACCCGACACGTCGAGATCAAGTACCTCCTCTGGCAGCAGCAGCAATGCAAGTACACCCCGTCAAGGTACGGAGGCGGCAAGAGATACCAAGAAAGACGACCGATCAGGAAGCAGCGGTGGTGGCAGTGGAGGTGCCGGCGCGACCGGCAGCAGTGGCAGCAGCCGTTCGAGACTTGTCGCCGGAGTCTTTGTAAGGTACTGACCGATACCAAGCAAGTCTCAGGCAACGACACGTACTGGGACACGGCGTGGGACAAACGGATCCAACCCTCCTCTCCCAAAGACCGCACACATATCTTTATACCCCATTCAGCACGAAGTTACGAGACCCGGCTCATGTTTTTCAGTCAACCGAATATCACTGTACTACCATAATGAAACAGATCACAATCATCTATCATGACTTGCTTGATTTCTCTTTCTATCTAGTTGCTTGCATGTCCTGGACAGGGCAGCAAATGATTAGTCTACATGCAACGGCTCAGCTGGGGGCTTGGACGAAGCCACTATATAAGCAAGATGCTGAATAGTCCCGCTCGCGCACAGCCCGTCCAGCAACATGCTCGAATTGCGTCTTTAGTTCGTCTTATCGTCTCAATATTTCAAAACATTTATCGTATCTTCATTTGGGAGGCGGAGATGGACTCTGTCCTTGCAGGTGATTCTTCATCTCCGGCATACCGGGAACAGGCTGTCGAGGTATTTGTGGCGCAGCGTAAGCTCTTTGCGAGAATGCATTGCCTGGCACATACCGTCCTGGGCTTGAAATGGGCTGCGCTTGTGACATTTGAGGCGAGGTGGACTGGTTATTCTGCTCAGGCGCAGAACTGGCTGTTGGATGGCTGTAGTTTAAAGGTGTGACTGTGGTCCAGCCCTGTGGTGCTGTTGACGCCACAGGCATCGCTTGAGGGGTATCTTCGAAGTAGCTGACTCTTTGGGGGGCAGATACAGTTGCATTAATTGGTTGTGGTGGCGAAGGTTCCGCAATGGTGGGGATTGTGCGTGAGCCGCCCATAGCATCCGCACCCGGGATCTGAAGCCCGCTGTTTCGTGCGGCACGTCGCCGACCCACTGTCGACTCCCTCCGGAGGATGTCGCGTACACTGTCGACATCATTGGAACGTTGCTTGTTCACCTGAAGCTCACGCTCATGATCAAGCATGTCCTCGGGATCGACGGCCACCTTGCGCTTAACAAGGTGGTCGACTGCCGAAGCTTCTCTGGCCTCTGCACCCGTTGTTGTGCTCGTGTTGTCAGTTGATTGAACTTTGGGAAGTTCCACCCGAGTCTTGTTCTGCTCCATAAGCGGCACCAGTCTCTTCTTGTCAGCTTCTTCATCGAAGATCTCCTTGTTCTTCCGCGCAAGTTCATCGGGGATGGCAACTGAGTATGTCGGATTTGCCTTGTGTCCAGCAGGAGGACCACCACCTCCAGGCCCATAGATAGGAACTTTCCGTGTGGCCAGAACAAGAGCGCACATAAACTTGCTTCTTCGTGCTGCCCGAATAGCCTCGTTTGCCCAGTTTGATTTGTGTCGGATTTCAATCTGCACCTCCATCTTGTTCATCTCAGCCAAACCGGTGACTTCGATATCAATGTCTGGCTGGAAGTCACGTGCGTTGTCTTTATCACGGACGAAAGTTGTCATTTCTTTCTTGAGCAAATCCAGGTCTTCGAATGTGGTACCAAAGTCGACGTAGAGCAGGATCCTCTCGCGCATTGCTTTGCTGCGTGACACATTGTCAATCCAGAGCGAGTTGAGTACAATGTTAGGAACCTGTGTGCGCTTGCCGTCTTTGACTCGTCGGAATACAGTGTAGAGGAGGGACATGCGCTCTACAACGTATGGTATGTCGGTGATATCCACCCTGTCGCCAACGTCGAATGGGTGCTTGACGAAGAGAAAGATGCAGGAGCCAAGAACCTCCTGGGCTGTGGTAGCAAAGACAAATGACATGGACAGAATTGCAGTGCCGGCCGTCGCGAGAGTCGTGGTGAAATTGCGATTCAACCAGGCAACGAAGATGAAGATGGTGGCGACGAAGACAACGGTGCAGAGAAGGTTGTCGAGGACGTTGATTGCTTGGTCGACATCGTGCATGCTGCTTGCGATGGATTGGCGTTCTCGGCCGAATTCGGTTACCCGAAGAATCATCTCTTCCAGCGAAATGTCTCCATTGCCATCCACGTCCAGGACCTCGAAGGCTTCGTGAGCCTCTTGTTCCCTTTCATGGCCAAGGACATCGATAACATCTTCGATGGTCAAGGCATCCTTGCCTTCAAGGACGAAGGACATCCAGAGGCGTCGAGCAAGGGCTTCAGCAGAGTGCTTCTTTTCTAAAGCTTGTACGACGATCGAATGAGAAGCGGTGGGGCTGAAAACCTTCTTGCCGGTAATTTCTTGGGCAACGTTGCCAAACGCTGCTGTGACCTTATCGCCAACTCGAGCAACGTTCTGAATGAGTCTCATAGGCGTGGCGGAGCCAGATCGCTTGTGGCCGGGTAACATGCTGTTTCGGTTGCTGCGCTCACCGAGATCGAGGACATCGTTGATCAAGTAATCTTCTTCAAGAAACTCTCGAGAGTATTCGGGGAAGAGCTTCCGAGAAGCTTCATAGAGCAAGCCGACCAGGTATACATTCCGTTTGGAATCTTTGATCCTGTCGTCAAATTGCTTACGGTGGTAGCTGATTGAGAGAAGCTGAACTAGCACCTTCTCTCCGAGCAAGATCAGAGTTGAGAAGACGCAGGCGAAGAGAATATTCTTCACAATGCTCTCCCAGTCCTTCAACTTGGTCTCTCCACGTGATCTCTGGTCGGGATTGAGAGTCATGATTGGGACGAAAGTTGCTAATGATGTGACTGCCCAGCCAACCAGTGAAAGCGGGATCTCAAGCGCGCTGAGCATCAAGGCATATTTTCGTGTGCCTGCGCTGACCACTCCGCAGATGAATTGGAAGAGAAACGGCAGGTAATGCGCCACCATCTTGGAGACCCAGAGCGAAACCCATACGACCTCGAGCCATGTGAAGAACCAGACAATTTTGACGCCTCCAATCCGAGCTCTAGGAGCGACCGTGGCACCGATTATGATGGGGACGGCAATCGCCAAAGCAAGTGGAGCGACATAGATAAAGTAGCGAGTAAGAATCGAAAAGTTGTAGACCTTCCTGTAGAATCGGCCCACGGCATTCAACGAGCCGTCATCCTTGTCGTTGTTGCTCCGGGCCTGATCTGCCAATCTTCTCCTCCTGCCCCCGGGTCCTCTGTGAAAGTGACCTTGCTTCTCATCCATCTGATCGGGGTTCCAGCCCACGTCGTATTGGGTCGTTGACGGAGAAGTCGCGTCGGGCTTTCGGGCACCGGTAGTGCTGCCAGCCGTGTTGACCTTGGTCAGCGGGATATCAATCGTAACATCGTTAGGGTTTGCCATCTCGGGGGACGTTTTGGGGTTAAGAGGTTCGAAGCCGTCCGGGGAAAATTTCTTGTAGTGACCGCGTTGTGACATCCCGGGAGTGATGTCACACCCGAAGGCTGAAGTGAAGGAAAAGAATGTGGGCAGTGCCCGCAGTATCTGAGAAGGTACTACGGTACCTGAAGTGAAGGAGTTCGAAGACTCGTACGCGTTCTCTACCTGAGAGTAACGCGGTCTGTTCAAAAAATGAACTGGTCTCGAGGCCGATTGACCAGGGTGTAACCAGGCAAACGAGGGCGATCTAAACAGGGGACAAGATAGATGAAATTGTGTTACAGGGAGAGCAAAAGCGGTTACGTGGGCTACCACCTGTAAGAAAAAAAGTGTCGAGAAATAAGCGAGTGTTGAAGATGAAGAGTGAACAAAGACGATGAAAGGGAGGGTTGGACGTTTCCAATGTCAGTGCTATGTACTACGCACAGCTCCATCACGTCTCCAATGCACACAACAAATTTTCGAGGTTGCTCCTCCTCATGACGAAGCCTTGTTTCCAACCAGCGGCTCCCCTGTTGATGGAGAGCAAACTGGGGAACGGGTGAGAATCCTTCTGGTCTGATTTGCCCGGTTCAAACGATAACCCAATTGTGGTAGTGGCCGACTGGGCATTTTCGCCAGGAACCGCTCCGCCTGTGGCCACTCAACGGCCGTCGGGCAACTGCGCCCTGTCACGCCTGTCGAGACCCTGGCGAGGATTTTTCCAGGCATGCAGGCCCAAATGTCACTGAGCCGTTTGTGCCCGAAACACAGGTCCCGGTAAGGGATGGTGCTCGGATGTGGCTTACGCCACGGCTGATTTGGCTTGAATCTCAAACAAGTCCTGAAACACGTCCACGCACTTGGCAGCATTCTTGCCCACCGCGGTCCCCAACGCATGCATTTCTGTGTGCTGTGGACTTCGTACGGGGACTGAGTACAAACATACACGTCAGCAGAACTTTCCAGCGAGCTTGAATTACCTACGCCCTTCGCCCGTCCTTCGAAAACCAGCAAAAGGTAGGTAAAGGGAATGGTGACCCGAATGCCAGTGTTCAGAGAGTGCACAGTACTGCTGCGTAATAAGGCCGATCAGTCAGCGGGAAATAAGCATCAGCACGAATTCCGTGTCATTGGTCCCCAGAAATTGATTTCGGATGCTGCTTCATGTTGATCGTACGTACGTCCATTGTCCCGGTCACATAGTGACCTCTTACAACTTCTGGTACTACTCTCGGACCGTCTTTTTCCTGTCGAATGTCAGCTATCCGGGGGCACTCATTTAACGTTCCAGAACTTTGGGGCCATCAATGTTGGTAGGACTTGTCGAGAACCAGGGTTCAAACACAAGTGATAGGCCTTACGTGTATCCAAGAAGCCTCAGCAGTTACCTAGTACCACCTTAGAGTTGCTTCTTCGGAAACTGGTATCCTGCATCATACAGATTAAGCTGCGAGGTCGTGGGCAGCGCATAACACACCCAAGACTGAACCCGGCATCCAAACCGAATTCTGGAGTCACAGATGATGAAACAACAAAAACTCTACCACAACCTCTCTTCGAACAGAGACGCTGTGATAGTAGTTTTCATTACCACCAACATTCTTTGATTGGGCTATATCCGGTGGCCAGCCGGTCTACTCCCAGTTCGCGAACATCTCGTAGATGAGCGCCGATTCGGCTTGAGTCAAGTACGCAAATGTGGTTGGGTTTTGTTTGTGTCGGGATTCGAACTGGTTTTCGGATCGAAGGGAGGCGTCGTTGTCGATGTCGAAGTCGAAGGAGGGTTCGAAGGTCGGTATGGGATGTCGAGACAATTCGTCAGTGGAACGCCTTCTAGCCCGGTGCTAGTTTGATCCAAACCACCGAGGAAATTGTGTGGAACATTTTCTGCATTTTCGATATATCAAGTACAGAGGTGCGGTGAAGAAGGTTGTCAGGTGACTGTGTGAAGGCAGGAAGGTAGGGGAAGGAAATGTTGACTTGAGTCCATGGTGGCAAAAATCCAAGGCGAGGTAAGTGGCATCCATGATTTCTACTGCCAATATTCCACAATGCACATTTTAACCTTTGCATGGTTCCTCGCATGTTCTGGCCTGGCTTTCAGACACATCACCCAAAGCTCGGAACCGTTGTACTTCTTGGCAAGGACAGAAATGCCTCGACCGCTTCCTGCGGCAAAGCTGACCACCGGTCGAAGAGCCCGATACTGCAATATCCGGCGGTCCGACGGTGTAAACAATGGACAGGAACAAAGCAAGCAATCCTTTTCAGCCTTAAAGGGCCTTGTTCCTTGACTGTTCTGCGCCTTTGTAGCGCTTTCAGGATCTTCCATTGACCCCATACAGACTGTTGAAGCTTTGTTCCAATAATAACTGCTTACAGCGAAGAGACCCGAGCAGATGGCCTCAACTTCTATTGCTGTATTTCTTCAGCACATTTTCCCACAAGGTAACCAGCAAATCGAAGAAGACTCGTAGAAAGACCACGTGTTGCCAGATTCCAGATCTGCAGCTGCGTACTACTGAGCACCAGCATCTTGATTCAATATGCCGTAGAAGTTTCTTGTTATGCAAGATAGGCGGCCTCGAGTGACGCCGGCGTCACCACAGCATGGAGGGCCAAGACAAGCCTCAGCGCAGAAGACACCGATAAGAAAAGTCGTCGACGCAGACGGAAACAAGCGGCTGGTACGCCGCGTTGCCAGAGAAGACGGCTTCGAACCTGTTCGCGAGCAACGTCGTCCGGGAGCGACCAATCAGCCTGATTTCGAAAAGGGTCGATGTTATCAAGCTCAATATGAAGCACGGCAACGACCACAATATAAAGCACATCACCGACCAGAATACCATGCCACTCATGGCACCGGACGAGCACCGCATTCGCTGGGATCAAGGGTACCCGCGAAAGCTGATCGTCGACTACATGCCAATGAAGTAGAATATCGCCTGTGGTCTGAGTCTGTTGCTCACCCGCAGTCAGGACTCCGTCCAGCCCCGCCTACTCATCATCAGGAAGACCCATATCGTGCAGCCGAACGAGCGCGTCGAGAAGCGAAGAAAGCCAAGTACATGAAGTGGCTTGAGTGCTTCATCTCATGAACGCAAAGCTGTGGTATAAACCACAAGGTAGGTCAAGTGGCTCCCTAGAGGAGTCTCTGGCGCATCTCAGAGAAGCAGTGCCCTTCAGCAAGGTAAGCATAAATGTAGACTAATCGATACGGATACCAAATAACTAACAGCAAATCTTGACCTGTCCAATCTCCATCTGCGTCGATGCAAATAACGCATGGTTACATGATCAGAGAGATCAATGAATGCATTGCTGAATATTGCTAGTTTCACACACGACCAGCCACCAACAACGTCGACTAGTTATAATTCCGTCCGCAGTGGCCAAGGAGATGGTATGAAAGCTGATATGCGGTACTCCGTCCTCCACGTTCTAGTTCATGAAACTTTCCAGAGTGCGATGCAATTACCCCAGCTTTCCTCCACAAAATCCCTTGGCTAAGGACAGCCTTGGCTGGATGCGCCTCGGAACATTGCTCGTTCTTCCCCCTCTTCGCTTCGGGTTTCTCCTTGGAAAGGGTTACCTACGCTCAGAGAGCTGATTTTTGAATGAACGAATACGATTCTTGATTCAACCTTGTAACAGCTGCTGGTCCCAACGTAGTCCGAAGACGGACAGGTGCCTGACACTCCGATCCAGCCGGAAATGTCGCCTCCAACTTCGGCAGCACGACGACTGGAGCAGGTGCAAGGCCAAATAGGTCGCGCGTCAACAACAGACGACCGGACCACGCCGTTCCCAGAACTCCCATTTGGTGCCCGGTATCTCCACCTCAACAATGCCACCAAACGAAATGCATTATCCGTCGCGGTCCTCCAAGATCTGCGCGACCAGCTCTACGCGTACAATACCTCACCTGTAGACGGGCAGGCCCGCTTCCTCCCCCCGTTCGAGCCAGGCCTCCTCGCGGAACTGGAAAAGGCATTCTACCATCCAGATTCCGAAGCAGGCAGGACATACGGCTGGCTAGTCCATGCGAAGCAGTGGAACCAGCACAGATCCAACCTCCCACGAGTGATCGTGCTGCGCAGCGCTGGCCCCGTGTTCTGCTCCGGCCACGACCTGACCGAAATCCGCGCGATGAGTCACGCGCAAGCCAAACATCTATTCGACTTGTGCGCCGAAGTCATGTCCCTGATCCGCCGGTGTCCCGTCCCCGTGATCGGGGCGATGCAGGGCCTAGCCACTGCCGCGGGCGCCCAACTCGCCCTGACGACCGACTTGCCCGTCGCCCACGCGTCGACGCCGTTCCGCCTGCCCGGCTCGGGCATGGGCTTCCCCTGCATCTCCCCTGTCACGGCCGTGTCACGCAAAGTCGGCAATGCGTTTGGGTACGAGATGTTTGCGCTGGCACAACCTCATCGCGCAGACGAGCTACCTGGCAGGCCGCTGCGGGTGCTGGACGACAACGCCCCGCTTGACCTGGCCGTCGGCGAGATGGTCGCTTATTATACGCAAAGGACGGCAGCCCAGCCGCAGGCTCTGGGGAAGTGGGCTTACTGGACGCAAGTGGGGATGCACGCGAAAACGTCGACTTCGACGGCGGATGGATATGAGGAGGCAGCGGCATGGGCAGGGTCGGCTATGGCGCTGTTGGCGCAAACGAGTGATGCCAAGGAGGGGATTGGGGCGTTTTTGGACAAGAGGAAACCGTCTTGGTATACGTGACCGCGCGGAGGGGCAGGATGGCTTTGCTGTGAGGTATATGGTCAGGATTTCCCCCCCCGCCGGCTTGAAGTTCATGTGCATATGCCTCCCCGCTCCCCTCTTCCTTTGATGTCATTGCTTGACATTTGCGGTGGCAGCATGACTAGAAGAGCATGCGAGAGTGTTGGCTGTACAGACCCGCTTATGGTACCTTCATCAGTCCGAGCCAGGACTAGAGCATAAGAGATGTTAGAGGCTACATCTTTGGCTACGCAACCGAACACCAAATCATTTGCGGAGAGGCGGAGAAAGACACGAGAAAGAGGCAGAGTTTAGAGGAAACGATCAATTGCACTTGTCTATGCCCGATGAAGAGCCATCATATCGCCAGGCCCCTCTTCGACAACTCACCGGGAAAACCCCTAATGAAGGTTGACTATTACTGGGAAGCTTGCCCAGCCTGACTTGCCTGATTTTGAATTTCACACCCGTCCGCCCTTTTTTTTGGGTTGTTTTGTTTTTCGCCCCTTTTTTTGTTGTTTTCGTTGTTGTTGTCGGGGTCAGTAGAAGCGTGCTACTGCGCCTCTGGCGTTTTTTTCAGACACTGCTGGATACCAAGACAGCAGTGTGCCTGTGTTACACATCTTTCCCCGGACTCCAGATCACCCCGGTGTCACTTATTTGTCCGATTAACTCACTCACCTGGTTTGTCACATGGTTGAGGACTTATTTGCGAGTCAGAGAGTAACCACTGATGTGGCCTTCGCTGACACCACCACGGCGCTCAGAGCCAGAGCTGTAAGTGCCGGTGTTGTAAGAGCCTCCAGTGAAGGTGCGCGAGTCGAAGGTGACAGCATCGGCGAAGCGCTGAGTAGAGCTTGACGAGCTTGAAGAGCTGCCATAGGAGCGAGATCCGGAAGAGGAAGAAGAAGACGAGGAGGAGTAGTAGTAGTCGGATGAGGAAGACGATGAGGAAGGCATCTTGTCTGGATGTTGCAGATAAGATCTGAAAGGAGGTTCCGAAAGGGTTTGAGGTGTGGTTTGGTCGGTGGTGTTGCTGGAGTTGAGTTCTTCGTTTTTGAGTGTTGGGAATCGAGTTCTTGCTCTCAAAGTCGAAGATCTGCGTTTGGTATGAGGAGAAGAAAACGTTGAGTTGTGGAAGACTTCGAGGGCTAAATACCTTTCGGGTTCGAGTCTCGAGTGGCAGTCGTTATCAAAAGCTTTGTTGAGTTGACTGCTGCTGCCTTGTTTCTCGTTGGCTTATGTCCGCTTCACCTTGCTTTCATCGTCTTTGTGTGGCCCTTGAAGTCTCGGAGTGCTTGGACAAGGGCAGTATTCCAGGCAGTGTCACGGGTCCTCCGAACTCACGTCCTTAGCTGACGATCATTGTCCGAGTGGAACAGTTACGAGGCCGCCAGGGTCGAAGCATTGTCTCTGCTGACGGTGTTCTGACCATTCTGTGGTTGAGAGCTTTGTGCTCAGGGCGGGCTTTTCGTACCTTGTTGTCTAACGCACTGTCCGCAAGGACTGTTTTTCAACTCGACATTGTCGAACGCATTGTCTCCGTCCCAGACTTGAAAGAATGATTTTGTTGGCAAAGCGAACAAAGCCTTTGCAGAAGGTTTCACCGAAAATGAATACCTGACCACACCCGCCAGGTTCATTGAGTCGGGCTAAACCACAACAGCAATCTGATCAAGAGACCAGGCCAGTTACAAGTCATCCGGATCTCTTCTTGACAGATATTTGTCGCAGACCTTCGATCAACTTCTGCCACGATGCCTTCCTCTCAGTACAGACGTGAAGCCAACGGCTCTGGAATCCGAAATGGTCAGTCTGTGCGTGAAGTAGTTCGCGTGATATCTTTCCTCGATGCAGCAGGAATTCCACGAGTCGTCAGACGGGAGTATCAACTTGATGTCATCCTGGAAGAGCGCCGCCCTAGAAATGCCACTGCATTCGAGGAGCCACCACAATCTCGATCTGAAGATTACGTCCCCTGTGCTGGAGTTATTGAGCCAGCCTCTCGAGGCCGATCCCAGTACGCATCTTCCTCACGACAATCTGGTCGCTCTCGCGCTGACAGCCCGGGATCGCCCTGCGGTACGGGTCGAGTTTATGAGGCATCATCGAGACGCTCTGGAGTAGCAAGCGGCGCGGCTAGACAAGCCAACGTCCGTCCTGTATACGAGGAGCGCCAGCCACGCTACATTAACGACGCTCGAAGACATGGTCATCGGCCGAGCTATCTTCCGAGTCGACGAGAACAACATGCTAATTATCCACCGGCTCGGCGTCAAGAGGAAGACCGATACTGGTACTAACATGTGTGATAGCCAGGTTCCTGGTCCTGCAAACTTGTGTTCTGCCATTCACCCGTTGTTCAGCTGCGTCCATGTGACTGAGACAGCGACGAAAACTGAAAAAAAAAATTGGTAAATTTGGGAGGGCTTTCTGAACTTTGTGTGGTTTCACAGGAAAACTCTCTCATACGGAAAGGTAAGCAGGGCGATAGGTAATAGTAATAGTCAGCTCATTGCTGGTAAATGAAATGATGATTCTTCTACAAGGAAGTATGTTTGTCCCGATGATTGTGTGACTTGACTGAGTGCTTGACATCGTCAGGATTTGATAGAATTTCACTTTAGAACAAGCAAACCCTGAACACACGTTGCGAAATGTCTCTATTGCGGCTTCGCGCCACGCGAAGTTGGCAGCCTTTATTTGACTCCACATACATACCACGCAACCATCATTCCCGTATCCCTTGTGACGACCTCATTCGGTACATTCCCTGTTTGTTGTCGAGCTTGATCACGCTGTGGCTCGATGAATAACTTTCTCCCGTGAATGACCAATATGACGGTTTCCATTACTCGATCCTAATTCCGCGTCGACGTTGCATTCGTCACAAGGCGGACGGATCATGCCGTCGTTGGAAGGCTGTGAGACACTGCGCTTACCCTCGGATCATGGGTTGTTTCTTCCTGCTTCCCTGACCGAACGCCTATCGCTCTTGCCTCGTGATCGTTGTCCCTACGCCATTGACGTTCATTTCCCTTGCACATTGTCTTTCCCAGGGCGAGCTGGTGCTCACCGCTCATATTGAGTAGCCGATACATGATACTCATCCTACCACGAAACAAGGGGGAGCTGTCCCATCAAGAGATACAATAACAATACCGTTGAGCATAGCGTACTGTGTAGTCCGAAGCGCGAGAGCCATTACCACACAGAAGCAAAATGTCGTCTCTACTTGCAACCCCAGCTTATACCAAAATCTCCCCAGAGTCTCAAGATGAGCTATCCCAGTTCATCTCGATAATCACAGTGGCCTTCTCAGATACAGCTCTCACGACGGCTTTCATAGTGGATATCGACTCAACGCCACCTCCTTACCCATCACCACTGATCGACTCTGCCCGCCGACAACGGCACTTCTCGCAGGGCATATTGGACAGTGCAGCTTCGGGCGCTGAACTCGTACAAGCTGGCAATTGGTCAGCAATAGCCCTGTGGGAACCTCCATCTTTCCAAGGGAAGACATTTATCGACTCGAAAGCACGTCCGCCTGCGCTGCTGAGCGAGTGGAGGGCGAGAGTCAAGCAGGCCAAGGCGAAGTACTTGGGCGTGCCGTGCTCTCGGGCGCCATCCTCGTCTGACGAAGATTCCAACTCCGACGCCAACTCCAATGCATCCCAGCTGGACCCGGACTCGGTACAATTACGGCCATTTTATCATCTCTCGTTCCTCGCGCGAAACCCTTCTGTCGAAAGAGTGCCCAGGAGTATTAATGCCGTCATAACACCCTTCCTCGAGCGCGCGAAGGCTGAGAACGTACCAGCCTGGCTCGAGGCCACCTCCCTCCAAGCTGTCAATGTTTACCTGCACTTTGGCTTTCGGATCGTGGAGACGATCACAGTGGGTATAGGAAAAGTCAACGCGGCGGGATGGCCGGCAGACGATGGAGAGGGAGTCACAGCATGGGCTTTGATCTTCGATGAGCATCTGAAAAGTTAAGGACGGCCGCCTTCACGAGGGTTCAGGCGTAGGCTGAGGAAGAGGTATCAGAGGTCAAAAGCCATGGGCAGGCGAGTCTGGAAGAAGAGGACGTGTTTGAAGAGGCGAGGGAGAAGTTGACGGTCGGGAAAATGCATAGCAGAGGGCTCAGAGGTCCTTAAAGGCGCTGGCATCCTCGGTTGAGATTGGGATACTGAGGACACTGGGGGAGGCAAATTGTATGGTTGGACCATGGGCAAAGCATCATTAGATGGTGGACGGTTTTGGCGCCGTGCACAAGGACCGGCTGCGATGTGACGGCGCATTATACAGACCGCAGTCTTCTGCAAGTTTCAATGCACACGCATTTGGCCCGAGTCTAATTTATCTGTCGCGGCGGTACAGCACAACGGTAAACCATTGATATCCAGCGAGGCCAGCCTTGCGCATCGGGAAAATTGCGGGTGCGGGGAAACGCGACCGTGTCCGATCCCATCATTCCAACTTCTTCGCCCGTGGAGGAGTGTAGATAGTGTCAAGCCCATGCCACAAATCCACGAAGCTGCAATGACCGACCTGACCGGAGCGCTGTCTGACATTCTGGTGCAGAAGCACTCGTCAAAGGCGCTCTCTCCACACAGTGACCTGACGGCCAGGCTAGACTCGTTTCTACGGGAAGCGTACCAGATCAACAGATCCATATCCTCTCTGCTAGACTATCTACGAGCGATACGGACTCCCTATCTATCAAGCGCCCCTCCTCCACGTCAGAAGCGTATAGATGTCGAGCGCCAGTCGCTGTCTTCCCATACACCGGGCAGGCATGTGGCGGAGCATCTGAACGACTCTCAGCGCGAAGCCATTGACTCCGAAACGTCCTCCGTCTTACGAGACATCAATAAGAAGATAACAGATCTCAACTCGGCAGTGACTTTACAGCACGATACAGCAAGTAAAGTCCTCGAGCAAAAATATGGTAAACCCAGTGGAGTATTGTGGCGCTGGGCAGCAGGAGACGGCGACACACCGGATGCAGGCAAACCCCAGGCACAGATCGACGAGGAAGGACAACTAAGGACGTTAAAGATGTTCAGAGACGGCGTGTTGTGGTATCTCGGGAAAATGCTCAAGGACGCCATCACCGTTCAGCAGGAGATGGTGGAGAAGCGCCTCGAGCGCGAGCAGCAGAAGCAGATGAGCATACTCTATAACCCGCGGAACAAGGGCGTACGGGCGAACAACAGCATGAACGCTACAGTGAATGGCGTGTCGGAGGGAATAGAAATCCCGCCAACCCAGGATCTGCGTGGTCACGACGAATACAAACCCTGGACAGATCCTCAGGGTGTTGCGGAACAGGAACTATCGCCTGAGCAACTGCAGCTGTTCGAAGAGGAGAATCGCGGGATATTCGAGCACTTCAACGACCAGCTCGCCAAGGTCACACAGGTGGAAAAGTCCCTGATGGAGATTGGGAGTCTGCAGCAGACGCTGGTGGGGCATCTCAGCGTGCAGGGGGAGATGATTGATACCTTGGTCCAGGATGCGATGAACACGGACGAGAATGTGAGGAAGGGCAATCGAGAATTGAAAAGGGCCAGTGAGAGGGGGAGTACGGCCAGGCTGGTGTTTTATGCCACGGTGGGATTTTGCTCGTTCTTGGTGGTTTGGGACTTGGTATTCTGATGGGCAGCAAAGGTGAGTATGAATCTTGCTGTCGTGGCATGAGCAGCATCCCCTAGTAGGCAAGTACTCGTGCTGTGTACACAGCAGGCCTTGATTCTTGCGTGGCACAAAAGTCGGCCACTTTAGCCTTCTTCCCCAGCTTCGGCTGCCGCTCCGATTTACCCCGATCGCCCTCGCGTGGAGAATATCCCCTCGAGCCTCTCCAAGCCGGGGGTCAGCGGGAAATCGATGTGATATATACCATCGTTGTCGAGGTTGAGGGAGACGTAGAGCCAGCGCTAGGAGAGCACGCGGTCAGTAGAAATCAAAACACAATATGCGTGGTACTGTAGCTTGTATCCAAGACTCTGGCCTGCCACTCGAACTCTGTGCAATGAGCCGTCGCCGATTGGGCCATCCGTGTTGGAGATGATCCTCGGTGTCCTCGGTATGTAGCGGGGAAGGAGAGTCGCCTGTGACCCTCACAGCTGCTCGTTTCTCGACCACCGAATGACCAGAAGTCTCGCTCGTTAGGGTTTCTCGTTCCCGTGTCTGCATGTGCGATTCAAACTAAGGTACGTAGCATGCATCCGCCCGCGCCTCAAAAGAATCCAGGCCGTGCGTCGCCCTGCAATGTCCCGACCGTCCTGCACGTCTTCCTCCTCCTAGTCACATCTTTTTGTGAGATTTTCCCACGACATGCCCTCGCAGTCCTCACCGCCCAAATCGCCTGGCTCTTTCCCCAGTTCTGTTCCAGCTCTGCCTTCTTCCTCTTCCTCCTTCGCGCAGACTAATACCAACGCTCGTTTAAGTCAGATCAAAAGTCAGACCATGGGTTCCGTCTCGAACGAGCCCGTCCACACTCTCTTCGACGAGAATGTCGTGCCTCAAGCTCCCGAGGATCCCCTCTTCGGGTTGATGGCCGCGTACCGGAGGGACACCTTTGAGAAGAAAGTTGATCTGGGTATCGGTGCGTACAGGGACAACAATGCGAAACCTTGGGTTTTGCCCGTGGTGAAGAAGGTGGGCTGCCACATTGCCACACTCGAGCCTGACTGACTCTGGTTCCAGGCCGACGAGATTCTGCGGAGCGACCCCAACCTCAACCACGAGTACCTGCCTATCGCCGGTCTCGCCGAGTTCACCTCTGCTGCTCAGAAACTCATTCTCGGCCCAGCCAGCCCCGCCATCAAGGAAGGAAGAGTAGGCACAATGGACACTGTTCTACCCCCAGAAATAACTGACTTGTTACAGGCAGCAACACTCCAGACCATCTCCGGCACCGGCGCCGTGCACCTAGGCGGCCTCTTCCTGTCCAAATTCCTGGCAAAGCCTCACCCACCAACCATCTACCTGTCGAACCCGACATGGGCAAACCACAACCAAATCTTCACCAACGTCCACCTCCCCATCAAGCAATACCCGTACTTCTCGGCAAAGACCAAAATGCTCGACTGCGACGGCCTTCTGAGCACCTTGAAATCCGCAGAGCAAGGGAGCATCATCCTATTACACGCGTGCGCGCACAACCCGACAGGCGTGGACCCGACACAGGACCAATGGAAACAGATTGCCGAGATCATGCGCGAGCGCAAGCTGTTCCCCTTCTTCGACTGCGCATACCAGGGCTTCGCCTCCGGGAGCCTGTCCCAGGACAACTTCGCGATCCGATACTTCATCGAGCAAGGCTTCGAACTCATCATCGCGCAGTCCTTTGCCAAGAACTTCGGCCTCTACGGCGAAAGAGCTGGGGCATTCCACTTCGTCGCCGCCCCCGGTGGCAACGCAGGGGATGTCACAAAACGCGTGGCAAGCCAGTTGGCGATCCTACAGCGGTCCGAGATCTCCAACCCGCCAGCCTACGGCGCCCGCATTGCCGCTATCGTGCTGAACGACCCGAAGCTGTTCGCCGAGTGGGAGGACGACCTGCGCACCATGTCCGGCCGGATCATCGACATGCGCAAGGCCCTCAAGTCGTCGCTGGACAAGCTCCAGACGCCCGGCAACTGGGACCACATTACCAGTCAGATCGGCATGTTTTCGTTCACGGGGATCAGCGAGAAGCAGGTGTTGGCGATCAGAGAGAAGTGGCATGTATACATGACCAAGAACGGCCGGATCAGTATGGCGGGCTTGAACACGGGGAATGTAGAGTACTTCGCGAAGGCGCTGGATGATGTCGTCAGGAACGTCCAATAGCGAGATTAGAGGTGACAATACGAAGGCCAGGAGGAGATGAAGGCGATTCCAAGCGGTGACAGAACGACAAACCAGAAAAGATGATGCACGCTACAATGGGAGCGAAGGTTATGCTATGTACCTACCTACATGGCATAGCCGAAGCTCTGAAGCCCTGAAACCCTGAAGCCCAAGGCTGAGAACGCTTGGACAGCTGGGACTGGCTGTCGCCCTAGAGTACTTCATATTCGGTGGGATTGCATGGCAAGCGCGTCGAGACACACTACTACCTGTTTTACGACAACCGCATATTATAGAAAAAAGCAGACGACGGTCGCTTCCCTTCACGGTCGCAGACATGTCTCCTGCTAACAGCGCCCGTGAAGCCACCTTCACCTCAGGCAGGTACGCCCTGGTTCTGGATAAGTGGTATGAGGTCTCATTTAAAAGAGCATATTCACGCAGCATGGTATCCTCCCACGCGGTCGTAGCGCAATTCTACCGTATCATTTCTCTAGCTCGTATCCGCAATCGCATACAGTGGTACACATAGTAGTACATGAAAAGCGTTCTTGAATCGCGTCCCCTTCATCTCTTCATCCGCCAGTTCTGTCCTGGTCTGTAGATCCCACTCTCAGTCCATCATGACTGCTTGCCCAGTTCCATGGCCAAGTCCCAACCGGTATCGTCATCCTCCCACGTGGCGGCCCCGGAGACGTGTCTGCCCAAGTACAGCCCCACGGCCGTGGCCATGACAGCCAACATGAAAAACCCCTCAAACCACCTCTGCACCCACGCGGGCTCGAGCAACCCCGCGCCAAGGGCCGTGTTGATCACGCTGCCCACCTCCCTGGGCATCATGCCGCGGAGCATCAGGGCCGAGCTGATGACGTACATGCCGCTGATCTGGCTGATGAGGAGGGCAAAGTTGGTCTTGGTGGCGTGCAGGACCGAGGGCATGAAGCGGGCAAAGAGGTGGAACGTCTGCGTCACGGCCGTGAAGGACGCGAGGAGCATAGCCCCCGACAGGAGGAACGAGACCTGCTGCGCCCACGACGCCTGGTCGAGCGAGGGGTAGACGTGGCGCGCGAAGAGGGCGATCGTGTAGGTCACGGGGTCGGTGTCGGAGGTGGCGGCGGAAGGAGAAGGGCTCAAAGTCCGCCGAATGATGTTGACGGTGGTGGTACAGATGCGGTAGACGCAGTAGCAGGCGAAAACGTGCGAAAAGGCCAACGAGAGTCGCCCCGCGGGCGTCGTGGCCCGGAGCTGATTCGCGCGTCGGGCGCGGAGGATCGACAGCGATGTTTCCAGCGACGAGGCCATAGTTTCGAGCCCGGAGGCCTCCATCTCCAGCACATCCCGTTGCTGGTCGAACGTGCTCTTGCGGACGGCGCCGACGGTGCGGCTCCAGAAGCTCTGGATCGGGCCGTGGTGGTTTTGAGCTGCAGGCGACATCGACTCCATCATGCGTACGCGCTCCTTTTTCTCGGCGAGCATGTCCATGGTGGCGTCGAGGCCGGCTTGTTTGCGCGTGATGTCTGTGTCGGCGACGGTGCGCGCCTTGGGCCCAAAGCTCTGCCAGGTGGCGCTGACGGAGGCGAAGCCCGAGAGCAGCGCCATGAGCGACACGCCCGTGATGCCCAGTCGATCCAGACACGCTTGGAAGAGGCCCGACTGCCGCGTTATGCTTTCCGTGATGGGGATGGTGGGTGTGTCGGGCAGGAGCGCGCCGATCGCCCAGAAGCCGAACAGAAAGGCCGCGTAGCCTGCAAACTCCAGCACCCACGCCAGATGGGCGCGGCTCCTCTTCTTCTCGCCCCGGAATTTGTACCCCGACTTTGCGACCACGGAGGATATGCCCAGCAGGGGGATGGCCACGACCAGCAAGCCCAACAGGCTGACCACGGTGATTTGCAGGGCAATGCTTCTGGCCGTAGGGTTGAACGAATTCGAAATCTCGCAGAGGAGCAGCTCCGTCAACACGGCAGAGAGAGCGATCGTGGACGCGAATGTAATGGCCGCGACCCGCCGGGCGACCTGTTGCGTGGTGGGCTCGGGCGCTGCGGTCGCTGGCCTGGGGAGACCTTTGCCGCTGTTGCTGCCGACATCTCCAGGACTCTGGCTTGTGGGAGAAGTCTGGGACAGAAGAGGGTACACTTTGCGGTAGGCGACCAGGGTCAGCACCGCAAAGGTCGCGACGAAGGGAAGGGTCGAAAAGGCAGCTTTGCTCGTGAATCGACCCGAGTGCATAGACGCTGGGGTGCACTCGTCGCAGTCGTCAGCGGCGTAGGTGGGCAGCATGGTGGGCGCTCTCGGACGGAGATACGAGGCGCCTCAGTTTGCGAGGCATGTTCTTACCTCGAGGACATGAGGGACAGATTGGGGTAGATGTACTGTGTACGCACCACGAGTAGAGAAAGAGGACACAGACTTGTATGTACTTGTGCCTGTGCGCAAGGGCACGGATACGCAGTCACACAGATGGACGGAATCTGGGCTTGTGGTGTTGGCCGCGTTATCGATTGGGCGTCAGTGGATCAGCCCCGCCACCCCGGAAGGCGATTCGCTGAGCTGTGACGCATAACGGCGTAACGGGACGCGTACCTCGTACTGGCGAGTCTGGCCCACGGCCTGTTGAGAAGCATTTCTGCACACGCCGCTCTCAGCCTCAACGAATCCAACACCGTCCGACTGTATACTTTGCACTTTAAGTCGTGGACATAAGCAAATAGATGAGGTCGAGTACAGAACGATTTGATAGATGCACCTGAATTGGGTATCCACGGGTCTATCCCAGTCCGATTTCTATCGTTTGCAGGTGGTGTCAACAGCCGCTCCTCAGTTTTCCTCAGCCTCCGGCTTTGCATTCAGGGGCTCAATCAATAGTGCCGAACGCCGCAACCGCGTCAGCCCTCCACACGCCTGTTCGACGAAGACCTTCCGGAACTGTCATCCCGCTAGTGACCAGTCTCGCAAGTCCACAAGACGGGTCTCGAACTCAGCGAAAGGCGCCCACGTGTTGCTCCGTAGAAACCTCGGAGAAGGCTTTCGTGCCCGAGGTCCGCCTTCTCCAGATCGCGGTTGTCGTGCTGGCGTGGTGATGGAGTTCAGGAGACTTCATTTGAGGCCCTCCGGCGCAAGCTCCCTATGGCCTCGCAGCTCATATTGATGGCTCGGTCGCCGGTATCTTGGAGTCCACTGCCCGAATACCTGCGACTGACTGCGCCAGCCGACGTTGTCTAATACTGATACCCTTGTTCATGGTCGAATTCCTTGTCTGTTAAGTAGATACGCGAGGTAAAGTAACAATGCAGCTACCACCAGATGAGCAGTAACTACCGTGAAGGAGATCGACCATGACTGGGAGCCCTCCTGTGCGGTTTTTCACGTAAGATATCCGCCAACCAAGGTGTCGTCTCTCGAACGGATGGTCGTCTCTCGTCCACAATATTGGGCACCAGGAGACGGATATCCTCCGTGTCAGATACGGCTGTGTCACTTTCTCTGTGCTCGCCGCGCTTCGACGGTGGTCTCGGTGATCTAGCCCGCTCGGTTGTTCGATCAGTATCGTCCCAATCTTCCACCAAGGCAGCCATGCTGGGGCTTTTCAGGGCGACATCGGCTTTTGGGGCACTTTCCGTGCTCAGATAGCCTATGGGCAACGCGAAATTCCGCTCAGGTGAATCCTCATCCGATGTCACGTCACTCTTCCCCGAAGTGACCCGAGTAAGCGGACCACCATACGTGCCTTTCAATATCCCTCGCTTCGGAGGACCAATGGCCCTTTCCACAGCATCGGCTTCTTTCTCAGTGGCTTCCATTGCCATTGACGGATAAATATTCTTTGCAAATACGTGGTTGCCGCCTGCGGTCTGAGCTTGCTCGAGCATGTTGCTGTACAGACTGCGACCAGTTTCCATCTGTCTTTTCTTCTTTTTCTTCATTCGTTTAGAGCTGGGTCGAACGACAATGACTGGAACAGGTGATTGTTGTAGACAGTATTTGGAGACCGATCCGGGAAGCAAGCCCTGCATCCCACCCAAGTTTCGTCCACGTGTCCCTACCACCAGTGCTGCAGGCTCGTACAATTGGATCTTTTGTGAAGGGTCAGCAGGCGGCCGAATCCATTCAGGTGAAGGTGCAGCTTACCATGCGCTGGAAAATTTCCTGCACTTTGCCCACGGCCAGTTCCATGATGATACTGATCGCCTTTTCTTCCTGGCTGTTTTTGAGCATCACACTGTCCAGCAGTTGCTTCGCTTCTTTCCGATACTTCTCCCGGTCATATGGAGTATCATGTGCCGTCTTCGAGTCCTTTTCGATCACTCGAAGGCAAACAATCTCGTCGCCGTCGTCAACGAGTTCGTCAATCATCCACTCCAACGCATATTCGGAATAGTCTTTGGCGTCCGTGCCACATAGGAAGACACGACTTCGCGGGGTGGCAGCATAATCGCAATGCTTGTATTGCAGAGTAAAAGATTCCGTTGATGCATCTCGGTTGTCAATCGTATCGAAGGAAACCCCGCGCTGATAATGTGTTGGGGGAGGCGGCGACGACATTCTCCTCTGCGACACTGATGGTCGGGGACCTGGGACAACGCTTTCCCGCCGTATGGTGTTTTCAGCGTCGGCGGTATGGAATTGGACCGACGACTTGCGTCTTCCACCGTCAGACTGGTCCGCGAGCCTCGGTCTTTGAGTCGCCCTGGCTGCGTCTTTCCACACCTGGCCGAATTTAAGTTCGTCCTCTTCCTCTGGTGCTGCAGGTGGTTCGTGCGCAGAGACGTTCGTCATTTTATACCGCAACAAACGCGCGGGGTAGTGCTCGATCGAGTCGAGGTTATGTCAAATGAGGTTCAGCGGGCCGCCCGTACTATGGAGTCAGCTGCGAGGAAAGAGGATAAATGAGTACACAGTAGGTCGGTGGATGGATCGTAATAGCACTGCCACTCCTCATGGGGCGTGTTCTAGACCGTTATGTCGGTGTATGTGGCCCGTGGTCCCGCCTCTTTGCTTGGTTCGTGATGATTCAATCGTGACAGACTCGAAGATGTTGCAAATCGACCGCCCTCAGCCGGCATGTAGCTGCATCAGGTCAGAGGTGGAAGGGGAGCTGGTGGACTCCATTGCCGGTGATCAAATGTTTTCGAGGCACGCGGCTGTGAACATGCTTGGTATCTTGGCCTGCCTGAAGTATGGACTCCTGCTAAGCTGAAATGTTCAAATGGAGGCGAGGACTGCGGGGCACAAGGACGGCGAGCTGGGCAGCTAGTCAGAGGGAAGGTGGAGTAGTAGAGACTCTGAAGGGCGGGAGGATTCCGGTGCCAATCGTTGCCAACTGAGCTGGATAGAGGCCGGGGAGAACAAGGGAGATTCAGGCGGCTGATTGCACAATCAGAAACGTGCCTGGAGGGTGCGATGGGTGTTTCCGTAGTTCTGGAGTTTAGTGACGGCCCAAGGGTTCTCTCGAACGCGAGAACGACTTCCGTGACCTCAATATTGTTCCGTCCTTCCGAAGCGAGCAGTACGCTTACACGATACTGTAATAAGATTGGAGCTACCTAGGTACCCAGTTCCTAGGTACCTAAGTCTTCACAACCGTCATATGTTTCCCCAAGATAGACGGCCATCTATTCTCTTGCTGCTTCGTAATGGTTGTAGGAGGACATAGTAGCTATGCTGCACGTGAAAGTTAGGACTCCTTTCTTCACTGCCAGTGTATCACAGCAGGCTGCCAGGTACTTAGTCAAGGTACCACCGAGCATGTGAAATGACGGCTTTCGGTACCACGTCCTCACGGTCAACATTACTCGCTCCGAGGTACTGAAGCATGTGATTTTCGAGAAGGCTTGGCCTGGATCAGACAAAGAAGAGCTGTGGGCAACTTGTTCGAGTACCAAAATGAAAACGTGTTCAATATCATTTGATACGCAGCAGACCATGGTCCAATCTTTGCCACCTACTCGTCAGCGGTGGAATTGACCACGCATTGCACCCCAGCTTGCCAACCTTCCCCATCAGAGACCTTATGCAATACCGCTTTACACCACTTGATGTGGCCCTTTTCAATACTGACTCTGCTGTCTGCATGCAGTGTCCATACAAGACAGTGATGCACGGAACCATGGGCCTGTCCTGCCTCTCCAAAGGATGTCTTGCTGCCATGATTTTGCCGTCATGCAGTGTACGAATCCCGTAGTCCCAGTAAATTCGGTTGCATCGGTCCCATCGCCCAAGTCTGTTTATCCCAAAAGTCGTCAAAGGACAACCAGGATTGAAGAGGCAACCTTGCACTTGACGTGCGGCTAGAGACCAGGATGCGACTTCCGTCGCGCCAGGATTGTTTCTCTCGATAGACTTCGGGCAGATTTCCGTTCTAAATGATATCGATGGAGATTCTTGGCCGATGGCTCACTTTTTTAGCTCCACGTAAGGGTAGGGCACTCGGTCCTCCTGTACAGATTCTACGTTAGTTGAGCAGAAGACGGCTGTAATGAGAATTGACATACCTTGCGCAGGGTGATCCTCGTTCTCTTTTTTGTGACTTGGTGTTCAACGAAGACCTCTTTGGCGTTCTGCGCCTTGAACTTTCGAATAAACCGTGGATCCCAGAGCTCACTGGCGACTCCTAGATCTTTGCAACACCTCATCAGGGCGTTCGACTTGCAACCTTCTACGGCCGTCGGTATACCCTCTTTCGTAAAGTAGGCTTGCTCGCCACGTGCGATGGAGACGAGTCTGCGGAACCAGTCAATAGGGGCGCACCTTAGTAGTACAGGTCAATCCTCACCGGCCATGCGCCAACAATGCATATTCTCTGGTCACTGATTTGTCCGTGACAATCGTCTCGCTTCTTGGGGCCATTCCCCACCCTCCGGGTCCGAAGGCCTTATTCAGTATCCGTCGGTATTTGATCTCAGGCAGGTATATTATGCCATCCGATTTGATCTCAACGTCTTCGGGGTCTATCGGTGCTAGCAAGACAGCTGCCGCCTCTTTTGAGAAAGGTTCAGTGGATAGACCATGGAATGACCTGGTCCAGTCGACATTTGAAGGATCGTCTTCTTGCAGCGTCAAGGGCTGGTCTTCGAGATTGTCGAGAGTGCGGGCCTTGGCGGCTACCGCAGGTTTCTGGGAAGTTGCTGGTATGCTTTGACCAGAGGTTGCAGTGGCTTCAGCGCGTCGAGAAGGTGATTGCGTGAAGATTGTACGTAGAGGGACAGGGCGGAGCGATTGAGGCGAAATAGAAGTATATGCTAATGAGGTCGAACGCGGCTTCGGAATTAATGCATTGAAAGCCTTGCGAGGAAATCGTGTCGCTGTTGACATGTTTCCGTGACACCAGGGCAGATATGAGTTTGTGGAAACGAGAATTTATACAAGAGATTTAGAAGGCAGAAGAGATGAGGAAGTCACAGATGGCACTGCGCAACGCAATTGAGTACTGCAAGGATTGAATGATGGCAAATCTAATTAGAGAGTAGATACTGAATCATAAGTGGATGCTCGAACTCCCCGTGATGCGCACCCCAATTTTAAGCCGCGTCGTCGCCGCACGTCGACGCCGAATCCCGTGACAAGGCCAATTCAGTACTTTTCATCCATCAGGTGAAGCTGAGGAGAACATCGGCCTCGATATCATACTTTGCATTTACTTTCCTGACGACGCTTCCCTGCTTTGTGTGCGTTCCTCGTTGCCCTTCCGCTTCCAACATTGTCTGAAAGCCTCCATCTGGTGCGAAAAGTCAGTTTGGCCTGCATTTTGCTCCGCCGAGGACCAGCCGATAAAGCGCGGAGAGGTCTGCTCAAAGCATTGGGGGTTGGGGACTCAACACCTACTTCGGCTTTGCAAGCTCGCCAGTCCTTCTTGTCGTAGTAGCAGTCGTTCATTCGGAGTTGCTCTTCTGTCTCCTTGCTCAGTATCCAATTTTGCAGATTTCTCTAGCATTGGGATCTCGAGTTTACCGGCACAGCCTGTACTGAAAATCCGTCGGTCCCTGTTATTGTAGCCGAGACGTCAGCCTCGATCGGTGTCATGACTTAACGGCCTAAAGTCCTCACCAGTCATCAAGCTCCTCTTCCGCTGCATCGGGCTGGTTGGCGTTGCCTTGTGCCGACATATTCTATCACGGAGGTGGCGAACCAAAATTGAGAGAGAACTCAAAACTCGCAAACAAAACCGGAAGTCCGAGGTCGTTGTTCCTGGCAGTGTCGTCCCACTTCAGCGGCATCGATATCCCATTAAACTCCCTCCACCACAGCCATGTCTAAGCGAATGAATATCCTCGTCTACTCCGGTGCGCTCACTCAAGATGCCTGGAGAAGTAATCCCAATCTAATGCTGTCTTCAGGAAATGGTAGCACTGTCGAATCAGTTCGGCATTGTCTCTATACCCTCCGGAGGCTGCTTGCTCCCCACTACGCTGTCATCCCGGTTACTGGTGATATGCTCATCAAAGAGCCTTGGACAGCGAGCTGTGCCGCTGTTGTGTTTCCGGGTGGTGCAGATCAAGGCTACTGCAGAACACTAAACGGTGAAGGCAACCGACGTATTCGCCAGTTTGTCGAGCGTGGTGGTGTGTACATTGGATTCTGTGCTGGCGGCTACTACGGGAGCAAGAGATGCGAATTCGAGGTCGGCAACAAACTCTTAGAGGTGGTTGGAGACAGGGAGCTCGCTTTCTACCCTGGCACTGCTCGAGGCTGCGCTTTTCCCGGGTTTGTTTACCATAGTGAGAAGGGCGCTCGAGCTCCCGAGTTGAAAGTCGACAAGACATCCCTTGCTGCAGGGAATGTCCCGGATGTCTTCAGGTCCTATTACAACGGTGGTAGTGTTTTTGTGGACGCACCAAAATACCGAGAGCATGGGGTCGAAGTGCTTGCCAGCTATACCGAGCGCTTGGCGGTCGAAAGTGGCGAGGGAGCCGCTGCCATCGTCTATTGTAAAGTCGGTCAAGGCGCCGCGCTATTGACTGGTCCTCACCCAGAGTTTGTCTTTCTCGGAAAGCCGGCGGACGACTGGTCACTAACGAAGCCTAGGTTTGCTGCTGCGAACATTGAGCCGAAGCCAGAGGTTCCTGGGTTCTCAGACGTCATCAAAGCCCTGGCTGGGGACGAGAAACACAGAATGGACTTCCTCAAAGCATGCCTGACGAAGCTTGGTCTCACAGTGAGCGATGAACAGAATGTACCTTCCCTATCCTATATGCATCTGTCTTCATCCGACCCTGCAGACACTGCCCGGGTGATGTCTTCCCTGAGCCACCTTGTCGAGAAGGATGAAAGGGGTGACGAGTTTCTCAAGGATGAAAACGACACATTCCAGATCCTGAAGCCATCCGTCTGGAAGATGGGTGATTTGATGAAAACACTACCTACAGAGTCGGATTCAAAGAAACCTGCTGACCGATCCGATGGCAGCTCCGATCGGATAGTCGATTATAACACGGTACTAAAGAGGATCATTGTGCATGACGACGATCATCCTCAAGCAAGGTCGACTCCATACTTCAACCACTCCGCTTTCTATTCGAACCTACACAAGTACCAGTCGCAAACGCCGGGCGCGGTTAACTTCGGTGCTCATTTGTTGTACGGGGAAGTGGTTACATCCACAAATACGCTGCTTGAGAAGAATACCCATCTCCTTCGGGTTCTCCCGCAAGGCTTCACGGCAACTGCCACGGTCCAAGTCGCAGGCAGGGGCCGAGGATCCAATGTCTGGGTTTCACCTGCAGGGAGTTTGATGTTCAGCACTGTCATTCGACATCCGATGGCCCAGATGCAGAGCGCTCCGGTTGTCTTCGTCCAATACCTGGCAGCAATGGCAATCGTGGACGGCATCAAAAGCTACGATGGCGTGCTTTATAAAGACGTGCCAATCAAGCTCAAATGGCCAAATGATATTTTCGCCCTGGACCCTGGCAAAGCGAGAAACAATGGCGGTGACCGCAATGAGAATTACACAAAAATCGGGGGCATCCTGGTGAACAGTCACTACAACAGCAAGGAATATATTGCCGTTTGTGGCATCGGTCTGAATACGTCCAACGCTGCGCCGACCACCTCTTTGAACCAACTTACGCAATTCCTCCCCCACAAGGTCGCCCCTTTCACTTTAGAGAAGCTACTGGCCAGGATTTTGACCGTCTTCGATGACCTGTACGCTCGATTCTTGGCGGCTGGCTTCAATGAGGCTATGGAGCAGATGTACTACAGACACTGGCTTCACATGGATCAAATTGTGACACTTGAAGCTGAAGGCGGTCAACGTGCACGAATCAAGGGCATCACAAGAGACTATGGATTACTTATCGCAGAAGAACTTGGATATGAAGACCGTGAGACTGGTCGGAGATGGACCTTGCAGAGTGACGCCAATAGCTTCGACTTTTTCAAAGGGTTGGTAAAGGTGAGTAACAGCTGGTGGCTGACAATAGCCACAAACCACGTTCCACATCTTTGAAACCACACTCTCTATGACATGGCACAAAGCATGGAGAATGCTAATGAACTGACCTTTCGATCGACAGAGAAAGATGTGATGCATATCTCAGGTCCAAAAGTGAGGCAGGGCTGGACTTTTCGACCACCAAGCCTTAAGTCGTTGCCGCCACCGGCCGTGTTGTCCATGATCGCCAATCTCGGAACTGCATGCAGACTCAGGCATGTACGTATGTTATGGGTCTAGCCGACTCTCAGTCTTCATAACCGAGTGGTCCTCCCCAAGAACTGTACGCAAGATGCCGTGCTCCGAACGCTCGAGATGCAGCAATCCCAGTCCGGATGCCGGCACACAGGAGAAGCATATTAATCGGTCTGCTAGCCCCGAACCACTCTCGTACCACCTACAATACCCGTCACAGGGTTCGGCTGCAGTTGGAACGCCAGCGGTTACACAACATGTCAGCATTTCTCGGATTCGACTACATCCATTTGGCTTCGACGGACAAGTGTCTCGCTACTAAACTGAAAGAGGAAAAGCGAAGATTCTGCGAACGGTTTCGGAGCAGCGGTGGTTAAGTTCCCGGCAAAGGCCGTGCAGTATTGTCCTGCAGCGGTCAGTACTGGCACAGGAGCGGACGGCTGATCAAGGTGCTTAAGGACAGGGCTGGCTGGTTTGCCAGAGTTGTCTATTGAAGACTTGCACATGCTCGGCGCCCAACATAACGAGCTGTGATATGGACACTTTGGATTTCGTGCACGAAACTCGCCAATACTTGCAGGACGTGTCGCGCTTCGGGAAACGGTCTAAGGGCGAGCGCCCTGTCAGGCCATTGCAAATAAGGGCGCTTTCACGCCAGGGAGGTGTTGGTGACTAGCGGTGTCAAGAACGAAGAGGACCACAGAAGCTGTCGGCTTGGCATCGACTGCAAGGCATCGACGATCCCGACCTTTCTCAACAGTCATGCTCATGAAAGACGTGAGGCTCCACGGGGTGCCTGCATCGTGATCCGAAGAGAAGCTGCAGCCAGGATGCTGCCGCGTGGTTGATGCAGCACGTCCACAAGCACGTCACACTTCCCGCTTGCACTGCGCTGGAGGACCCAGCTACTTCGTTCTCTCGCGAGACTACTGCGTAGCAGCAAGAGGCTCGTCAGCTGTGAGCGCACCGGGTTTCTCCCATTCGCCCATCACTATTGCCTGCTGCTGCCATGCTAAAGTGACATGTTCGTCGTGGCTATTTCATGGCCGCCATCGAGTACCACAGGAGTAGACATAGTCGTTGGGTCGACCTAACAAGGGTTTTTGCCTCAGTACCAGTCTTCCAGGCGTCTGCTATACAACTAGAGCATTCCTACTCCGTATGTTCCAAGTCCTGGCCCCTGCGCAGAGCTTGGGAGGCTGGACTAACGAGTCGTCTTTCGACCCCGCTCGTCCTTGTCTATTGCGTACCTTGGTGGGGAGGCATGGAGGGTACCAGGTAGCCGTTGGGTACCTCGTAATTCTGTTTCGGATGTCACAGTGTTCGGACGATCTTTTTCCGGTGAGGGAAGCTGGCACCCACCAATTCGGCATAGTAGCTCGCGTTGCATGCGAATAGACGAGAAGCGAACCTGGCACTCAGCGATCGCCTGGCGCTGGCGGTGACCTGTGGCTTGAGCACAGCGGCAGCCAGTGTGGGAGCGTCTTCCGCCCGTAGTTAGACGCATGTACAGTACAACGGACCTCTACGGGGCGCATTATAGTCTGCTGCTCTGTGATGCGAGACTCTCCGCGTTTCCCGTCTTGTCCGCTACCTCTGCTCGTCTGTGATGCGTGACGGGTCAGGTCGTACATAAAAGCAGGAGGAGGAAGAGCAGCTGCACTATGCCAGTCATTGTCTTAGTACTCTGTCCTTGAGTGAGCTCTGGTGGAGGGGATCCACGCCTAGTAGAGCCGCCATGTGTATATACGCCAAACACCTGGATCCTCAACGCGAAGCCCCACGACCCTCATCCCCATACCCGTGAAAAGGATCGTGAGGGAGGAAAGAACCGGGCGTTGGAAACACGAAGGTTTGACGTAAGACGCAGCTCGTGCAGAGGCCGCACTCCACAGTCCTTGGTGCCTCTACCAGCCCCCACATGTGGCTGCATGGCTTTTCAACCGTTCGCCGCCAGGATCCATCGAACTGGTCGAACTCTCCGTCACCTAATTACTCCGTACCCGTTTGGCCGACGTTGCCGACGCTCATCTTCTCCATCATCGACCTACAGGGACCAGGCCACCATGAGACCCAGAACCAGGTGATTGGTCCGCCATAACGCCTAGCGTCGCCGGTTGTTCCAATGGCGTCGGTCCCGGAAACGCAGTGAGTGGCAATTCATGGCAGCGTTGCTCTCTTCCATCCAAATTTTGAAGAACAAATCTGATGAATTCAGTATCTCGCACTGTGTAGACATCCCACTCCTGATTCCTGATTCCTGATTCCTTCCGTCGCCAGTCATCAAGAATCTTCAGCACTGTCGACTACTTTCGAACGGCATATACCAGCCCGTCTAGCCAGGAGCTGAACAGAAAGGCTGCGCTGGTGCTTGGACGGTGTCTATCAAATAGCCCTGCCATCGCCTCAAAGATATGGTCACACTAGCCTCACGAGTCTAGTCGCCCTTGTCGCACCCCAGCCTTGCGCCTTAACCTTGCAGAGACCAGGTCCTTGTCTACCCATGCTCAGGCCAAGTCATACTTACATAGGGTCCCTAGCCGCACAGCATTCGCGCCGAACCAGGAGCTCCCCAGTCAACTAATCCTTCCCGTTTTGGTCGAAGTCCTGCATCACGTCTCCCACCTGACGCAGCTCTGTCGAGCGGCTTCCTTCACCGCAGATCCAGCTTGTCCCAAAATCCACATATGCCGCTTGAGGAACATAAAAGCCCGTTCCCCTCCATGTTCTGAACAAGAGGCCAGCGTCTTTTAGGGCTGCTCGGTGCGCATGGGCTTTTCGCCTTTGTGCCTTACTCCAGTCTCGTCGACATGGAGACCGTCTTCATTACTATTCATGGTGAGCGTCGTAGCTGGGACCTGCCATTGCAATGCTAACAAGTTGTCAGATTTATCGCAGGATGCTAGTATCAGATACTGCTCTGACTCGGTCGAGGACATCCTCGGCTATCTTCCCCACGAGGTGACAGGCAAATCATGTTGGGAGTATTTTCACCCCGATGAGATCCCCTTTGCACGGGCAATACAGGGCCGTGGCATCAGTCTGGACAAGGCTGCTGTCATGAGCTATGCCCGTATCAAGCACAAGGACGGCCGTTGGGTCGGGTGTGAATGCTCGTTCACAGTAGTCTATGACGTCCTCGTGGCCACCACGGCTATCTACCGTCGAGGGCCCAAGGCGAGGCGTAAGTCGAGATTCTGCTGTCTGAAGGGCTGCCATCCTGACTGAACACAGAGAGGGCACTAGACGGAGCTGGTGTCCGGCGCATCTTTTCGTCTTCGCCTCGTGACCCCAGATATCATATGCTGCAGTACCTGTCCAACAAATTCTATCAGGAACCCGAGATTCATTCTCCAGAACCGAGAGCGGCACTCTTTCTCAATCGGTTTTCACGCACCTCGACCATCATGTTTGCCACTGACAGCCTCGCCACCATCCTGGGTCTGGAGCCAGCCGACATCATCGGGAAGAGTTTCTATTACTGCATCGAGCAGAACTGCCTTCGGGATGCCGTCAAAGCCATTGAGAGTGCGAAAGCTAATGACTCTATCGCCTACTTGAGATTTTGGTATCGGAACCCCTTGCGGGACGACAACAGGACTCATGCTGAGTCCGTGGGTGATGAGGACGAGGACGAAGATGGAGGTGTTTCGCTGGAAGCCAGGTCCAGTGTCTCGATGACGGACGCTTCCACTCCACGACAGGCCGAAGACGGCGCACGTCTTTTTGATGCATCGACTCCTCCCGCTACAAGACAGTCCTCAGGAGTGAATCTGGGGCCGACGGCCGAACCTCAGTCTTCCAGGCCGTCCGATGTGCAAGAAGGCGCTCGACCACAGACTGACCAAAACCTTGCGCTTCTCGTAGAAAACAACCTCCCCCTGGGACGGTCAAACTCGGATCAGAGCGCAGAGCTTGAAGCCAATGCTGTTGATACAATCTTCGACCGACCGGCTACTCATCGGTCATCGTCATCAGGAACTCCACCGGAAGATCCAAGATTGGAGATTGAAGCCGTCGTCTCTTGTTCTTCCGACGGGCTTGTTGTCATTCTTCGCCGTGCCAGGCCACTCATCCCTCACACACTTGGGGCAACAGAGGCACCCTACTATGCGAATGGACTTTTTGCCTCTCCTTGGGCGCCCGAGCCAGTCATGCCCCCTTCCGCGTACGAGACTGCTGTCGCTCCACCATCCACTTCACCAGGGGCAACGGAAGAAGCGTCTGGCTTCATGGCCGCAATCCGCGACGTGGCGGTCTTTGCTTGGTCCCTCACTGGTATCAACGGGTCGCTCGCACAGTATGCTAAGGGCACGCCGTCTCCCGAGGCCCTGCCACCTGATGGTCTACCCATTTGGGACCCCAATGCCGATGTTGATCCACTAGCCAATGAGCAGTATAACGGCTTCCTGGCAAGCGCGCATCGGCCTTGGGCAGGACCGGGAGGTGATGCGGCCGATCCTGCGAAGAAAGACGAGGAGTTAGGAAGTAGTGACGACGAGGTTCTTTGGAAGAGAGCTCATACAATGACACCTTGGAGGCGCCCCAAGAGAAGGGCCCATCACGATGCTTTTGGCGAGGATGGCGTGGATGGCGTGGACGGTGAGAACCCACGGGGTGGGAGAAAGAGACCTACAAGGTCGAGTTCGAGCTCTGGGCGAGCCCCGGGCTCCGGGGCAGCGTCTGCTTCCGGGCCAGGCTCATCCTCTGGGGCCTCCTGAGGGATCGGTGGCGGAGCTCTTGTCCAGATGATAAGAGCAAGCTACTTGTAGTACCGTTTTGGGAGCGGTTGAGCTAGTACAATCTTTTAGTGACCGCTGGTCCATCGCAAAATACCATGCCGAACCAGGAACTGTTGCAACACTGTGACGATGTTTGGCAGAACATGTTGCTTTCTACGTGCAGGGTAAAGTGAAGAGCACGGCGAGCCAGGACAACTACCACTACTTGTCTGGGAAATATGTGATGGGAGAGTTTGGATGGCAGCCTTGCCAGATCGTCTTCGCGGTTCGCAGACTCGGAAAGCTAGGCACGTGCCCACGCGTTTCTCACGCGCTTGATTTTCATGAATCTTTCGCCACTTTCACTTCTTTCTCACTCGGGAATGGCGCATATCAGGTCTTTCCTCCTCACGCTCCACGTACGAGTACATATTTGCAGTTAAACCTGGCTCATGCTGTCTTCCATTTCATTTGCTGCTCATCATGCCTCTCAATGAGAGTACTACCATGCAGCAATTCGTCAACAGTCGTACATCCGCGGTTCAGCCAACACGACCAGACAAGCGACCTTTGACGCCCCAGCCTAACCCGAGCCGTGAACGAGCTCTGCAGCGTCAGGATGATTCCCGCCGCAAGGCCCAATCCGCGAGCCGCAACAAAGAGAGTAATGAACCACTCAGCCGAGAAGAAGCGGCCAAGTTGAAGATCGACGTCCCTGATATGCGGCCCAAGTCGAAGCTCGCCCAAGTTACGCAGTCCAATGCTGTCCAGCGTCCAGCTGCACCTCCATATACCATATTTACCGAGCGTATCTCAGGGATGGATTCGCGGCCCAGTGTCAGTCTTCGTGGTTGTCTCGATAGCGGGTAACAAACTAACTATCCTCGAGGCGTTTGACGATACTCAGAGCATACACTATGATGACTCAATGAGCGTGACCGATGTACAATTTCCTTTCTCCTACGGCCAGGGTCGGAACAGTCCACGTCTGGGCAGTGCTGGCCCGCCCATTCCTTCTTTTCCTACCATCCAGCGAGAGATGGCAGCAGAAGATAAACAGGGGATCGGACAACCCGGAGGCTGGATGGATGAAGTCGACGCCGAAATGGAACGTCATGGTATGGCCCCAAAATACGGCACGCGCTTTAAACACAATCTATACGCGGTGCGCCCTGCCGAGGATGACTACGATGACGGGTCGGAACACGACTGTGGTATGGATGAAGGGACGTTCCTCATTGAAAACACTCCTTCACGGACAAGGGTGGTTCCCGACCACTCGACTGCTGTAAAGCCTCGCTCAGAAGCTCTGACGAAGCCCGTGAAGGCCGAAGAAGCAGCAGGCCAGCCTCTGCCCAGACACAGAAAGTCGCTAAGCGACGTAAACCAGATGACCACTGCGCAGCCCCTTCTTCGTCCACAGCTTGCGCGTGATCGTTTCCACGTGCACAAGTCACAAGAATCAACAGCTGGCATCGAACGATCCGGGACGCCGCAACAGCAACTCCATGCTCCTCAGCCACGTCCACCGCAGGTGCAAGCACCAGCGTTCTCATCCAAAGTCTCTTCTTACCACGAATCCTCGTCCGAGGAGGATCAACCGGTTCCACAGCCGCCTGTATCTGAGTCTCCACGACCGGGCACCAAACGTCCACCACCTCCCGCCCGTGATCTAGACTTCGACCCGGAAGAGCTCAGCAATAAAACCATAGCCGAGCTTGACAGCATCCCATTTCCCACAGATCCGCGCCTCCCCAATCCGTCACCCGTCATGGATAGCAACGGCCAACCCTTAACCCTTCCCGCCAAACTCACGAATCTGACGAAGATGCGGCCCGAGGATCAAGCCACGCTGTTCAAATCGCTCGGCGACACAGAGAGGGAACAGACAGCGGAATGGTTCCTCGAGAAAATCCGCGAAGACATCGTCGACTTGATGGACATAAGAGTCCAACGGCGGAAGGTTGCATTAAAGTTCGAAATGGAGGTGAAGAAGAGGGAACAGCAGGTCCGCGTGAAGAAAGGGGACGTCGAAGAGGAGCTGGCCGGCTTGAAGAAAGGAGGCACCGAGTTGGTCAGAGGCAAGAGCCCTGCGAAATGAGCCCGCCCTGCGAAGTGAGCCCGCCTGCAGAAAGACGCATGGTTTGCACAAGTATTCGTGAATATGCGATCTTGATAGAAGTGGTGCTTTTCAAAATCCCGCGAGGATTACTACGACGCAATGAATAATTGGACGAAGATCATGAGTTACGACAAGACCAATGTACAAAATAGAAGTGTCTCGGAGATGAGAACCGGCGAGGAGGGCCTTGGCAGCTTCAGAGGCTGTCCAGAGAAGGGAGCATGCCCTCCTTCGCTCTCCATTGCTTCGTGGACATAATGAGAGTTCAAGCACTGGGCAGGTGCCCTGGGGATGTAGCCTTCGTCGAACATTCCTTCTACCCTACCACTTGGTGCTCCCTATCAGTGTACCAGGCGCATGATCTGACAGATGATGCTTCCAGCTCTCCAGGGATGATTGTACAGTAATGTGTATATCGCTGTCCGTACAGTGTACATGGGAGATGGCGTCCGGCCGGCGGCAGTGCGAGTTGTACATACCCAAAACACCCACGCTACGGCTCGAGGCTCGAGGCTTCTCTTACTGTACAGTACTTGGTTCAAACATAGCTTTAGCAACTGCGAGCTCTCGGGCTGTCTATCTATCACATTTTATGGTGCTGTACTCCTTCCTTGTTGTTGGATTTGGTTCGAAACACGTGTTGTTGTAATTGCGAGCTCTCAAGCTCCCGAGCCGTCTACTGTATCACTTTTATCGTACTGTACTGTACTCCTTCTTACCTACGTTCGACGTAAATCCATGATCTATCAAAACAGCTGGGCTGGGGGTTAGCGCTTTCTTTTCCAGACTCCTTCCTACCCACCGTTTTGGTATATCCGGGGTCTTCTTTTCTAGTACGCTCCTGCCTATCCTTATGGTACTTCCAGGTCCTCCTTGTCACCTTCGTCTAATTCGGCTTCCCCTTCTGCCTCTTCGTTCTGGGCCCTCTGCACGAGTTTGCCCAGCACCCTCGCTAGACGCTGGTAATCGTCCAGCAGATCCTGCACTTCACCTAACCTGAGCTCGCTCGCGTCACCTAGGAGGAGAAATCGTGGGACCGGAGGGGCGGCGCGGATGGCTGCGAGTTCAGCTTTGTTTGGTGTCTTGAAGGGCACTTCGTTCGTTGCCGTCGTCGGGGGTTTGTCCTCCTCACCTGTTACTCTTGAGGGCATGTTCTTGCTGTCTTTATCCACCACAATGGTTGGTGGGGCTGGTGCTGGCACTGATGATACCGATGGAGGTGAAGTTGATGGTCGAGCGCCAAAGCGGCCGAATGCACTACCAAAGGCGGATCCTAGGGAACCCATGGGGTTCAGGCTATTGCCGAAGTTCTTGACCGTCTCGAGTGGATTGTTGCTCGCTGCTGGCACGGCTGCTGAAGCGGGCTTCTGTGCAGAAGCTGCGTTGCCCGGCACAGAAGGTCCATTGGGAGGCGAATTCGTGGTAGCGGCAAGGGATCCCGCCCTCCTCCCGCTAGCGCTGGCGTTACTCTTGATGCTATCGACGCTTCGTTCGCGCATGGCGGCTTTGCGCCCACCTAGCAGACCTAACAGCTTCTCTTCGGTCTTTGTCAAGTTGGAAGGCACGGGGCTTGTTTGCCCGTCGTGCATTGAACTCGATTCGCTGAGCGCGTGGTCGTCTTCATCTGGCGTCAGTGGTCGACTGACGAGTTGCCTTGCCTCGTCAAGGGTCTTTGGGACAACGACTTCAGTGTTGGCACCTTCGTTCCCTCTTTCCTTAAGTTTGCCTAGGAAAAACTTCAGGCTGTTGTCGAGGGTGTTGGAGATGTTCTTGAAGCCTTCCTCGGCCGTGGACCGAACAGCTTCGTTGGCATTGGTTATTGGTTGCAGTAGATCGGACAAGGTGCGTTGGTGTCTCGTAGGAGGTGTCTTCGTAGGCTTTCCCGGTAGGTCTTTGATGATTGATGCAGCTGGACTTAATTCTGCTGTGCCTGTAACGTTCGAGGTTGAGGTGGCCGTTGTGGGGGTCGACGGTGCTGGCGCCGTCCCAGGTAGTGGAGGAAAGACTTCCATTTTCTCCGGATCTTGGTCTACTTCGGATTGTGCTGATGCTTTCGTGGGGCCTTCTGGCCTCTCGTCCGCGCGCAGACTTGCCAAGTCGACATCCTCCAGGAAAGTGATTGCAGCTTCCAGGTTGGTCAGGCAGTAGGCAGCTTCACCGTCAACCCTCGTGGCGGCCCGGAACCTTTGGATGAACTGTAGATTGCTGATAACATTGATGCCTTCGATCGGGGATGTAATCAGGGTATAAATTAAAGTGGGCAGGATCTCGTCGGCCGAAGATGAGGAGGAATGAATTGACGATAGGGTGTCAACCACGGCTTTGTGGGCAGTTGTGAGGTGCTGTAGCTTGCCTAGGGGATACCATTCGTCGTTCATCTTGGCCAGACTCTCCCGTGCAGGGGCAAGAGACGCTTGTACATCTTCGGCCGATGTTCCGCTGTCCTCACTCAATTCGATACCCAGATCTTTCAGGCCGATGCCAACAAGTGTCAATGCGGCTGTTTTGGATCTTAGCTTTTCGTCCCTGACTTCGTCCAGGGTGCTTTTGTGTCTCCATATCTTCTCATAGACCTTCTCACATACTCTCTTTTCCACGGCTTCTTCGAGAACAATTCTCTTATATTCGAGGAGCTTCCTCTGTTTCCGCCGTTCGGTCACTTCAGATGCTGTAAGCATTTGTTGTGCGCCACCACGACCTGCGCCTGAGCCTAGTGAATCAGGTGAGGATCTGCTCGGTGCAGCTCGCGTTCGCGAACTGGCGTTCGAGGGCGCAGGAGAAGTGCCTCTGTTAAGGCGAGACCTCAAGGTCGCAATATGAATGGAGACTGCGCCAGATGCTCTTGCATAAAACTCCTGGAACAACTCGGCCAGCTGATCGATGGCTGGCGGCTCATTGTAAACTTTGGCGCTGAGGGATTCGACAAATCGGTCGCAGAGGCTTGCCAGCTCTATGGGCAGTTCATCGAAGCGGTCCGGAAGGCTGTTGGACCTGTCCAGATCGGGAGAGGGTGGTTCGTTGTCCTCGGCAATAGACTTGTCAAAAACGTCTTCTGGCGAGCCGTCCACTTTCTTGGGCGACTTCACGTCAGTAACAGACTGGATGGTGCTGGCTCTGCTTCTGCTAGTGGAGGTAGGAGAAGTGAGAGAGGGCTCATAGCGCGTAAATGACTTTGTGGAGAGCGCAGATGGTCTCGCCCTCAGCGAGCCGGTAGACACGTTTCTTGACATGCTGCGCAGGTGAGTTGCAGAGAGGAGAATCAACAGCTGTCAGCCGTTTCAAGGCTTTCAGCGGCAAGTCATTAGAATGTCATGAGGCTCAGAGGCATGTCTGCCGCGCCTGAGCCCAAACTGAGTGATCCGTAAGATGTCCGCATGCGTGATGTTGCTCTGTTGACGAGTGAAACGAGACCAAAGCGCATGTGCCATGGCGTCGAGGGTGCATGGCGTGCATGGCAGGGGTGCTCGCTGTTGCCCTCCGCAGTCGACGTCAGCGACTCCAATCAATGGGATGAGTGGCCACGAGACCCTCGGGCCCGTTTCAGTCAACAGTCATTCCTGGCTTCCACCAGACCTGCTTCTTCTCACACAACGAGCAGGCGACAGCATGAAGACACGAAAACCGAGAGATCAAAGGTGCACTTCGCACAGTCGGGTGTCTGCTGGGATGCTGCTATCCTTCCTCGCCCTTGCCCCTACGGTTGCTGCAGCCAAACTCCCCGCAGCCATCGATCCGTGGTATCCAGCGCCTCAACCGAAACAGCCAAACACCGACGACTTTACGTTGAGACATATCTTCCATCGAGGCATATATCAAGACCCAGACCTGCACAAGCGCTACGACTTCCACCCTCAAGCTCCCGTCTTCGTCACCCAGGACCACGATGATAGCCTCTCCCACTCTCTGGAGCCGCCACCTCACTTTATGCTTCGTTCACACTCGGAACAGATCGAAAGGCTAGTCGACCGAAAACCTGCGAGTGTAGAACAGTACCTGCAGCATGCTCGACGGACTGGGAAGCCTGCCGTCCTCGCCGTCTCACAATGGACGCTAGATGAAGTGAAGGGGCCCAACATCTCTGACAAGGATACAATTATAAATCTGGCCATCATGGCTGCTAACGCATACAATCCAGGGCCAGGGGAGGGGGACTGGGAAGATGCCAAACAAGGGTACAATCGGTCTACCCCTTTTGGTTGGGAAGGCGACGGCCTACGAGGCCACATCTTCGCAAACGAAGGCAACGAAACAGTGGTTATCAGTCTGAAGGGAACGTCCCCTGCAGTGTTCGACGGCGATGGGACAACCACGAAGGACAAAATGAACGATAATCTTTTCTTCTCCTGCTGTTGCGGCCAAGGCGGCTCCTACTTCTGGCACCAAGTCTGTGACTGCCAGACCAGCACATACACCTGCAACCGGACCTGCGTGGTGCAAGCCCTGAGGCAGGAGAACCGCTATTACCGTGCAGCAATCGATTTATACACCAACGTCACAGAACTCTACCCAAATTCCAATGTCTGGCTAGCAGGTCATTCCCTTGGTGGCGCCGTCACGGCCCTACTAGGCCAAACATTCGGCCTTCCGACAGTAACATTCGAGGCTCCTGGCGACGACCTCGCTTCAAAACGCCTAGGGTTACCCGCACCTCCGTCATCCGATCCTCACAAGCCGCGCACGAAGTACACTGGCGCATACCACTTTGGCAACACCGCTGACCCTGTTTTCATGGGCACATGCAATGGCGCCACCGCAACCTGTACCTTAGGTGGCTACGCCATGGAATCAGCTTGCCATACAGGGAAGCAATGCGTGTACGACACTGTGAACGACTACGGTTGGCGGGTGGGCATCGGCAATCACAAGATCCATAATGTCATTGACAACGTTATCAAGATGTACAAGAATGTGCCATCCTGTGAACCGGACGATGAGTGCGTGGATTGCTTCAACTGGAAGTTCTTCGACAGTAACGGGAGCGATTCAACCACGAGCACGAGAACAACGACGACCAGTTCGAGTACCTACACACGGACGAGTACATGCAAGACGCCTGGATGGTGGGGATGCCTCGACGACAACCCCACAACGAGCAGTTCAATCCCTGTGATCACCACCACATATACGACCACGAGTTGCGCCACGCCAGGCTGGTTTGGGTGCAAAGAACGAGTCAACGTGACGGTTACTACGACTACATTTGCGCCGACATCAACTCCGCCTACGACTTCGGTCCCTGCTTCTCTTACACATACACACTCGACATCCGGCTCGAGTCCAAGGAGCTGTGGTCATCCAGGCTGGTGGGGATGCCGAGATCCTACTTCTACATATACAACGACGCATACAGCATCTCCAAGCCCAACGTCCTCCAGTCACAGTTCAACGAGAACGGCAGCGCCGCATAAGAAGCACAGATGCGAGACACCAGGGCTTTTCTGGGGCTGTAAGGATGAAGAGCATCATCATCACAGCAGCGCTGCTCCGAGTACGGATACCGACATGATCACTGGGGCGCCGACTGCGAGTGCTAGCAGTGTGCAGCCGTCGCCAACCAGCACGACCGACCATGGGAGGAGGCGGCGGAAATGTAAAAACCCGGTCTTCTTCGGGTTGATTTGCCTAGATGGTTATGAGGATGAACATGCCCCTGAGTTGTAAGCAGAAGGGAAGCCAGGTGAAACCTCATTATAGCATTGGTGCTTGCGGCGTTTCAACATTGTTTGCAACCACGCGTTTGGGCTAGGTCGGCATGGGTCATTGGTCGGTTGGCGCTGCTATTGGGTGCATTGAACATGTATAGGTCAGCGAGGAGCATCGGACAAGACTACCTGTGGAGATACAATCTCCATTCGTTGTAGGCAAGCGTGAAACCACGGAACATAGCATACGCCATGGGGAATGGCTAGATTCCTTACAGACATCCTGCTTCTCCAATCCTTAGTCGAGCAATCAATTCTGCATACCATTGATGTTCTGGTATCCTTACACTTGTGCATGCGAGCACGGACAGCCTACATAGACGGTCGATAGATGGTCATTTCCAACCTCACGCGCCTCTTCTCAGACGTTCTCGTCCAGTGACAAGGCATCCGAGCTACAACCCCAACGGATTATCAGCCGTCTGCTTCTTCCCCCCAATGTAATCCGTGCCGGACTTGACGTTGTCGCCCACAGCCTTGGTCGTATCGCCAAGCTAGAACAATCAAAGACCCCCCACACATTAGCACTATGCTATGCTATACTTCACTCTGCGGACTGCAGTCTGGGGTCGTGGTGTGCGACCACGCGCACCCAACGAAGGAAAGAAGGGATCAACAAATTACTTACGCCCTTGGTCGCGCCCTGGGCGGTCTTGCCGAGGCCCTCGCCCACGCCGGAGACGGTGTTGCCGACGGTATCCTGCAGGTTGGTGGAGGTTAGGTCAGACACATGTCGCCGATGGTGGTAATATATATCGCTGGGTTGCGATGTGAGTAGAGAGGTGGCGTACGTACAGTCAGGCCCGTGACGGTGTTTCCCACGGTGTCGGTCACGCCGCCTAGGACGCCGCCTGGCGTGTGAGATCAGCTTGCTTTCGGTTGTGGTATTGGGTAATGGAAAGGATTGGGCTGGGCTGGGCTGGGTTGGCTGTCTGTGACTGGCAAGGAGAGGGGCGGGTGAACGCGCATTCGCCCTGCGTAGGTATACATATTCACTTTGTGCTTGGGGCAATGTCGTGGGAAAGAGGTGGAACCAAGGGTCGACAACATACCGCCTTGTTTCTTCTGTTGTTCCTGGGACATGTTGTCGTTCTGGTTGAGCTGGGTACTTGGTTGGCAATGAGCTTGTTGCGGACGTGGTTTAAGCTACAGTCCTGTAGATTGTTGGGGCTTATGGATGTGAAGATGGAGCTACGCCGCGCACAAGGGATACTATATACCTTACCTCTTACCTGTTTTACATGGACTGCATAACCTTGGAACATGTCGCGTCTTGTGCCACTCGAGGACTGTGATCCAGAGGGATAATGTGGCTGACGTCAATGTGGGCGGTGTCGACCCCTCAGTGCCACACACTGGCACCGTCTGGTGTATGACAGGGTCCAGATTCACGGCCACAGGTGGCTGATCCAGAGACCCCGGTCATTCATTTCGAGAGGGATCAAGCCAATCACTCGACACCTTGTGGTTGAGGAGTACCAGAAGGTAGCCGCGACCAAAAAGGATCACCATACGAGTACTCCGTCTCCGTACGCGTTGAAGGACATTCTGCTACAGATGACGTAGTCCGGATTGGATACCTCACTTGAGGAATCACCGTTGACCACCACCACCATTTGAGTGTGGACAGTCTGCCGTGAACCATGTCATGCCTGAAATAGAGCTAAGCGCTTGATGGTGACGAGAATATGAGGCTGTCGTGGTATGGTTCTGCAGATTTATATGCCAGAGCGAGTTTCTGACTTCGCGAAACGGACGGCCGCAACAGCTATCTATGCGACATTTGCTTCTAGATAATCGACCACGAGACAGCCGGAATGTCCTTACGGCAGTGCTTATTCATGGACAGATACTACTGTCTGGCTGTTGAGATAGGTAACGGGTTGCCAGGCGTAACTCGAACAATTGATTGCCTGTGTCTCATTGACATAGCAGTTTTCCTCGGCATAGATAGGTACCCTGGTACCGTTGAGGGGAATACGCCGCCAAGGCCGTAATGAATGTAATTGTATCTAGCCAAGGCTCATAGCAACATCCTCCTGCACATTGAACCGGTGCCCTTGAGCATCTCGCCACTTGTCATGAAGGTCGTCCTCTGGTCCATCCCGACTGTGATCAGATCTCGTGCTAAAATGGCCGGTGTTCCTTCCGCTGGAGCTTTTACTGTCACTCCGGTCTCTTCGGGAGAACCAACCGCCAGATTTCTTCGACACCGCAGACTTTGTGGTGCTACTGGCATCCTCGGCTTTTGGATCAGTTTCAGACGACCGTTCGCCAGGCGGTGCGCCGGCTATGATGGTGGCTTGTGAGTCTGCCAAATTTTTGGCAAAATCCTTTGCTTTCTTCACCCTTCCCTCTTCAGTGTCGGAAGAAGGTCGTGCAGGGGAACCGCTGGGAGTGTCCTCCACACTTGGCGCAGCTTCGACAAGTTCGGCATCTCTGTACCACTTCCGCCTCCTGGTATACTTGCCCCAGCCATCTTCCCTACTCCCGTCATCCCATTTGTTGTCGTAATAAATCCAGCCGCCACCATCATCAGCTTTGTCTTTGCTGGCAGTTGTTTTCGCGTCACTTGCCACCCGCTTGTGCGCTTTAATGACTCCGTGTTCTATCCTCCAATCCGTGTCGATCCACCTCCATCGTGACAGTCCACCCTCCACTACCGGAAGTTCGAATTCTTCTTTGGATGGCGCTGGGTTGAGGTGTTCGTCGGTCCAGGGGCCACGCTCATAGGCAAACAAAGAGGTAGTCCACCCAAGACCTAGCCATCTTCGCTGGTTTTCATAGAGTATGAACGTGAAACGGACACCCGAAGTATCCGGCCTCTTCTTCTTGGCAGCCTCCGTGGCGAGAGCGCCCTGGGGCTTGGACCCGGGTTCGTTAGTCAGACGGTTCGAAGAGTCGGTCTTGGCACTAGGCGAAGTATCAAACTCCAGTCCGGTCACAAACACAGCAGCTTTCCGCATAAAAACAGAGCGCCAGAGGATAACCCGAGACACCCGAGCCGGCTTGGAATGCCATGTCAATGCTATCGTGCCAACAGCCAGAATGACTCTTCGAGGAGTCAAGATATAGAAAGGTGGAAGAGTCAATATTATCCAAAAAGGCGTAACTAGAAGTACACGAATGAAGAGTGTGGTCAACGCAGGTCGAGTGGTTGCGGCAGTGGGTGTCGTTTGAGTTGAGAGAAAGTCGGTGAGGTTGAGGAACGGATCCAACAGGATATTACACCGAGTGGTCAATTCCTGCAACGTATCTACTATATCGTCCAGGGTCTTGTGGTGAGACTGGGACTCTGAGGCATCCCTCTTGTGACCTTTCGCAGCATGCTTCTCTCCCGTCTTGGTTGTCGAAGAGAGGGGCGAGTACCGTCTTGAGTACATGCCGAGGATGAGACCTGCCACAACTATGACGGGACTGGCGAAGCGAATGATTTCGCTACCGTATAACGTCAAGCCCCAGAACACAGCGACCATCAGGTATGATTCCCATGGATCCGGCGTACTCCATGACAACAGGCCGGCCAGTTTATTCAAGGGCAGTAAGAAGGGATGCGAGTGTGCTAACGCTCGGGTGATCTGAGGCGGGGTCGCTACCAGTAATGGCGACTTCTTATGGACTATTATCGTGGAGCGTTGCTTCGACGTGGCAGAGTAGCCGGACGTGGATGTCGGAGAGAAGGCAGCATATGTCGGTGGGTTTGTGTCCCAACCCGGTTGGGACGAGGGGTCGGAGGGCGATACAAACGAGGACGGTCTGGACATTGATGTGATCCAGGGCGTGTCTGGAAAACCATAAGTACAACTGGGTGACTGCCAGCGGAAAGGGATGTAGTCTCACCAAACGCTGCCATACACCGGAGAGGTCTTGGTCATTGAGCGTGACCAAACGTGAGTGAGGCCGTGGTGCGGAGTACGGAACCACTCAGTTGATGATGACCTGATCTCTGGTGGCCTTGCTGTGGACACCGGAGTTGAGCGGTATGGTCAACTTATCCTGAATGCTTCACATATTTCTCCAGGGAGACTGAATTGAACAGTGAGGTGTCGAGACAATGCCGGTAGGAAAAGCATGTGCGCGCCGCAGGCAGCCAAAGCCATGCACGCCATCATGCTGATGGGTGGCTGATCCAACTGTTCGGTCTGTGACCAATGCATGCAAATCACCCGCGCGCTGCCGCGGCATGCAGAAGTCTGTCACACGTGATGTACGGATCCTAGCCCAGTTTAGGCGAGGATCCGCCGCGTTGGAGACAGAAAGCAAAAGATTTCCCGCAGCTTTCACATAGCATTGCGTCTGGACAATTCGCCATCGACTACCTTGCTGTCATCGGCCGTGTCGACTGCGTTACCCTGGCCGACAGTAACAAATGGTATGCCCTCACTTCTCAGATCCGCCCTCATCGCGAGACTGACGCTTCCAGGCGCATCGAATCATTGCCCAGATCGTCCTTACAGGCGGCCGTGTTTTCGGAAGAGCGTTTGCAGAGGCATACAAGCAGGCCCAGGCGTCATCACAATTTGCGCGGGCTGCGGCGAAGAACGATCCTGGCGCTGTAAATACTGCTGCGGCCTCTGGCATGACCCTCGACGAAGCATGCAAGATTCTCAATGTCAAGCCTCCTCAAGGCGGCATCACGAATATGGAAAGCGTTATGGAGCGGTTCAAGAAGTTATACGACCTTAACGAGCCCAAAAAGGGCGGTGGCGGATCATTCTACCTGCAAAGCAAGATTCTTCGTGCAAGAGAGCGAATAGAGATGGAAGTCCGCAACGCCGAGCGGAAAGCGCAGATGGAGAAGGAAATCAAAGAAGGTTGGAGACCCAAACTATACAAAACTTGATCTCCTTGTCGCTGACGGTGCCGGAAAGGGCGATGACAAGACGGGAAGGCACCGGGGTCTGCATCGACCGCTTAACACCCTTCTCTTCATCCTAGAACTTTAATCTTCATGCATAGCGAATGGCGCGGATCGGGGTTTACTGCATGGTGGACTGTACAATAGCAGGTAGCGGCACAAGAGATGGGGCTGCTTCAGCAAGCGGGCGGACTTGGACACTTTACATGCATGTTTTGACTACATTGGAACAAGGCCATTTTCTAGAGAGAAAATGAGGGCCGATCAGCTTGATTTGACATGGAGTATTGGCCCTGCAAACCCAGCATTGCACGCAAGCTGCAGGACATCCTGACGAGCGACTCTCAACTCAAATTACCGGGACTCCGTCGACACATAGATCCCATAAGATCACGACTCGGATGAGCTCGGTGCGAGATCCTACAGCTGCGCAGGAAGCAAGGATGGGAAGTGACTGACTACCACGGGTACGCCGCGGATGCCGCACAAGCCGAAATGGAAACTTACTTCTTCCATTCCAAACTCTTCCCCTTCTAAGCAAGGTTGCAACACCCGCTCAGTGGATGACTGCTTCGTAGGCAGGCATCACTTACACCACGTCTGCTTTCGCTGTGATGGGCGACTGCCTCGCCTATGAGCGTTCAGTCGGCCTGCGGAATTCGTCGCACTCCTCGTCGGCGCCAATCTGTCCCCAGAGCCTAAGTCTTGAAGGATACCCACTTGACGCCGTGTTTGCGGTCACTTGGTCGAGTATTTGCCTTATACGACCCGTTGGAAATATTTGGACTGCTAGGTTCTCTCCGACCATGCGACATCCGACGTCGCAGATGGCTCGGCCGCCTGCTGACGCAGCAGGAAGCGAGCTTGGACGAGATGCGCTTCGCAGGAAGACCGCCTGCAAATGATGGCTCGAGTCATCCTCACCAGAACGTGGACTGCGCTAGCAATTGGCCGCTGGGGACCGTTGCCGAGTTTGGAGAGCCTGGCATGTAAGGACGAGCATCGACGGCCGGAAAGAGGCAGGGACATCATCCTTACGAAGGCAATGAGCAGGTCATAGTACGGTTGTGGGGAAGCGCTGATGTTTGACAACAGCAGAGTAAGTATGGCCGGACGTGGAGGACTGTGCGGCTTGTTGTCAAGGCCATCATGGCTTAAATCTTGAGTCGACGGGAGGATTATACCTGTGAAGAGCAGAGATCCGACGAGCGGTGTCATTGCACGCAACAGCCAAGGCAATGATAGAGGCTGTTTTCGTAGCCACGCTTCTATTACTCACTGTTTTCTTCCCACGCAGATGGTTCTTAAAGATGTTCTATCATCCATTGAAATTGTCTTTCACTTTTACACCCGGAATCCGATTATAGATAGATTGCAGAGCGTTGGAAGAACAAAGAGAAGAACTCCAGCTATGACGATTGACAAAACCAAAGCTCCTAATTTCCTAGAGATTCACATACTGGTTTATCACACCGAGCTCACTTTAGATGATCTTCCAGGCGGGAAGTGAGGGTTAGGTGAGCCAAGCTGGGACATCAGCAAACATGAATCAAGTGTGGGATGAGATTCTCCCACGCGAGTCTGCGCCTACAGTAGATATCAGATGCCAGAAGCCAATATAAAAGCGTCATGGATCGGAGTGGCGTTTTGCTCGATTGTGCTTCGCCATCGGAATCCAGGCTGGCGGGCTGCATTATCTTTTGGTCGCGTTGCGCGCTTTAGCGAGGATCCTCTTGCTGCAGGGGCTCCCCGTATCTATGCAACGCTACGCTTTGAGTGCGTTTCACTCGTGCTTTCCGTTTGCGGAGCCCGGATGGTGCAGATGTCTTCGAGGCTCACCAGCAACGCGGGCTCAGCACGAAAGAATCTAGGCCACGGACCACGGGGTTCTTCTCCTTGTTCTTCCTAGTCCCTTTTCTAGTCTTGACATCGGACGGAAACCAGCCCATTACGTGCTTTGGCCAGCCCCACCAAAAATTCGCCATCTCCCGCAGAGCTACCAGACGTGTCGCGGTCGGTTCCTGTCATCAAGGGAGAGAGTTCCCGTCACCACCCAGAACCATGGCTCCATCTCTTCTGGACCGCCAATACACAATGTAATTAATACTTCACCTCGCGCCGCTCCGCCATTGCTTCTCTCGAAGAAAACTCCCCAGCATCTGCTTGCCTTCAAACTGATAAGCCATGTCCACCTCAGGATCACCACTCTCTGCCTCCCTCCCCCCTCTGGTTTTCGGGACTGCCACTTTCAACTATCAGGCAAGATCCGCCTCTTCTCCCTCATTGACTCGATGGTTAACATTGATCTTTAGTACAATGTAGACCCATACGCACTGGGCCCGACAGCACTTGTTCAGAAGGCCCTCGCCCATGGAGTCCATGCTTTTGACACGTCGCCATACTACGGGCCCGCCGAAGAGATACTTGGGACAGCCCTTGACACCGACCTTGTTCGCAGACGTTATCCCCGGGAGCACTATTTCATCCTGACAAAGGTCGGCCGGATATCCGGTGACGTCTTCGACTACTCTCCCGCATGGATCCGGCAGAGCGTGCAACGGAGTTGCAAGCGGCTCAGGACCAATTACCTGGACGTGGTCTACTGCCACGATTGCGAGTTCGTCTCCCCCGAGGAAGTCTTGGGCGCTATCCGCGAGCTACGGCGCATACGAGACGAAGCAGGAACTCTCAAATATGTGGGGATCTCGGGTTACCCCGTGCCCGTGCTCTGCGAGCTGGCCGAGATGATCTTGCGAGAGACAGGAGAACCGCTTGATATCGTCCAGTCGTATGCGAACTTCACCCTCCAGAACACCCGACTCCTCTCTGAGGGTTTGCAGCGACTCGTTACCGCAGGTGTCGACGTCGTCACAAATGCTAGTCCTTTGGGCATGGGTCTACTAAGGTCCACCGGCCCTCCTCTGGGTGCAATGGGCAACTGGCATCCTGCACCAGACGGCCTGCGAGAAGTGTGCAGCAATGCTGCAAAGTGGGCCGAGGCGAAGGGCGAAAAGCTCGAGGTTGTCGCCGTGAGATTCGCTCTGGAAAATTGGCTCCGTGAAGGTGCCAAAGTGGGAACTCTGGGCAGTCCCCTGAATGAGGCTGATACATATGGCCACGCCCTCAACCTCCCGCGAGAAAAGCTCGGCGTCAGTGTAATGGGTGTGAGCAAAATCGAAGAGCTCGACGAGACCTTGCGAGTTTGGCGAAGCGTTCTCGACGGACTGGCCGATGACCTTGATGTCGAGCCAGGCACAATTACTCCCTCTGAGGCGGTCAGCGACCATGAATGGTCCCTCGCACGTCGGCAAACCATTCGCGAACTTGCCACAGGCATACGGGAGATCATTGGTGATCAATGGGTCGATTATGCCTGGGCTTCACCTGACCCCGGCTTTGTCAACCAGAAAAAGTCGAATTCTGTCGTGGGGGATGCGGGAGTCAAGCCTGCGCCCGATACAGCAATGCTCACGCCACCGTCCGAGGCAGATGATGATGGAGTCGCGGCAGATGTCCCTCCTTTGTGATCCGGAATATCGTTGCCAAGTCATGGATATCTGCATACCATGAAGTAGAATACGTTTGTTTACTTCATAGTGCCGCTACCGGCTTTGCTTGCCCAAGTTAACATTATCAGCGACAAAACACGACGGTTACGACGACACTGTTACAGCAGGCCAAACTAGAATCCGGCATATCTCAGATCGTACAGACAACTCCCAGGAAGCAAACGAGAAGGTCTGTCGCATTGTCTTGCTTTTTCGCTTCCGTTGTTGCGGCATACCTCCACACAATTCGAGGTCTGAGGACTTCAAGATCAGCGAATCAAGTCCTCTCCGATCACAAGCGCACAGCGATACCAACCAAGACGTTGCCGGCCCATTTTTGGGGGAGATGACAACTGCTCTTCACATCCACGCACGACCACGATGTTAACTCACGCCTTTGCATTTCTTGCAGCGGAGGCCTCCGCCATCTTGGAGATATCGCAGGCGTGGCCCACGCCGGGAGTCCGAGGTAGGAGGAGAGTCCACCCTACTCGCATAACCTATAGGGTGCAACTCCCAACGTCGATCGATGCCCTGCCTCTGCACAAGTCCTCAGAATCCAGAAATCGGGCGGACGATTCGCAAAACGTCAGCCAACGAACCATACTCCCAATGTGCAAGAACGGCTTTTGTCTTGAAGCATATGGTTCCGAGAAGTCCATCAAATGAGGTAGAGGCAGAGTCTCCCATTTTCGACGCCACTCAAGAGCTCGGTACATATGAGCGGAGTTGACGCCATGGGATTCTGAACTATGCAAGTACCCCTTATGCGTGGAGCGAGACGATATTCTTGGGCTAGATATCCAGGCGTACGTGCGCACGTCCGTCCAGAATGATTCTGTTGACCCACCCGAGGAGATACGACCAGATCCATGATATAATATCCGATCCTCCCACTTGGGAACGGTAAGACTGTTACTGGCTGCTGGATTCGTCCCAGACACACTTACCTGATATCGGCCTGGGAAAGGGTGATGTTACTGCTATTGGTGTTCCTCCTCGGATCTGATCTCTGCTACGCGCATCATCAATGGCCCTCTCCTGAGAAATTGGCTTATACAACCGGGAAGGAATTGAGGGGTGGTACGTGCTTGGATCATTCACGGTGCCTTCTCTCTATGGTCTCGGTGTTTGTCAGTGCCCATGGGGCCGGAATCGTGAAAAAAGAAAGACAGTGGAGCTCGGTTCGTAAAAGGCAATGGTTTTTGAAGGGCAGTCATGCCTTTGGTCTCGATACAGCATCAACTTGTCTGGTTTTGCATCGTTTGGCTTGAGACCCTCTTCGTCCTCGACTGGGTATGGCGGGTACTGGCTCGGGCTCCGCATACGGTAGCTTGTATTGCTTTCCGACAGCTCACATGTCCAATTCTAAGGTCTCCGTGATCTCTGCGCGAGAGAAGCCTTGTTTCACTGACGACCACAGTTTCTGCCTACTACTTTGTATTGCTCTTGACCGTATTAGAGTCGTTTCAACATCTGCGGCTGTCATAATCTGCACCATGACAATTCATCCTGCTACAATAGATCCCAATTCTGATGCCCTCACCACAGAACATCCTCCCCGAGACATCGTCAAGGGACAATAGATTTCCAATGCCCTGTGCATCATATAAGTCCATGTTCCCTGATCCCGCCGTGGAAGGCTTCGCTGAGTCCTTCTTCCAGGATCGTAGTTGCTTGTGCACATGAAGTCGATGACACGGGCTAGGATCACTGGATCGTCATCTGGGAATTCAATCTTGCCGGATGTTGCTTCCTGTGAGAACTCACCGTGATTTCTACGTAAATAGTGCTCCTGACACCGACTTACCTCAAAAGCTCCATTGCACGCAGCACGTAACATCGGGGACGCACCGGAAATGGCAAGGCGATGAACTTTGAACTCAGCATCCTTGCAGGTGATCTTGAAGTCGGATAAGATACTTTCTCTCAGAAAGTGGAGGTACGCACTAGCGGTCACTTCGGCCATGTCGCCAGATGTCTTGAAGAATTGAGATGAACTAGGACAGGTTGTAGAGGGGGTGGAAGAGAAGCTGCCAAAATGCGAAAGGATCAAGGTGCTAGGGAAGGGCTGGCAGTGAAGTGCACGGCGAAAGGTGGTGAATGCCTGAACGTCGCTGCTCGGAAGTCAGTACTTTACCACTCACAATTGTCACGAAGGGCAGGAGGACTTAACATATTTCGTTCTCGTTCCACTAAACGACCTGTTTTATGTACTCAACACCACAACAGCACACAAGCGGGACGCCCAGAGGTAAAAAAGCACGGAGTACCTGAAGACCCTCATAATACCAGGCTGCCCATGTGCTTTTCAGGAAGACATGCGCCACCACACGTCTGGAAAGATAGCCTCGTCTAATAGTTCTGGGTCCTTCACCTAATTCATTCAATTGAACTCTTGTCTTCCGCCTTCATACCGATATTGATCTGCTCGCTGATTGAACAACACAACTCGCAATTCTGTGTTGCAGAATCTCCGTGGCAACCTCCCCCATGGCCATCTTTTCCGGGCCGGGTCTTGCAAGTTTAGCCATAGATGAAGTACTAAGCAGGGTTCTAGGAGATATTGCCACCGTTGATCATCGTTGTCCGTTCAGTCCCGCAAAGGTTGCTACCTCGTTGAAGATTTTCTCGGCCGACGTTGGCCTTGGTTCCCCGACACTGTGCCCGAGCGCAATATCCACATATTGACTTGTCAGGTGCGATTCCAACCCTGGTCGGCCTGTAAAGGCAAGAGCAGTTCAGATCGAGTTCAATATTGACCTGCCTTACGGTCTCTTTTCTGATGCGATCCTCGTAGTCCCCACCAAAACCGTCGAGCAGCAAAGGCATGTAGACTTTCCAGATGCTACGCTCATGGTCTTCAAGCACTTTGACGGTCTCGCGTTTGGCAGAGAGCAGGTCGTGGTTCCTGACGCAAAGTGTTGTGACGGGGATGCGCAGGTGTTGATCGTCTGTGTGGGTAGATTCATACATGATCCGAAGCGGCTCCTGCCATTGTCGCAGAGTTCACATTAGCGAAAGAGCTCAGCGAACAAGAACAGGGCCCAAAGGGCTACAGGAATGGAGGCCGTTCCACATAGCTAGATCCTCGAATTCACTTAGAGGACGAAGCTGTCAGGAACATTTCGTCCAAGAGGAAACGGTGGCAGATGCAAACCGAGTTATTGGTTTCGTCGGGGCCATGAGATAGTCTGCAAAGACAGCACACTTACCGCAAAACCTTCCTCTGAGAACACTGTACGTGCGTCTGCCATGAATCTTTCTGCAGCTAGCACCTTCAGATCCTCGACCCCGAGCATGTCGGCGCACTTGTAGACAAGAGCATTTGTCTTCAGTACTTCAAAGACTGTCGGGCCGTCGGGAGTGCTGCTTGAAGCGGCCGCCTTCTCGTCTGCTGCGGCCTGGGTTGTAGCTGACAGATACTCGACTTGGTCAGGAAGGAGGAAGGCGGGGATTTGTCTTTCGTTGTAATCGCCTGTGTACATGAAGAGGACGACCCGACTGACGGTCTCAGGATCATCTTCTGAGAGGTCGATCTTTCGTGAAGCGGTTTCCTAACGCACAAATCAGCTTCACCTCCATGTTTCTGTGCTATAACCCGCCTCAAAGCCACCGTTACAGGCAGCTCGTAGCATCGTTGACCCAGAACAGACAACCGCCCTATGGACTCTGAAGTTTGCCCCCCGGCAGGTGATGGAGAAATCCGAGTAGTCCCCTGACTTGAGAAGATCAAGGTATGCGTTGGGATGGACGCCAGCCATGATTACGAATGCTTCCGGGCTACGACTTGGTGTGGAAAACAGAGGTTGCCTTGAAAGGTGGAGAGAATTGAGCCATCCATCTAGCAGGCAGTCGGATCACGACTTGGCCTTCGGTCTTCAAAGTAGGTGCGACATCACAAAACAGAGACGGGGCAAGTGCTGCCAATGGTGCCAGTGCTGCACCATGAAGGAGCGAAGTCGACTCACACAGGTCCGACTGCAGGTGTTTATGTACAGCGCGCCTGATCATACCGTAGCCCAGTAGGCGTCTTCATTCAAGCGAAGAAATGTGACTCTGAAGAAAGGCATGAAGGGTATCTTCCCAGCAGCAACCAAGATTACGCCCACGACGCCGGCCTACTCGCAGAAGTATTTTTCTTGCTTCGTGAATCTGCTCGAACTTAGGAGCCCGTCATCTCTCCACGTCAACAACAACGCCTTTTTCGACAGCCCAATCAACTACGCCTTGGACCGTCCACCTTCCCTCCTGAAACTTCTTCCACCAGGCATCCTCCCCCACTACATCGCCAATGGCATCCTCCAACCCCCTGACACCAATCATGCCTTCTTTCTCCCTCCACCGCCTCTCAGCCTCCTCACCAGCCTTCTTGACCATCATGTCTTCGTCTTCCGCCCTGTACAGATCGCACTTGTCACATTCTGTGCACCGCTGGCCGGGCATAGGCCGAAAATGTTCGCAGAAGTGTCTGTAGCCTTCGCCTCCCTCAGTGTTATTACCCGCTTTTCCAATATTCTTCCGACATAGATAGCACATAGAGTAGCCGCACACGCAAGTTAATTTATTGCAGCCACTCGATTTCACGAAAGCTGTGCCACAGCGCGGGCAAATGCGTTTGACCGCAGCAGTACGAGCTGCTTCGACGGTTGTGCGCAGGGAGACAATCAACGGTTCATGACAGACGTGTGGGTCGTGCCATGCTTTTTGGCATTTGAGGCAGGATTTTCGTAAACATGATGGGTTTTGGCAGACGAAACGGGTTGTCCGGGCTTTAAGCGCGAGATTGGCGAGCGCTGTATAGAACAGAGTGGTGAAATAGGTGGGAAAGAGGAGGAAGAAAGGCAGGAGGAAGAGTATAGTCGCAGGAAGTAGCTCGAGAAGTAGGATGACAATGATGGTGTGGATTCCCGTGACGGGTTTCCGTATGCGCCATTGTATAGCCGCTGCGGCGCCGGTGTCGTAGGTCTGTTCGGCTTCGGCGTATGGGCAAAATGGGCAGCGGACAAGGGAGAGAGCAGAACGCTCCAGATTATGTTCGGCAAGTCTGTCCTCAAAGCGGTTCCATGTCTCGCCGCTGGCCTTTGGGTCGCGGAGACTGAGAGAGCGTTGGACCAGATGGTGCGGGACGTGGCCGTCACAATCATCGTCCGCTAGGCATTTCAGCGTCCCGTGCTCGATGTCGATCGACTTTGCCCAGCCCTGTCCGAAAAGAGCTTCATTGAGCGTTCGCCGGATGCAGTCCAGGCAGATGACATGATTAGATCGAGTACAGACCGAGGCATCCTCGAAGGTGACATCGTTATAGCAGACCCGGCATTCGAAGAGGGCACCGGCTTCCTCCGCCTCCTTCAGGTTGAGTGCTTGGGCCACTTCGAAGTCGGACACCTTCTGGTCTCTGGGTTTTCGAGGGGATTGAGCCGGGACACTGAAGAGTTGTGACAGCTCCTGGTCGAGCTCATCATTGCCTGTAGTGATCAGTCTCGGCCATTCGGGCCCCGCCTTCGATCTGTCCAACAACACCGCTGGAACTTCGCTTGGCGACCGTCTCTTCTTGAGGAAGTTTGCAAGGGCGAATTTCCACGATCTACCAGCAAGGCCCTGTAGCGTCGGCCTCGCATTCGCATAGGAGAAGTTGACCTCAGCAAGCACGGCGTCCACGGCATTCCTGCTCAAAGCGCCGAATTCGAGGCCCGCGATCCATTTCACGGCATCGACATAGTCCTTCGCCCTGAACTGTTCTTCTGCTGAGATCGGTTCGTCCAGACCCCTAGGTGGTACGTTCATACGGCCCTTAGCCCATCCCGCCTTGTACTTGTACAGTTGTTCTATGCATATTGGCAGTCTGCTATCGCCATCGAACCGGAGAAGTAGTTCGCGGAGGACTTCGACCTTGACGTCTGGAAAGAAATCAGCAAGGACCTGGAGGTCCTTGTTCAGGGCAACTGAGGGGTCTTCGTCTTCCTTCTGCGGTGTGAAACACTCCTTCGAGCCTGGTCGGAATGGATTCTTTCGAAGAACTTCAGCGAGGGCCGAACTCGGCGACGTTGGACGTGGATCGAGATTCGAGGACGGGGTCTTGGAACGAGGACCGGGGGAGGGGGGTTTGGACCTGACAGAGCGTTTGGACGTGCTCGAGTACAGCCACATTACACTGATTTCGCAGTGGCTCGCTCAACATCATTGCAAAGCGATTAACAACCAGATGACGCCCAAAATAACATTATCATGTGGGAAAATTAGGCATCACCATTCCCTCCACGCATGTAGGTATGAGTAAGGCTGGTAAGGAAAGACGTTTGAGCGACAATTGGGTGTCGCCTCCCCGACGTCAATCCGGTTTTGGCGTGTCTCGGAGCGGAAACGGAGTATTTTCCTGACAAGCCTGCTTTACGAGCTACGAAACACGCAACTAACATTTCACAACTCAGTTCACTACGCAAAAAGCGCGCAAAAAGCACAGAGTCTGAACCCATCAAGTCCATCAATCAAGCGCCTCCAAAAAAAAATCCAAAAAGGGGCTTCGTCGGGATTCGAACCCGAGGCCTGTCACAGTTCATGGCTTTTTCAACCAGAGGCCGCAGCGCCCGAAGCGACAATCATACCACTAGACCACGAAGCCTGGAGATCTCTGTTCGTTTCGAACACGAAAATTGAAGAATTTTCAAAGTATACAATATATATGAAATCTTTTTCAGCCTCAAGTGGGTTTTATGTGCGACGCCTCCCGGCTGCGGCGGCAATCCCCGAAAGACCTGTGACTACTTCGTAGACTACCTTCGTATGTAGTTCCTACGAACGTATCGCCCCTCAATGCGAGGGTGTCAACATCGATATTAGCCCCCCAGGAGATCTCGTTGACAGTTTACAGCGATGAGATCATTTTGTAACCTTAGCCTTATCCCAAAACTCTGTTGTTGCCGAACCTACAGTTGATGCTGCCTGAAACATAATCTACAACTTAGGCTTGGGGGAACCCAGAAGCTCAGCTCCAGCGCCGGCAATACATAGCTTGCCAGTCTCCTTGACTTTAGTCTGAAAGATGACCTTGTTGCCCTCCTTCCACATCTCTGTCACCAAGGTCTGGCCGGGAATGACAGTACCAGCGAAGCGGACCTTGATATTCTTGAACAAGCCGTAAGTCTCGACGATATGCTTGCCGCTGAAGCCGAAGAAGCAGAGACCATGTAGGATGGGCTCCTTGAAACCGCCAACTTTGCTAAACTCGGGGTCAATGTGCAAAGGGTTGCGGTCACCATTCAGTCTGTAAAGAGCAGCCTGATCCTCTGAGGTCTTCTCCTCCACGACCGCATCGGGCGACCGCTTGGGCGGCTGGTAGATTGCGGTGGCGTTACCACGGTTGGTACCATTCTTGGGCCCTCCGAACCCGCCAGAGCCTCGGACGAAGACGGTCGATTCGTTGTAAAAGACATCTTCACCCGTCTTCGCATCCTTGGTGACCGTACCGGTCACGACAATACCAGCCTTTCCCTTGTCGACAACCTCGACCAGTTTGGGGTAAGAAACCAGCTTGGCAGCAGTGGGGATGGGGTATTTCCGAATTTCGAGATATTGCTCCCCGTGTAGAAGCATCATGGGTGAAAAGTTGGGAAGGACCTCGTCCATCGAGAAAGGTGCAACAGCGCCGAAGTAAGGAATCACACCGAATGTGGGGAGGACCTGGAAGTTGTCGTCATTCTCGTATACCAGAGGTAGTTGTGTTCGCTTCGCATTGAGTGACAAGTTGTATAGGATAACGTCTCTGTCGTCGTAGACGAATTCGGTGCCGGTGGCTTGAGCTGTCTTCGCCTTTTCGATGGCAGCCATATAATCGGTACCAGAAGCTGCGCCATCAGACTTCTTGCTCTTGTTCTCCATGTTGGCCATAATGGACTTGAGACCATCTTGGGCAGACTCTGGATGGTCGGCTCGGCCATCGTCAAAGTTGACGATCTTTCCCCATTGCGAGACGACATGCTCTGGGGTCAGTCTGACGTCTACGGGGAAGCCATGGCCGCCTGATCTCTGCCATCGTGTCCGTGCTTGCCAGCCGCTGCCGACCTCGAAGAGGAGCCCTGTTGGTGGGTCTGGCACCTTGTCCGAACATAGGGCAAGCACGAGAGGAGCGACATACTCGGGCCTGAATAGCTGCACCAATTCCTCGGGAAGGATACTTCGAGTCATTTGCGTACCGGCATTTGGTGCAATAGTATTGACAAAGATGTTGTTCTTGCGGCCTTCAAGAGCGAGGGCTCGAGAGAACCCGAGGATACCGAGTTTCTGGTTGTGTTAGTCGATGCCCAACTCGAGGTCTGAGACACTTACAGCAGCAGCATAGTTGGCTTGGCCAAAATTGCCGTAGATACCGCTCGTGCTGGTCGTGTTGACGATACGACCATACTTCTGCTTGACCATATAAGGGTATGCTGCCTTGGTTACCTTGTACGTGCCACGGAGATGAACAGCGATAATTTCATCCCATTGCTTGTCATCCATGTTGGCGAACGCTTTGTCTCGTAGTATACCAGCGTTGTTGATCAGAATGTCGACTCTGCCGAATGTATCGATAGCCGTCTTGACGACAGCATCTCCGTCCTCAACTGAAGCCTTATTGCCAACGGCTTTACCACCGAGTTTCTGGATTTCTTGCACGACGGTGTCTGGGTTCATAAGATCGTTCACCACGACGGACGCACCGAGCTTGGCGAAGGCAAGTGCATAACCTCGCCCAAGGCTAGGTATGTTAGTACTAACACGTCAGACGGAGCAATAGGTCGACATACCCGGCACCGGCACCCGTGATCAAAACAACCTTTCCGTCAAAGCGGATATCCTCGCCCTGTTCATTGGGCGGTAGTTTAAGAGACTCCTCTGATTTTGTGACGAAATCAGCAACTCCAGTGGGATATTCTGGCTCAGAGAAATCGTTGACCTCGTCCCATTTCTTGAGGATTGCACCGGGCGTGTACGTCTCATCACACCGGAGCAGGAGACCTTTGGCCCGTTCCCATCGCAACTTGGCAATATGCCCGCCGCCGACCTCGAAAATTGAGCCGGAGGTGTGTGTATTGGAAGGGTGGACCAAAACAGCAACGAGGGGCACGACCCAGTCGGGCTTCAAGTTCGCCAAAACATCGGGAGGCATGACTGTCTCGGTCATTCGGCTGGCGGCAATTGGAGCAATGACGTTGCAAATGATGTTGTACTTGGCGCCTTCCTTTGCCAATGTCTCCGTGAAACCGACTTGAGCAAGTTTTGCCGCAGAGTAGTTGCACTGGCCAAAGCTGCCGAAGAGGCCAGCGGCGGAAGCAGTGTTGATGACCCGGCCGTACCTTTGTTTCCTGAAATATGGCCATGCAGCTCTTGCGCATTTGTATGCACCTTTCACGTGAACAGTGTTGATCAGATCCCAGTCAGAATCCTTCATGTTCTTGAAGCTGATGTCCCGTAGGATACCGGCATTGTTCAGGAGGACGTCGACACGCCCGAAGTTGTCAATGGCAGTTTTGATGATCTTGTCGCCATGTTCAACGCTGTCGTAATTGGCGACGGCCTTGCCACCAGCAGCCTTGATCTCGTCTACCACGGCATCTGCGGCCTGAAAGAACGTGGGTGAGTCACGAACTTGGATAAAGCATGTGACAATGAGCGACTCACCTTTGTGCCAGCACCGTCGCCCTTGAACGAGCCTCCCAGGTCATTGACCACGACATTGGCCCCTCTTGAGGCGAAGAAGAGGGCGTATGCCTTTCCCAGACCACCACCAGCTCCAGTGACAACCACGGTCTGGTTGTCGAAGCGTAATTCTTGCACCATCGTCACCTGGTTACTCGTCGCTCAAGGAATGCGCAATGGGTGCCTGCTCACACTTCAGACGTATAGAGGGGTCGGAAGGGGGAAGATATGGCGACAGTATAGACTACCACCGCAATAGCCAAATGGATGTGGCCAGGTACTGATGCCGGCAGGATGATGAATACGGCAGAGAGCGTTCACAACAGCTGAGCTTATGATTGAGGTAGGAAGACTGCGGAAATGTGCCATTGGCGAGCCTCGGTGTCGTCAGTACAAAACCAGCCGAGGCACATAATCACGTGATCTTAGAGTACCTCCCAGCCCCACGAAAACTTCTTCCGTTCCGTCCTCCTTCATCCATGCTCCAGCCATCGGTCAGCGAACACATCTCCGGCGAACACATCTCCGACAAAGCCCACCGGATCATGTCTAAGCCTTGCCTCCACATTTCCCCGATTACAGTCGGCATGTGAAGATTTGCGCACCCGGCCTTCTTACTGGGCAGCTGCTTCGACCACACGGAGGCAATAGAAAACACCTTGTTGGGCGAGGCTCTAGAAGGCCTAACATCGAGGTCAATGCCATCAGCGTAGATGAGCATCCCTTCACAGGCTATAGAAGAATAGTATGTACGATGGAGGTAGTTTTCCCGTAAAGGACCTCCCAAGAGTGCAGGTCGCGTCGCTGGAGCCTACTTACTCCGCTCGAATCCGGGCAATCTATATAATATCCGGCGTCAATGGACGTTTGCTCATATCGGTTTCTTTCGTGATTCGAAGTGCTGTACTCTTCCCAAGCCCATCAACAGGGGCTCAGTTGGAACTACAATAGACGCCGCAAAACATGCCTGAAATCATCGACGACAAAGCCCAGCACGTAGTGCCCTTTATATTGTCCTTGCTTTCCGAGCACCAGAAAGCACAGGCCACGTCCTCGAATCCACCACCTTTCTTCATCGGCCTCAACGGCGTCCAAGGCGCTGGGAAGACCGTCCTCGTCGACATCCTCAAGGAGACACTAACCTCCCCACCACACAATCTGCCGACAGTGGTCTTCTCGCTCGATGACCTGTACCTGACGCATGACGACCAGGTCGCTCTCGCTCGCGCCCACCCGGACAACCCACTCCTCCAGCACAGAGGGCAGCCATCGACGCATGACATCCCGCTGGCAAAGGCCGTGTTCGACAGTCTGAAGCACAACAAACCCACCAAGATCCCGCAGTACAACAAGGCCGCGTTTTCAGGCCAAGGCGACCGCGTCCCGGAGACGGAATGGGCAGAAGTCAACACGGACGCGTCGCACCCGGTCCGCGTCGTCCTGTTTGAAGGGTGGTGCGTCGGGTTCCGCCCCCTCTCACCCGAGGTTTTACAGCAGAAGCACGCCGCGGCCGTGGAAGCGTTGAAGACGGCAACTCCCCAATCGCCGTATCGCGGGCGTCTCGGCCACAACACGCTCAGCTCGGTCACGACGATCAACGAAGCGCTGCGCCAGTACGATGAGATCACGGCGCAGCTTGATGCCTTCGTGCACATCGACGCCCTCGACCCGCTGTACGTGTATAAGTGGCGGTTGGAACAGGAGGCCGGACTTCGTGCCTCGCGGGGGAGCGGAATGACGGACGAGCAAGTCCGCCATTTTGTCGATGGGTATTATCCCGCTTACGAGCTCTACACAGACACGTTGAGGAATGGGGTGTTCACGGGTGTCAAGGACGATTGGAGGGGGAGGCAATTGCGGTTGGTGGTCGGTGAGGATCGGAAGGTCAGGGACGTTATCAAGATATGAGGGACCTTTTTTCCCCACCATGAATGATACGCATCCGAGGGGAGGAACGTAAGGCTGGTAAGCGCGGAATGGGACGGGATGCAGCCACGGATACCAGACGAGAAATAGTGAGCAGATCTAACTCTGCCGGGACGAGAGCTGCCCGGAACAGCAATCACGGGGGCGCCCGGTGCCTGGAAGCTCGTGACAATGCATGCATGCATCGTGCAGAGCAGATGAAAGTGTCTAGCGGAAGGAGGCGGAAGGATGGACTCCAGAGTTGAAGCTCCTTTGCTCCAATCCACGGAGCATTGCAAATTTCACGAACCACCCACTGTGCTTTCAATCTCGACTTTCGTGCACGCACTAAGCTCTTCTTATCCGGCCAAGGTCATCACAGTCCGTGGGAGCGCAGCGGCTGTGGGCATTCGAGTCGAAGATACTCGAGACCGGGAACCTTAGACAGACCGAAGTCGATCCCGCTTGTATCATTGTCTCGTTTGGTAATTCTCAAGTCTCCTGAGGCGAAGCACGGAACCCTTGACCGGCTGTTTCGCCACCCGCGTACCTGTCATTAGCAGGGTGAATGATGGTGCAGCCGAGACCTAGAGGACTTCTGGCAACAAATAACATGCTGCGTCAGACTGAGGTGGGGTGTCTCTTCTGTTCTGCTCTGAACATCACGTTCCTATGCAGGGACTCTCCAAACACCATAAACCCCTCGTCCTGCTTCTCATCAGAGGCATTCTGCGGCAAAAGAGGAAGAGGGCGAGGGGGAGAGCACAAGAGACGCGGCGTTGAGAGAAATTCTGACTTTGCATTCGACCTCGACCGAAGTGGAATAAACAAGTACTACCTGCGTGTTGCCGGCCGTGTGTCTTTTGTTGCCCAGAAGCGCTCTTCACTTAAACCTCCCATTTCTTTGTTATCCATCTGAAGTCGCGTTTGTCGGCCCCCATTTGGAAGGTCGCTCATCCCGCGAATACACCGGACTTGTAAAGATGCTGTTGTGTTCAATGACGTGCAATGCCACCCAAAAGACTGCGTCGAAATGCAGCAAGCAACAAGATCATGCCCTCTTGCCGTTGATAGCCTTCAGATGAACATCACTGCCACAATAAGTTATTGCGTGGCTCTACACAGATTGCTGGTTCTGCCCAACAGCGACTGGGGGACCGCCACTGGAAGGACAAAGAGAAGCTAAACTCACAATATGAGAGTGGCATTCTTGGGGATGAGACCCGGGAAACCACTACACTCCAACTATCAGCACGAACCCACCAAGGTCGACAAGTATCAACCAATGGAATCTGTGCAAGTGACAATGGGCAAAGTCCCGGATCTGCGGTTGAGTCTTGGTCAAAAGTCCATTTGGTGCTGCATGAAACGTCACACAGCATATAATGGCACCAACGGGGTTACGACGGGCTATTGCTGCAAGGCGCATTGCGATCATGCATGCGGGTAGAAAGAGGAAGTTGGAGAAGCCCCGTGTACCGACCTTTCACCGTATGCCATATTCCTAAGGATGATGTCAGTCATCAGTTCTCTGATTCTTCGAAGCAGGCCAAGCAACGCCGTTGAGAATGGAGAACAGCGACCCTCACACACCAAGGAATGGGCGGAGAACCACGGACCACAGCGGCTGGCTTTGTTCAAAGACTTACCCTGGAATCGTCAATCTGCTCTTCTCGCCCAGAGACATTTGCGGCACACCTTGATCCCAGCCTAGACTCAAGCGGTGAACATGCGCGTTTCATATCGATAACGTGCTGGTTTCCTCACCTTGAATGACTCGACCGACGCCGATCTGAGTTTTGAAATCTCCGCGGCCGACTGAGCTGTCGAATCTGTCGCAAAAGGTCAGTTCTGCTCACCGAGTCGGCCACCGTCGCTCACGACGAAATGACGTACTGGTTGCCCTTGTAATCTGCGTTGGCCTTCGACGCATCGTACAGCCAACCAGTGTACTCGATCGTGACTTCGTCGCCGGCCTTGGGGTAGTCCGCATTGTTCCCGGCCGAGAGGAGCTTCTTATCTAGTCGGGTGGCCATTGCTGTCCTGTGCAAGGGTATCTAGATCTATGATACGTAGGGTCTGGTGTTTTGAAGCGGAGGTTGCAGCGAGGTATGCGATAAGATGTAGTGGTAGTGGAGCCTTGAGAGGATGAGTACGATCGGGAAAGTCAATTCTGTTCTTACAGGAGAATATAAAGAATCAGATCCGAATGACGATCGGCACGTTGATGGTAAGAAAAGTGGAGCAAAGCTGATGGTCAAAAGGAGGAATTTGTTTCAGGCATGCACTGGATCTTGGCAGGAGCAGTGGGTTGGACTGACGAAGCAAAGTCATGAAGGAGTGAGTGGGATAGGCGATTACTCGAGGCAGTTGGCAAGTCGGTGGTGGTGTGATTTGCTGTCAGGCGAGCGGTGTATGTAGATTTGAAATCTGCTTCTTTGAACGGCAGGCGCAGGCGCGGTCTGAAGAAACCCGGACCGGCAAAAAGCAAATCGCGACCCAGCAGCTACACCCGGCCTTGCTGGTACTCAAATCACATTCGTCATCATTAGACACTTATGAGTCGAAGACAAGGGTGAGGGATGTACTCCGTGACGAGGCAGCGCTCGTAGCATCGAAGACAAAGGAACCCTGTACCCATCACGGAGGTTATGCACAAGAGGTTAAGCACCTCCAAGGAGACGAATTTCGGAGCAGGCCCTACGGTCACTGGCCGTGGGAACGTGAGAGATGCAGCTAGCCATACATTAGGAAAAGACCAACATAGTCAAAGCAGGTTAAACTAGGTCCGTAGAATGGGGAAAACTCTAACAGCCAGAGCCGACCAGGAATCCAAGAACATGCAGTTACGTGCTTGCAGGACCCGGCGACGTTGTTACACAGAATGAATTTTGACACAGGCACCTACGTACAAAATCCTTCGGTAGACGTCGGATGAAGAGGCTGCAGAATACGTCGTACTCGACTCCCAATCAAGCGCTCCCATGCAGCCGCGTTCTCTTTTCCGCGATTAGCTCTTCCAGTTAGCGAGGGAGAACAAGGCATCAAGATCTTGGGTGATCTGGAAAGAAGGAACGTGCGCATGGATGGAGGGGTTGGGCACGAACTGCCTGACGAAAGTGCGGGGCAGTGTTTCATTCTTTGCGGCAGCGGTTTGTTGGGATACAACCTACGATGTACCTCGTACCTCATCTCTCACTCTTGTGTGCCTCTGCCGTCAAATAGTCTGCACACGATCTGCTCATGGTTGGTCATGTGGTCTGCGACCAAAGGTCGTGATAGAGTAGCGCTGCGGAGTTATCGCCTTGGGTCCGCCCTCAACGACGTCTGATCCCGCGCCATCGATCTGTAAGACGCTAACTAGCCGCGAAGGGCAGTTGCTGAATAGTCGGAGAAGGGCACTGAGTCAGGTAGGAATATTCCCACGCCGTGACGGAGAGACTTTGGCAACAGTGAGTCGACGTACAGACCGCTGGACCCAAGATTGCCGAACACGAACAAGGGTATGGCATGGCACCTTTGTCAGGCGTCGATCATCATGATTTCCGCCAGGCTCCCAATGTCTTGTTGTTCAAGCACTCCATACGCACCTCGGGCATGAAACTCCTGGCCGCGCGTCTAAACCCATCCTGCCATAAACCGAGGTCGATGGGGACGGACGGTCCCACCCGCGGTCATACGTATCAGGTTCATGCTCTGTCAGAGCTCGTCCAAATGGCGATGTCAGAGTGGTCTACATCGGTCCTTGTGCACACGACTTCAGCGTCTTCTTCCTGCCCAACAACATCGTGAGACGAGTGTGATAACCAGCCTTGTCAAGATCTCGGCTGATCCTGGTAACCGATCACCCACCAATCTGGAGCCGACACATGTCACTGCTGCCATCTTCACAGGCTGTCTCCCCGACTCCGGATCTAGCATTGGATCGCTTCACGTACATCCAGAGAGACTCCTGCCGCCAGGACGCGCTACCTCATGTTTGGACCGCGAAATCCAGCGCTACGAGGCCAGATACTGGTCGACTCGCTCGTGTGTTGGCACTCCGCCTGCAAGGAGAAGCGCACCTTATACCAATAGATCCCTGTATTCTTCATCTCTCTGGCAGCAACTTTCTGGTTGAGAGGATATCGATCAATTTTCCTCATGCACGGTCTGCCTGTAGAGACATTTTGACCTTACGTACTTCTGTCCCACCATTTTTGCTTTTTTTCGTCCTGCATGATAAGAGTTTGGAGTCGACCTTTCTGTTTTGGGGGTCCGGGTACGCGCAGACCCTTGGGGATCGCCGGTGCTGAGGATGGAGCACGACCATAGGTCTTGGTTCATGATGATGCTTTGTCGACCCCGCATATCCACCGTCTCCGCCTCAGATCCGGCTTCAGTGACACTCGCAGCTCTCGCTTATAACGTTGCCATGCTGGCACCGTTCCCCGAGATGCCGGTTTTCGGATAGGCTCGACATTCGGGGTCAACCTCTCCGGTTACTCTTGTTCATCGCACATGAGTGTGGGTCTTGGAGGAATGGGTTCAGTCCAAACTCTAAAGCCACGCAAAAAAAGGCGTGAGTTGGAGCGAACAAGCCAGCTCCACCGTCCAAGTGCCAGAGATCTCGTCTCCTAAAGGCTTGGTGCTAGGTCGCTGAACCCGCAGATCCGCATTTCCAGCACGATTGTCTTTCATCTTCCCGTCTTTGAGCGGTGTAGTACTGCGAATCAGCTCACTTCCGCCCTGTACCCACCGGACTGGCTGTTCATGCGTGACATCCGGATCCCTGACAAACCATCCGAAGAAACAGACTCTCTGGCGCACATAATCGCCTTTCCGACGTTCTCATCTGTATACTGCAAGAGGCAATGTGGAGTTCCAAAAAGGCACAGATCGCAGGGAGTGACGTGACAGCATTGACCCTCCTGCAGCTATAATGACTGTCATTCGTGTCTGAAACCCAGCATCCGGCATCGAGTGGCTGAGCAGCATACAAGGCTACCAGTAACAACCGCGAATCCGTGACCAGGTGCATGCCATGTGGTTGCTGTGGATTCGCTTAATCTTTCCCGTGTCGAACTTCCCGTCTACCACTTCAAAGCGCTTCCTTCAAACGCGATTGATTGCCGAGGCGTTGCCGCCACGCCTGCCAGCCTTGAGCAAAGCATATCAGGCAGTTTTTTTGAATCGCCGGAACTCGGTCTCTTTCAATTCCTTCACGTCCAAGCACTCGACCTGCAGGTTTGGGAAACGCTCGTCTGTTGACCCCTTTTTCTCGGTCGCGCCAGGAGACTCACAGTGTTTGAGGAAAGTGACAGACCGGATGTCCATCTTGTCCAGGAACTGCAACACCTGCCCATAGCTGTGTGCAATCTGATCGATGCCATGGCTGTCATCTGACAGGCAGAATCGGATCTTCCTTGCCAAGGCTGCTTGACATATCTCAGCCTTCGGATATGGCTCATGCATCCCCTTCCTGACTGCGGATGAGTTGATCTCCAAGATCCCACCGTAGCCGGAAATCAAATCCAAATTCCTCTGGATCCGCGACCACACGCCCTGCATGCTCTCAAAACACGCGTTGGGGTCGTCGCTCTTCAGCCGAATGAGGTCGAAATGCCCCACCACAGGTGGTTTGACAGCCTTCAACATCGCGTACTGCGCGTCGAAATAATCCTCAAACAGCCTTTCATCCGTGCCGCCGGCTTTGCTGCGTGCGCCGCGGTAAACCTCGTGATCGTAATCGATCGGCACGGTGTGGACATGGTGGACGCTGCCAATGAAGAAGTCATACGGGTGCTTCTGGATGCTAGCCTCGATCAGTTCCTGGGATTCCGGACGGATCCATTCCGCCTCGAAGCCGATTGGGATCTGAATCTGGGATTTGTACTTCCCACGCAGTCGGTGTGCCTCTTTGATATAAGCTTCCTCATTTGCTAGCTGCTGCTCCAGGGTTGTGCCGACTTCTTCCGGGTACCGGTCCAGGTCGTGCCGCGGCATATGTTCGGTCAGGGCAAAGACGGTCATCTGTCGAGAAATGGCGTGTTGAACGATGGACTCGAGCGAGTCGCGAGCGTGGCCCGGACAAAACTGGCCGGAGTGGCTGTGGTGGGAGTGTGGCATGGTTGAGTTCAGCCAATCGAGAAGTGAGCGAGAACAGAAGCCTTGTTCCTTTCTCAGCCCTGGAATTTGCTGCGAGGCGTGAAGCTGACTTTTTCTGTTGAAACTCTATGCGGTGTTATCTTCTGGCGTTCTTATTACAACAGGACAAATGGATTCTAACTTCCGGGTAGAATGGTGATGCCGAGGTGAGCGAAGTCTAAGATGATGCTCAAAGTTTGTTATCTTTAGGGGGCCGGAATTTGTCCGCCATTGGCCCAAACCGAACCTCTCCGCTGCCACCAAACGCAGGCGGGAAATCATCTCCAGGTGGCATATGTCTTTGTTCAGGTGGCATTAGAGAAGACCGGTTGAGGATTTTCAATTTGTCGCCGGAGAACCCTAGACTCACGTCGCAGCATGCCATTACTGGCAATCCTCGATTGCAGGACTGTCTCTGCATACGCACCGAATTTCTTTCAGATAAGATCTCATTTTCAAGACAAGACCCCATCGAGAATGATCGAGGCGCTGTACGTTCTCTGCGCAGCGCTACATGAATGTATCCAACTACGCACCATACACCTGCCGGAGCCTCTCTCGTAACAAATCCAGCCCAACGGCCTTCCTCCACCACTCATCCCACCAGCCCACAGGCCAGAACGTGCAGTTGTAGAACCAAGTCCTCCACGCTCCCGTCCCGCGCCAAATCTCCAACGGCAACGCACTTCCGCCCAACCATCCCTTCTTCTCCCAACTCGATGTTATATCAGACACGACGTTTTTCGCCCAGACCTCCGGATCCTCCCTGTCCGGGAACGCTCCTCGCATGGCCCCCTCTGTCATCTCCTTGACCTTGTCGTCGACCGCGTAGATACTCCCCTCCGGCAGAGTGGCATTCCCGTCCTGGTGATTCGCGTGGAACTTGGAATGCACACATCCTGTCTTCAGATCGATCACGTGGATGTTGAACGGCTGGAGTTCGATGCGCATGTGTGTCGAGAACATGGCCGCCGCGACTTTACTGGCGTGGTAGGCGGAGTTGTGCGGCGTTGGCTCAATGGACGAGATGGACGTGTTGTTGAGGATGAGGCTTGGTGAGGATCCATCCCTAGCTGCGTGGAGGAGTAGAGGAAGAAACGCCTGCGTGACGGCGATATAGGACCACACGTTGAGATCGAAGAGCGCTTTTGCTTCGGGCACGGAGATGTCGGCCACCGGCATGTTGTAACCTGTTGATGTGGTCACCAGCATTAGTATTCGCTGCAGAGCTCTCCGGGGACGCCCCAGACGCTGAGTGGCGTAAGGTGTCGACGATACGTTCAGACAAACCAAACGCCTTGGTTCAGCAAGGTCATTCCACCCCCATCCGCAAAGCACGCGTGGACCACCGAGATCAAGTCCTCCAGAACTCTTCGCTGGGTGTAGAAGAACATGTACCGAGCATAGGGCATTCCAACTAGGAAAGAGGGAGCACAATTACCTCCTCCAGCATTATTGACAAGACAATCAAGTCGTCCTTCTGCCCCGTTCTCCCCTTTCCCGGTCAACCGTCTCACTTCCTCCGCACACATCTGAATACTCTCTTCGTCGAGCACATCCAGTTGCAGACACTCGATCCCCCTTTCGCGTAGTCCCATCATCTTCTCCGGGTTCCTCGCTGTGGCGAAAACTCGCAGCCCGGCATTGTGGAACGCAATTGCCAACGCGTGCCCGAGACCGTGGACTGAACAACCTGTTATCAGGACGGTACGACGGGGAGTTATACTCGACATTCCGACAGTCAACCGTCAGGGTTGTGTTCCAAATTGGTCTTGTTCTCGCCCCGAGTGACTAGTGTTTTTGAGCAGTGTTGGACCTCTGCCCGAAGCCAGGTTGACTGCCAAAAATTGCGCCGTTGAGCCTGCAATCTAGATCTTCACTAGCTCCTACGGCTAGCTACTTTACAATACAATCGAGCTTGGGAGACGACTCAGCCATAAACAAATGTTGAGAGACAAATCTGCAATGGAATTGGGTACTGTAAGGTAGACCGCCAAAAAGGGAAGGTAGATTTCGGGTCAACTCTTCTCCGGGACGAGCATACGTAGATGGGCACTTACACGGGCATGACGATGGTGACTGTAATATCGGGAGTGAAGTGCATTATCTTCTTAGTGGAGAGTCGCTACCAAGAGTCGCTGTCATAAACTCATCACAGAGACTGGACTATCGACTGCTGCCAGGACATAATGCCGGCCCATCGCCTTAACACCGCGAACACGCCAGCCCTGTAAAACATACAGTAGGACTGCGAACCACGAAATCAATGCTTCCTGGATTGTGCTGATATCCTGCGTGCTGTAAGGGCGCTTCTCGTGCCCCAAGAACCACCTCCAGTCCCTCTTCATCTCGAGCTCTCAGTGCTAAAGATACCTGGTCGTTGACCTGTCATCACAATCCTCTTTCTCGGGCCCGGAGTTTCTGTATTCTCGACTCCCTTCTGCTGCTGTGAGTGGGCGCCTAGTCCTTCTGCAACGAAACCAATAGTATAGGCACCAACCCCAAGAGCTGCGACAGTCAGCATAGTTCGCTTTACGCCACGTGCAAGCCGCCTCCACAAGCTCTCCTTCGGTGCCTGGACAGTGTCTTTGTCAGCTTGAGACGTATTAGCCTTTTCGTCCGATGCCGCAATGGGACGGATTGTCCCAGAGAACACCTTCTCCTGCCTCCTCACTCGCGGCTTGCCTTTCAACGGACGAGAGACAGGCGCGGTGGGTGCTGCTGGACCTGGAGATGGGTCTAAATCAGAAGGTATCTCATCAAGGACCGTGGCAGCCGTGTGGAGGGGCTGATTGGGGGGTATTTCTGTGGTCAAACTTGGCGTTGCCTGCTCAGCCACCTGTTGCATGTCTGCTATTGTTTTGGGCGCAGCTGAAGCTGTAGCTTGTTCTGGCTGCTCCTTTCGGAAGACCAATGTGTTCTCGGTTCCATCATACAGCGAGTACCCCGCTCCTTGCATGGCTTGGAAGTGCTTGAGAAACTCGGGCGCATTCTCAAGCCTCCCTAGGATCTGAACCATGTTACTAGATTTGCTGGTTTCCGCAGCTGGCTGATCCAGTGTTGAGCAATTCACTTTCCCAGTGGATGAGTTATATGAAAGAACAAGATACGGCGAATCGAACTGGACGTCTCGAAGGCTTTCAATTGGTGGGATCTGCTCGTCATTCCAGGTAGGCGATCCTGACGGGGTGTGAACCGGTTCAGGTACGACCTTCTGGTCATTCTCTTCCGGATTCTGCGACGGTGAATGGACCCCTGGCACGACCTCCGTATCTTTCTCAACAGGCGCCTCTGATGAGTCGAGTTCACCAGCTTTTTGGGCTTTAACATCGATTCTCTTTTTGCCGAAGTCGGATCCAGATAGCTGGGGTGTCTTCCAGGCAATGTCTGGTCTTCTTGTCTCGATGGATCTTATGGCGTTCTTAGTCTCGTGTAGAACTCTCCTCACCTCTTTTGTTGCTTGGATAACTTCACTCAGTTTCGAAGGGGGCGGTTTGACCTCGTTCGTTGGTTCATTTGCTTCTGCTGTTGTCGATGGTACTGTCTTCCCAAGCTCTTGAGCTTGGGTGCTGATTTCACGAAGTTGAGCACGGATCTGTTTGGCATCGTCCACAAGCTCGGCGAGCTTCGGCTCGAATTTAGTGATATGCGCATCAATGACCGGATTGGTTACAATGCCAGGTTTTAGGCTCGCAGTCGAGAGCGGATGAGCCTTGGATCCGTCAACCTGGCTGGATACGGGGTCAGAAGGTGCACCTACCACTTCGCTGGCATCCATTGCCGGGTCCGGTGCGGACTGCCTGTGATTGGGGTCTATCGTCCCATACTCGCTCTCATAAACTGCCTTTATCTCCGTGGCCAGTCGCGAGATCTGAGCATTCTGGACGTCTGCGTCGTCTTTGGCTTTTTCAGTCGCCGTCCGCAAGCTAGCTGTGCGTTCCTGCTGTTCTCTGTCGGTCTCGAGTGCGTCATGAGAGGGAGTGAACGGCTTCACGTCCAGGCTTTTCGCAGGCCGGTTGTAGATGGACGGAGTCTTGCTCAACGACTCGTCTCTGAAGATGAGCTTTTCGGTCAAACCTTTTACTGCGTCAGAACGAATATACTTCTTGTAGTTCTCGTTAAGATTGGTCATGGACTTCATCGTCTTGGCGACGATGCCGTCGGGGTGCTCCCGTATATGGTCCAAAACATTGTTGATAGTCTTGGTCAATTTCGTTGCCGAGACTTGGGTCTTCGGTGTTGCATGTACGAAGTCTGTCTTGTCTGCCGCTTTGGTTTGCCTCGCATCAGATTCTGATTCGAAGTTTGATGCTTTGATCTGCCTTGGTCCACCGGTTTCCGGGATGGCTGCCGCTCTGTCTACATCTGTCCCTTTCTCCGTTGATTTCTCCGTTGAAGGTGATTGCCTTCTGGCGGCGGACACTTGACGATCTAGGGAGGTCTGCAGTCTGGCCGATTTCTCGACGGCTTGAGCCGCGCACGGCTGGGCTCGGTCAAGTGCCGTCTCAAGCCTAGGGTTTGACTCCTTGAAGGGACTATCGACTGCAGTCTCTCCTGTGGATTCCGAGCTCACAGTCTCGTTAGCAGGCTGCCTAAAGCCTTCCTTGGCTAGCCAATCTGAAGGATTAGCCCGTGCTTGTCTGATGGCTCTGGCTTCATAAGTGGTGCCCGAGAAGAGCGGAAGCGTGTCATCAGGCTCGGGTGACTCCCGTGGTTTCTTTGAGGCTCTAGCTCCATCAGTAAAGGGCCCGGCCACAGGTTCGGGCTCACTTCGCGAGCCGGATTCCGTGAACAAGGCAGTTGTGTCGATGGTGTTGCCTTTGGCTCGCTTCATCAAGTCTCGCAACTGATGCTTCCTAGAATTATCAAACCCTCTGCGCGTTCGGTTTGACTCTATTTCCGTAAGCGTTTCAGTGGCTTTGGTATCCGAATTCCCATAGCCATACACTTTATGAGAGCTGAAGGTCTTCACGGGTATCTCAACTCCGTGCTCTTGAAAGAACATGCTCCGGAGAAAAGGCTGCTTTAGCTGGCTCTCTGACGATTGCTTTGTTGGTTCGGGCGGTGATGACCACGATTTTGCTTCTGAAGCTGCTGGGTCTTTCGCCGGCTCCGGGGCTGAACTTTGCGTTTTTGGCTTGGGAGAAGGAGACCGCTTCCCCGGCTCAGGTGACGCAGGTTGCATGTTCAGTTCATCTTCCAACATGTGCTTCTTCGTCGGTACCTTCCTCATGGTGATTGGGTCGTACTCATATGCCTCCTCACTATAAATCATGGTGGTCTCTTTCGGAGTCTGTTGTGCGAAAGTTGTGGAGGTAGCTGCGACTGGCTTTTCGGTCGACGTGTCTGTGGTCTCGGCTGGCTTGGACTGCTGGGACGAGACATCTGTATCAGTTTTGATCTCTTTGGGGTCAGTAAACCAAGAGAACGAAGTCCATGATGAATTATTCGACGACGGGGGACTCTGCAGGCGTCTTCCGAACAGTGTTCCATAAGGATCCCGCGCTATTGCACGGTCAACGGCTGCTCGAAAAGATTCAAAGTCGTTGTATATTGTCTTGAAGTCACTCTCGGGATTTTGTTCATTAGGAGACTCTTTCGTTTCTTGATTCGAGGCACTTGTTGATGTAATTGGCTTGTAGTCGCAATACCGGGTTGCCCAGAGTCGATTGAAACGCCACGGTCGCATGGAGCTCTCTTCCGACTCCCACATGGCTCTTCTTCGAGCAAGCTTATAGTATCTTGACCTCATCATCTTATGATGCCTCCTCATGCGCTCCTCGAAGTCTTCGGTTGGATTACTCGTTTGACGTCCCCACCACCAGAGGGTCCGTGCCTGGACTGAGCTGACACGGTGGCTTCGGTGAACCTGAGTTCTCAAACAGAGAGGCCTTGTCTTTGTGCCGGCCTGCACTGTTCGTGCGAATAGTACAGGCATCCTGGCCGGAATGTCTTGAGACTCTATGGTGAGGTATGCTAACTGCGGTAAGAGGAGCGGGATCAGGACGGACTCGGAAAGCGGTCAACTATCAGCGACTTGAAGCATCGAGGACAAGGCCAGTCCTCAGGCTGGAGTGAATGCCCCTCAGGCGTGCATCTGCAATGCAGGCCGTGCACTGAGCATATAGAGAATGATTTCAGCCGATGCTAGAGCTTTCAAGGAGACAGATTAGATGCACAACAGAACAGTCAATGATGGCCAATTGAATGCGATGCGTACAGGCTGGTGCAGCGAGGAGAGGGAGCGCAATGGAGTGCAATGGAGGGGCAGGCGCCTGCAGGAAACGGGCGATAGCGATACCGACACAATGCGGAGAAATCGCGTGCCAACGCGTAATCCAACTCGTGCCACTTCAAACTTCGAGCTCATCAATGCATTTGTCAAGTTGATAAAAATCACGGTGATTCTGTAGGTCAGTTCATGCCATCCTACCCAATACCGATCCAGCATAAACCCGTATCATACAGTTCAACTGCCTTCATTCCTCGACTCTTTTCTTCGTGAGCGTATCTACCACCCTGCCATAGAATTTGGACGCGTTAAGTCTTGCAAAGGTGATTTCTTCAGTCAGATAACCAGGCATCAACTTGATCATCTCGTGGTCCCTGTCGGGGTCCAGAAGTGGAGTGTATAGGTATTCTGTGTCCTCGAAACTCATGGTTCTTGCGATCTCTTGGTCGACGAACAACCGGAAATGCAATGCTATAACACGGTTATTCTTCAGCTCAAAACTGGACAGGGCGCTGTACTTACTGCCATTCTGACCAGTCTGGATACACTCGTAGCTGTGTCCCTCCTCTGTCTTCTTCAGGTTGAGGACCACTAGTCCTGTCAGGTCACTATACAGATCCAACTTCATCTGGGCGATTTCGACAGATTTGGCAGCTTCAGCATTGCTGATAACCACCGACCGTTGGGCAGAGCTCTTCATCGCGCTTCCTGGAGTCTTAGGGTGGTCAACAGAGGAGGATCGTGCTGCTGCCACTTTCGCCTGTAGGGTTTTGATCTCGTTTTGCGCAGCCGTGAGAGAGGTCGAGAGATCCGCGGCAGTTTCACGCATTTTGCGCATTTCGTCCTCCTGGCTCTGCATCTGTTGCTTAAGTTTGCGTGTCTCTTGAGCCAAAGGAGCTTGTGTTGCCAGCTCTTTCTTGAGAGACGCAATCAGGTCATTTGAGGCTTGCATCGTTGCATCGCATTGCTTGCGTAATTTCTCCATATTCGCATTGGCCTCGTTGATGCCTACCTCTTTCAGATTGCGGTATTTCAGGTCGACATTTTCAAACTTGCGCGTGACATCCCCCAGCTTGCGTCGCAGGTTGGGATCTCCCCGTTCGATATCTGACGCGCTTCCGGCGCGTCGTCGAAGAGGGGGATCTTCTCTTGTTCTGGACGCATTGCGGATAACTGGTCTGGGTTTTGGTGGTGATATGGTTTCTACCAGGGCGCTGGTTTCCTCCTCCTCCAGCTGCGGTTCTGTTACCACAGCGCGCGATCTTTGGTGAGCCTTCGACTCAGCCGCCACGGCTGCTCTGTCGGCGACTCTCGAGGCTTGCTTATTTGTTTTGGTCGCCGCATGCTTCGAACGGATCTGCACTGGAGCTTCGTCCACGTCGATAAGGTCGTCTTCTGGCTCCTGCGTATCGGGTGCCTTGATGTTGCTCTTGACTTTAGCAGCCGGCCGCCCGCGCTTCTTGCTCTTCGGAGCGACAACTTCAATCTCCGCGCCAGCATTAGCCAACGTATCATCAAGGTTCTCGTGAGATCCCGGGTTGACTTGATCTCCCGAGGCTTTTCGCTTTACTCCTGCAGTCTGCTTCGGAGGAGCCTTCTTTGTTTCTGGAGGCGCAGATTTCTGTGGCTTCGACTTGGACTTAGGAGGCATGGTGACGCGCTGTCGTTTCTTTCCCCTCTTCGCCTGCGTCGCTCTCGTTGAGGTGGCATTTGTCGCGTCCGAAGCAGAAGATAGAATTGAATTTTCGTCGACGAAGGGCGTTGAATCCTCCATGTCGGAGTCGAGGATGTCTGCAATGCCTTTCATTATGATTGCACAAGTAGTGAATGCTGGTGGTAATGGGAGTCGAGCGCACGTGTGAGGAACCGGAAGAGGAAAGTAAAATGTCAACAAACGAGGAGGGCACCTCAGGCACCTGGTTGGTGGATGGTTGGTGGATGGTCGGCCCCAGTGTAGGACGCATCACTAGCCACAAGTCACGGGTCTCAATGCCCGTGGCGATCGCTGTTAAGCCGCATCTCTTGTCAACCCTCCTCAACATTCGAAGCAAGTCACTTCTCGCGCTTAATGCAGTGTATCCTGCCCCTCATAGTCTAGAATATTGTCATGATGGCTCCAGATAGGGGCGATGGAGCGTGGTGGCACCGAGTGCTGCAAGAGCTGGCCATTACTGTTCCTCTGGTTCGTTGACTGTGCATTTCGCATTCATTCGGAAGTTAACAATCCACAGATGTTTGGAGGATACTACATCATCAGATATGTTTTAGCGCAGATGAATCTCGATCCCGAAGCAGAACAGAAAGAACAGAATCGATTGCAATCCGCCGCGATATTGCGCAGACTCGACGACCCGAAGAACAACCAACTCTCAACATCGTCAGATCCCAGACAGCTGCGAAAAGAAGATCTGCGCCTGACGCCATATGAAGAAGTCATCTTACAAGAGCTTGTGTTTCCAGAAGATATATCTGTGTCGTTTGAGGACATTGGAGGCTTGTCGGACATTATAGAGGATTTGAGGGAGTCAGTGATATATCCTCTGACTTTACCGGAACTCTACTCCACCTCCTCCTCGTTACTGTCGGCGCCTTCGGGAGTGTTGCTATATGGACCCCCCGGATGTGGGAAGACGATGCTAGCCAAGGCGCTGGCCCATGAGAGCGGTGCCTGTTTTATCAATCTGCATATTTCGACCGTCACGAACAAATGGTTTGGAGACTCTAACAAGCTGGTCAATGCCGTCTTCTCGCTCGCCCGCAAGCTGGAGCCGGTTATTGTGTTCATTGACGAGATCGACGCAGTCCTCGGCACCAGGCACAGTGGCGAGCATGAGGCGAGTGGAATGGTCAAAGCCGAGTTCATGACACATTGGGATGGGCTGGCTTCAGCTAACACTTCAGGCCGGCCCCAACGGATCCTGATCTTGGGTGCCACCAATCGCATAAACGACATTGACGATGCGATCCTCCGACGGATGCCCAAAAAGTTCCCAATCTCGTTGCCGAATGCTTCACAACGTCTCAAGATCCTGAAGATCGTCCTCCGGGACACCAAACTCGATAAGGACGGTCTCGACCTGGAATATCTATCTAGGGTGATGGCAGGCATGTCCGGAAGTGATATTAAAGAAGCCTGCCGAGAGGCCGCGATGACACCTGTCCGTGAAATGATACAACGACAGAGGCAGAGTGGACAGCGCATGGAGGAAATGCGAGCAGGGGAAGTGCGAGGCCTCCGTACTGCAGATTTCTTCCTGCGAACTCGTGGTCCGAAACCTGCAATGGGCGACAAAGGTGGGAAGGATGGGAAAGACTGGAGCACAGCATCGTCGTCTCCCGTAGCAGAAGATTTGCAGGAGGCCCTTGAGGAGCTCGAACGACCAGACTGAGACGCAGAACGCGATGTTGTGTACATCAAAGGTCATCTCACTTGGCATTCACAGGACGATGATGGGCGTACCGGGCACTCTAGGCCAAATGGAGTTCGTAGACATCCTCACCTCAGTATGATTGTGCGCTTGGCCGATACGTGCAGCAGCCGCTTGATCACCCTGTGCACGCTTCTGGGCGAGGAATACGAGGATGCACAAGGATCCCTTCGAAAATTGCCCGGAGGCTTTTCGCAGGGAGATCGGTGCTACCTCGAATCGGGGCATGCCGAGCGCCCTCGCACTCCATACCCCACACTTATGGTATGTACTGTACGAGGTACGAGTAGGCGGTGCAGAAGAAGTGCGGGCGGTCACTGGGCAGTCACTGGCGACCTGCAGGGCCACCCTAAACTCTGGCCCGCCGAGTTCTTGCAGGGCCTGGCACGCATGAATCAAGTGCGTCTTCACCACGATCCCATCTACTCGTGGTTGAGTTTGCTGTTGACCTTCGTTGTCGATGGTTCTTCTTTACCAAATAACTTCCGCCTGCGGTGTACTACTCTTGTTCCTCTCCTACGTCTACCGCTTGCTGTCTGTCTCTTTGCACGGGATTCCGTGCAGTCGCAGCCATGAGTGATCCGAGCCCACCGTCCGAATCGCTGGCAACTTCTGCGCCAGCTCCGTCGCAAGCAGGTAGCGAGCAGCCAGGCACGAACAAAGCACCTCCAAACCAGACTCCGGGTCACCCAAGCTTCAGAAGGTACGCTGCGATTACCAGACTCTGTCGCGGTTCCATGTTGCTAACGCAGTGGCCAGACAGCGCGCATCTCGAGCGTGTGGTAAGCTCACCTCCGCCTCAGACCATCCTTTTTGCAGAGTCGCGTTTTGCGTGAATAGTTGAATGATCACCGTGGGACACAATATGGTTACGTTCGTTGCGGACAAGAGAATGTCAGGAAGGCTCTCGCGGACATGGTCACCTTTGTTGATTTTATCTCGTTGGAGCACGCCCGTAGACCGAGATCCTCGGTCCAAAAGTGGTGCCCTTGGTCATCCATCGATGCCAGGGCTGACCACAAACATCGTCCATGCCCAACGAGCATGGGTGTCAGCCTTCGCCGGAGTGTCTGATGGTGCATGGACAGAAAACATCGCTAACATGCCGTGTTTGCAGAAACGTGTCACGCTCGCAAAGTATGTCGCTCGACTAGTGTCCAGGTCGGGATCCGAGTCGAGTGTCCCAGTGTCTAACGCACGTGCTGTATAGGTCCGATGCGATGCTGCATCTCTTGGGTTAGTAGCGTCTTGTCACGTCAACACGGTCTTTGATCTTGACAGTTGTTAGGGTGCCATGCACAAACTGCGTGGCATTTTCAATTGAATGTCGAATTCCAGTCCCCAAGCGGAAAAGAGCCAGTGCTGCCCGAGCCAAAGATGAAGAGAGGTAAGTCAACAGCTCCTTAGGCCTCTGATTTTGTGCAATAAAGCGTCCTATCATCCTCTAGCCTCCAAAGGAGACTGTCTGACAGCCTTTCCAGCGAGACCGGTGATTCCCAGCAGACGGGCACGCCGACGGAGCCTCGTCTGGCAAGGCCAACGCAACCCAAGCCTACCGTCGGCTACAACTCTCCAGATGGCATTCCTTCCACCCAGATGTCAGAAGCACAAGCAGCTCAACAAGCCGCCAACAACAGTACCATGGCTCAGTTCATGAAGCCCAAATTCGCTCGAGCGCCGATCAAAGAAGCCGGTCGGGTAGCCTATCTCGGGGAGTCCTCAAACTTGTCGCTGCTTGTCCACGATCGACATGGCACTACAGACGTTGTGCACTATCCGTTACCAGAAAACATCAGGGGCGCTCGCGCTCGGCTGACGGAGCCTGACCAAATGGAGATTGAGATTCTCCAGCAGAGGGGGGCATTTCTGTTACCTCCTCGCGCTCTGTGCGATGAGCTTGTTGACGCCTACTTTCGATGGGTCGCTCCTATAGTGCCAGTCATCAATCGAAGCCGGTTTATGAAGAGGTACAGGGACACCAAGAATCCTCCATCGTTGTTGCTGCTTCAAGCCATTCTGTTGGCGGGTTCCCGGGTCTGCACAAACCCGCAGCTGATGGATGCTACCGGCTCTACCACGCCGGCAGCAATGACTTTCTACAAACGTGCCAAGGCTCTGTACGATGCGAACTACGAGGATGATCGCATCACTATTGTTCAGGCTTTGATACTGATGGGCTGGTACTGGGAGGGCCCCGAAGGTAAGGGCCAGGCATCCACCGAATTCGCCGACTCTGCTCGGTCTAACATAGCAGCAGATGTGACCAAGAATGTGTTTTACTGGACTAGGATGGCTATTGTAGTCGCCCAGGGCGCCGGTATGCATCGAAGGTATTCATGATTGGACGTTCTCAAAGAAGCTTGCTGACGATCGGTGATAGCGTGGAAAGTTCGCAGCTAAGCAGGCAGGACAAGCGACTGTGGAAGCGAGTATGGTGGTCTCTTTTCACCAGAGACCGCTCTGTAGCAGTCGCTCTTGGTCGGCCTGTGTCAATCAACACGGATGATTCAGACGTCGAGATGATCACCGAGGAAGATTTCATTGAAGACGAGGGCGATCCGAACAACGAGTACGAAGCCGACCCTGTCCATATCCAGTTTTTCTTGCAGTATGTCAAGCTGTGTGAGATTATGGGCCTTGTACTTTCTCAACAATACTCGGTTGCCTCGAAGGCACGACGCACAAACGCCATCGACCTGACTCATAGTGACATGGCTCTGGCCGACTGGCTGCAGAACTGTCCCCGGGAGGTATATTGGGAACGGTCACGGCATCATTTCTGGTCGGCGCTGTTACACTCGAACTACTAGTGAGCATCTGTTGGATAACTCCGGCTCTAGACTAACGTAAACTCAGCACCACACTTTGCCTCCTGCATCGAGCACACATGCCACCGGCAACAGCCAAACCCCACGATTACGAAAACGTCGATATGGCTTATCCTTCAAGGACGATCGCTTTCCAAGCCGCCGGAATGATCACGTCAATCATGGAAAACCTCCTTGCTCACGATCAGGTCAAATACACGCCTGCCTTCATGTAAGTACCCATTGATACGGCTTAAATGGAGATACTCATGCTCTTCACAGTGTGTACAGCTTGTTCTCGGCGCTCATCATGCATGTTTACCAGATGCGCTCATCTGTACCTTCAGTCGTTGCTGCCAGCCAGGAACGCATCAACGTGTGCATGAACGCCTTGAAAGAAGTGTCTAAAGTGTGGCTTGTTGCCAAAATGGTACACACCTTGTTTGAATCCATCCTGGGCAATAAGGTGCTTGAGGAAAGACTGCAGAAGGCAACCGGGAAAAAGGCACAACGAACCAAGAACAACCAGCGTGGCCCAGAGCAAGGCCATGCGAATGGCAACGCAAACGGCCTGGGAAACACCGCATCTGCAACAACGCCCATTCCCGCACCTCCCACAAATCCCGCCAAGCGCAAATACGATGACATCGATCTCGTATTCAACGTTGGGCCACCAGCTCCTCAGATGTCGTACGAACGGTCACGACCGCAAACACCCGCTGTCACACCATCACGCGAACTACCTCAGCAGCAACAGCACGGGAATTACCTGGGCTCACCTCCATTACAGAACGAACAGTATCTACCGCCGTCCAGATCTCGAGGAGCTTCCCGTTTGCCATCTCGAGGTCCCACGAGAGCAAACTCTCCCTTCAATGGATACTCTATCCCCGCCACGCCTCCCGATCTTTTCCTCGTCACACGAGACTCGCCCAACATTTCTCAGCAACTATGGGAGAACTTCCAGCCTGACCAGCTCTTCCCGGACGGCACAATCGGTGACGTCGCGGGCTTCGGCAATAGTCCCGTCATGAATCATGCTGTTGATCCTCAGTTGCGACAATTGCAAAGCCAGCAAACTGGCATGACGCCGGGAGGCCAGCAGATCCCGCAAATAGACATCTCGGGAACGGGACAGCAGCATCCTCAGGTATGGCCGCCAGGGATGTCCGGCATGATGGGTGCGGGAATGGAAATGCATGATAGCGACGGTTGGTCGACCAGTAGTATTGGGAATGCCCCCGTTGCTCCGACAACTCTAAATGTTGAAGATTGGTTCCAGTTCTTCGGCATCAACGGCGAGATGGCCGGGATGGGTATGGATGGTTCTGGACCTTGAGGCTTTTGATCTCCGGTGCTGAGGGTCGCAAGGCGATAGCTTAGTCCCCGTGTGCCCCAAATACCCACAGTCAACCAAATGCGTGAAAAGTCTGCCTAATCTACAATATGAGCACCAAGAATGGCATCTACTCCATCTGCATTGTTACATTGCTGAAACCTGACCTCCGCGTGGACGAGTAGCATCGAGACATCATTTTAAGCATACATGGTATCTGCTCCCAATGTTACGAGACACGTCAACTTGTAGAAGAATACGCAATGCGCTCCTTTTTCACCTGATGGTGTGTTGCCTGCACCGCCCATGCGAGTGAGTGGTCCTCAGCTCCATCTGCTCCTGTTGAATCGTGTCAATGATTGGTTCGCTTGTGGTATGCTTTATCGGGTCTAGTCTGCGATGCCCTTCCGGACATCTGCTCGCTCTAGCTTTTGCCGCGCGATTGGCCATCCAATTTCTCGCCCAAAGTCTTTTCAGGCTACCTAGGTATTTTCTATTTTCGAGGGGCATGGTCCAGCATCCGTCTGAGGCTGACTGAGGGGTTTTCACTCAGGTGCTCGCGACAACTACGCGACAGGTATGCGACAGGCATTGACAATGAAAGTGGACATGACGAGGCCAAAAGGTAAGTTTGACATGTTCCTATGGATAGAAGTCGCTACGTACGTCGAAAGTGTTCGCGCTGTCACCTGATACCGTACACTGATGAGAACGCATGAAATGGAATCAAAGGTAAGAATGATTGATATAAAGATCTCGAAGGCCGTGCATGGGAGGACATGTCTGCACCATATACATGCCTAGGTAATCACAGCATCATCTCCATTCCATCGTGTACCATCTCATACAGAGTGTTTGAGCACAAGAGAGAGTCCGTCGATCGAGGCTGCCAACGTCGAGCCAGGTCGATAACCCTTTCAACATCAAGCGGGACCAAATTCATTTCAGAGGCGACGCTCCTTCTGACAAGCGGCGATAATACCCTCGTTCATCTACCGCATTAGACACGCAGCCAGGATAAACACGGATGGGACAACATAACTTGTATCCCAGACTGCATATAACCGTCAAAGCCCACGCACAAACCCTTTCCTTGAACCATTCATTGCAACAACACCCCATCCCCACTCAACGACAGGACCCGAATAAAGTTGAGCTCTTGCCCAAGATGCCCGCCTCCTCCTCCACCCGACCAACAGGCCCGCCTTTGTCTTACCCGCTCGTCGCCTCGAACAACAATAACGGATCGACATTCCAGGCCGGATCCAGATCATCTTCTTTGCCTCCTTCGAACCGCGAAACCGAACCGACGCCCAAACCAAAGAGACAACACGGCTGGTGGTTCCGCGCCCGCTCCGCCAACGTCATGCGCTCGACCCAGCGTGCTGACTCGTCGCGGCGCACCATGAGCGAACCCGCACCTGTACTAAAACCCGCAGTCGTACCGGCACGCTCCTCCTCCCTTCCGCTACCGCCGCACACCCCACTGGATGAAGGCATGTTCCCGCGCGTCCGCATCCCCGCCAAAGCCAAGACTAATTAGTCAGCTTAGCTTTCCCCTTTGCAGACGTTGAAGGACGGAGCACCTGGGAGGCGACCACTACCCTGCCGGCCTCGTCGGAGTCGCCCTCCCGCCCAGCGAGCCTTTGCTCCCTATCGACCGCGTCAGACGAGTCCACGACATCGACGCCGTGTGTGCGCTCCGAGGGACACAGGAGCGTAGCTAGAGGACTGGATGCCGCGGTGGGGACGAGGGTCGTGCTGGCAGCAGGACAGCGGGAGTTGAATGACACGAGGGCCGAGACCAAGGCGATGAAGAAGACACGCCAGAGGGAGATGCTTCACTTGGTAGTCCTGGGAGGGGGTTTCCTGGGCATGTAGCTAGCTCGATTGGATACTGTCGATCATCGGACATAAATATGGCACGTTGCACGTCGGGCTGTGGACTACGTACCCGGGGTATGGTACGGTTGACCGTACTTCTTGAGCATAAAAGGGTTGGCTGGAATGGATCACAGGACTGTAGTACGAGGATGATGGAACCTACCAAGGTATGGAACACAGTACTTTCATGCTGGGATGGTGGGCGGTTGTATCGATCTTGTGACTTGCACCAAGGTATTTCTTGATTGCAACGAGTACAGTCACTGTAGAGCTGCAGATTGTGGCCTTGAAGGCGTTGTAGATAGGAGTACAATTCCTACATACATCCCTTGGGAAGAGCAGACCGGCTGATTGAGTCACCTTGTAGATTGTATTCCGCTCATCTACGCTACAGTACATGTGCCAAGCATAATAATCATCCACTTAATTCCATGCCGCCAGAACTCCGGTGTGTTGTTGACGTGATGGACCACGCACATTTAAGGGCACTCCGGCGCTGGGTCTTCCACCCTTTCATATCGTTATACTGCCTCGTTGTAAACGCCCAGATACAGAGTGTCAAGACTGTTTGTCCTTCCCGGATGCCGAACTTGCATATGCATTTCTTACCCTCCCTCTAACAGGAAATCGCTCATTCAGTAGCGCTTCTTCCGTTGCAAAATCCGACGTCGTCGCCGTTACGGCTGTAGGCGTGAGGTCTTCGTCCCTGTCCGTATCGCGGCCTCTACTACCATCCATAGGCATGGTCTCTGAATTTGTTTCCAATTCAATGAGGTCGCCCAGCCTGTCCACAGCAGCACTCCTGTCTCTCTTCCCAGGCGCGCCAGCCATCGTCCTCACCCATCCTTGAATGGCACCGCTTACTTCCCCGGCCAAGCCTGAGCTGCTCGAGTTCGAGCGCACGCTGCGCACGGAATCCATACTCGCCCTTGGCGTAGCTCTCGAGGTCGGCGTTCGACTGAGGCCTGTTCGAGGCATGGTCTCGGGCGGAGGCAGGAAGTCGGGAAAGTACTGGTTGAACTTGCGGTTAAGTGGGTCATCGGCTGGTCCGGGGCGAGATATCTGCGTTCTTAAACCACGTAGATCGCCTACGCCGCCAGGTCCACGAAGCGCCTCAGCAAAGTTGTTCCCATTTCCTGAAGTGCTGGAGGAGCGCTGTCGGCCGGATGAGCCAAGACGAGAGCCTGGAAACACGGGCCGTCGGACAGGCGAGGCGTTCAGAGATATGGATTGTTGGGCGGCGTGCGTGGGCGGGTGTCGAAGCATGTCAAAGGACGTTTTCGGCGTCGAGGCCGTGGATGAGGCGGTGAGGGTAGCGTTTGATTTCCGCCGAGGTCGGGGGAAGTAGCCCAGTGCGCGGCGAGGCACGCGCAAGACCTCAACTGCTTCTTTGAAGTTGGGTAGCACTACCCAAGAGTCGTGCTTGAGTTCGGTGGCGTCGGACAAGGAGGTGATGAAGGACAAGGGCTCGGAAGTGAGGGCAGAAGACGATATACTCGAGGTCGGGCGAGTAGGGCTATGGACGCCGTTTGGGGATAAAGCACTGTTTGGTCTCGGTTGGTCTTGCATGGAGAGGTGTTCGAGATTCGAACCGAAAAGATCTCTTGAAAGATATGGGCTCTCGACTTTGCGTCCCTTGACCGTAGAGCCTTCTAAAGGGATCAGCACACGCGTCCTCGTCTGGATATTGTCGTTGGGCCAAAACCTGTTGACCTTTCGAAACAGATCAGGAGGGCAGTTGTACTTGATGATGACACCGGCCAGCGTGTCGCCTCTCTCAACTTTGTGCATATAAACCAGTGCGTCGTCAGTCGTGTCCGTCCGGGCGCCTATAGCCGTATCTGCGTCCGAATCACGCCTTTTAAACCTGCCCAGACTGTCACGGTTTTCTGAAGCACTCGCCATGAGAAGGGCTTCCCTTTTCTTTGCTTGGACCATGGCTTTCCGCTCTTCGATAGCGTCTCGGGCAGGACTCGCGGACGTCTCCATAGATGGGCCCCATTGCGGCGCGGATATCTTCGAGGTGTAGTTCTTGTCCTGTTTCATCCATAAAGGGGTCTTGAACGTGCCCATGTTCTTGTCCTTGGACGAGTTGGAGAATTCGTTCCCCAGAAATGTAGATGCGAAACCCTGAAGGGAGCCCCATGGTTCCCATATACTTTGTTTCCCTGCAGCAGGCGACTGTGAACTCGACGAGGACCTTGTGGGGGTTTTATTGGTTCGGCCATTTCTGGGTTTGTCCGTTGACTTCGACCTGGTCACCGCGGCTGCATTGGGAGACACGCCTCGACTGGGGAAACGTGGGGGAGTAGAGGAGGTTGAAGTAGTGATGGCGGTCGACTCGGTATTCTCATCGTCAATGTATGATATGAGACGACCAGTGCGAGGCCGGAGAGTCGAAGTACTGCTGTTGGTAACCGAGTAGAGGTTTGTTTGAGAGGTGTTGCTCATGGCTTCCCTGACTGCCGATGCAAGACATCGAGGGTCGACGACATCTGGGAGCCAGAGTGCTTATGTTGTAGTCGCGGGAGCGGAGGAAACCGCGTGCATTGACCTTCGCCGACGCTGCCAACTGCGTTGCGGTCCCAGGATGACGGGCACAGCTGTCGTGGTAAGCAGTGCGGACGCGAAGGCTGCCGGTCCTCGCAGACCAGGTGGAGGACCTGGATTCACGGTACGGAGTACGATAACTGTGATCTAGCAGCGAGGGTGGAAGCACGTTGGACGCCCGGGAGGGGCTCTGCTGGACGCTTCGGAGTCCTATTCTGTTGGTTGCAGCCGCCGACGTCGACCCTGCGCTAACCGGGGTTCGTGGCGAGCACTGCGCTCTCTGCGATACTGTCCGCCGTACCCAGGAAAGAAACAAACACATGCCTGTCAGGGACGAACGAAGAAGACCACAGCACGTGCTGCTTTAGGTGTTCACGTGCTCGACGAAGGGCATGTAGTGCTTATATTCAATAAAATAAACTTCCCTCTCCCTCTTCGCACCATCACTATGGCTATCGCTTCGGATACATGTGACGTTAGCTGCCACTGCTCGCTCTTCATCCTTTCCTCAACTTCAGATACCCAATCACACAGCACACTGCTCAAACATGCTCACCATATTCCATCACATGAAATGGCAGTTCTCCAATCCACCAAACCTTGCACCACTCCACCAGGTGCCCACGGATGCAAACAGGTAAAATACCCAAGGGAAAGTACTATGTATGAGAAAAAGGGGTAGTTGTGTTTCATCGTAGACGGGCATTGGCTGCAATTCCAGTCATTCACACCTCCAGCTGTATAATGCTTGTCGGCTCACGATCTAGTTCCATCCCAAGCTGTTCTCAGCCATAACGGGCGGACTAATGTACGTCCGTCCACTCCTCTGAGAATTGCTGCGATCACTTGTTCTCGAGGTACGGCCAGCGAGACCACCAAATCGAGTGCCGTAGCTGCCTCTCGCGCCAGCCATGAGATTCGAGTTTTCGCCAGGACGTGCGCCGCGGTTACCTGATTGCATGCTGCTTGACCTTTGGTGGCCAGCCTTGCGCTTCTTGTACCGACGAGCGACAAGGAACATTGCGGCTCCGTATACAGCAGCTCCAGCGACGGCGCCGACCGCGATGCCGACCGAAGACGGACGAACGGGTGAGCTGCCCGAGTCATTGCTGCCCGGAGTGCCGCCATCAGGGGTACCGCTGTTGTCCGAGGTTGTCGCAGCAGAGTTCGCCGAGTTGACTGGGGTGCCACCACCAGCGATGGCAGAGCCCGGCAGAATGGGAATTGAAGGATCGATCATGCCCATCAGCGTCACCACCGACGGGTTCGGGTTTTGATAGAGCTCCGAGTTGGGATTCAAGAGATTCATGGACAGTGTATCGACTTTGTCAGCTGGGATGTAAGCCATGGCCAAAGTGGTGATGTAGTTCAGTGTGTCCAAAGTATTGTAAGGCTGTAGGTACTGCATGACAACCTTGTCCAGATCAAGACCCAGCCCATGTGATACACCGACGGGAAGATATGAAAAGATTTGCGAGACAGCAGTCGGTGAGGAGACGACAAAGGCATAGTTGAGACCATAATTGAATCCCAGCTGGATCAAAGTAGAGTTTTCCGGTGCATCCGGCACACCTCCTTGAGGTTGAATAACGCGAGGTAGGGACGTTGGGATCACTGCAGCGCTAGTTGAAGTCGATTTCGATGTCATGCTAGGCGGAGCCGTCGTTGCGGAGATGATGCTTGAGTCCGGAGTCAAGACCGTCGCAGAGTCTGTTCCCGTAGGTTTGACAGTGTTGGTAGGTGGAACGGAAGTCGTCAAACTTGCAGTTGTCGAAGGCGTGACAACGGGAGTCGTCACAGGAGTAGTTGTGTTAGCGACGAATGGAGGCACATCGGGAGTCGTTGTAGGAACAGTGGTAGGTGTTACCGTGGGTGTGGTCTCTGTCGTCGTAGGGGGAACAGTCACGGTATTGTTTCCAGCATCTGTAACCGAACCCGTAGGGCTAATAGTTGGTGGCAAGGTAGCAGAATCTGTTGGACTGATGGTGGGAGGTGAAGTCACTGAATCCGTGGGGCTAATAGTAGGTGATACGGTAACCGAGTCCGTTGGACTGATCGTGACTGAATCAGTGGGAATTGTTACTGAATCAGTAGGCAGAGTAGGCGATACAGTCGGCGAATCAGTGGGGAGTATCGTTAGAGTACCGGTTGGCAGAATTGAGTCAGTACTCGAGGCTGTAGGTGATAGGAATGAGTTCAGGTCACTAGTCACATCAGCAAGACCACCAGTCGTAGTGGGCGCGGCCGAAGTAATCACTGAGTTTGCCGAGCTCACTTCAGATGCGACCGAAGAAGCAGCATCGGCGGCAGACGACAGGGCAGAAGAGATTGATGCGATGTCGGAACCTGATGCCGTCGAGGCAACGGATTGCAAAGAACTTGCGACGGACAAAATCGAGGTAGCAGCATCGCTAGCTGAGACGAGAGCTGATGACGCCGCAGAGGTAATCGACGCCAAAGCGTCGGGATCCGTTGTACTCGTGGCCGACTCAGTGGCAGGATCAATGATACTTGAAATGATAGAATCAAGCCCCAATGTGATTCCTCCTTCGTCCGAGCTTGATGTAGCAGTAGGTGTCCCTGTGATCGTCGCGGTGTCCGTTGCGGTGGCAGTTGTATCTGTGTTAAAATCTGTCGGAACATCAGTCGCAGACGGAAGAATCACATCTGGTGTTACTGATGGAATGCTCGTATCTGTAGCTGACGGCGAAGCTGAATCGGTAGACGTGTCTGCGATTGTTTCCGTGGCAGAATCCGTTGGATCAGGACTTAATGCTGGGTCGGTAGTTTGCGCATCAGTGCTTGCTGCTGTTGATGTTGTGGTGTCGCCAGAAATGGCAGATGCTACCCCGGACAGGGCATCTCCTACCGACGAGATCAAGCTCCCCAGGCCAGAATCCGTCGAACTTGAACTGGTAGAGTCGGTCGGACTACTCGCGTCTGTCGTAGTATTGTCGAACGTGACCTGCCTCTTGACAACTCGCGGAAAGTAATACCTGGGCTTCAAGTCCGCACCGCGTCGGTGAGCGGGGACAGCGTCTGCAAATGATCCTGCGATCACAGCAGCAAAAAGAGTAATGGATGAGATCTTCATCGCGCAGTAGATGGCTTATAGCCGAATTCCTGTGCAAACCGTCAGCACAATCCTTGCCAATCCAAAAGATGTTCCCGCACTTGATATTCTTCCGTGAAACGAGCGTATAAGGTGAGCGTATATGTTCAAAAGAGTGGCTAGGATCAATTGATCCTGATCGGGATTTTCAACAAGTTCGTCCCAGACGATATCTTTCGCTGAGTCGTCTTCTCCGGTCAACTGACTGTCACACTGATGGACAGAGTGCAGGGTGACCGGCCTCTTGGGGACAGAGTCGAGGGACTCCTTTGTCTCGTGTGTCTGTCGGTGGGAACGATCAAGTCGTCAAAGAATCCGAGTCATGTATTTTAAGCGATTTCTTTGACCTAGATTTGCCCTTTCGTCTCGAATAAAGAACCCGGTACCACCTGTACACTTCCTCAAATTCTTGGAACCAGCCAATTGCTTGCGAAGACGAATATAGTATCCCCAAGAGCCGTTGCTGTATATCCGTTCCCTACTCAACGGAGCGGCGAGTAATTCCACAAAGTATAGTTCGCGGAGGCGATCACTGCCGTGGGAAGGTAAAGGCGAAGGAGTGTGTTCGATCAGGTCGAAATAAGCTGAATCTCGAAAGGTTGAAGGAGTGTACGCGAGCTATTGCTGGCAAAGTCGTAGCATTCGAAAGGTTCAAGAACCTTGGCCGTCGAAGCGTAGTTGACTAGTCGAGGGGTACAGTTATCGGTCGCTAAAGGAGAGACGGCGACCACGGCGACGTTGACGGATCATCGAGGCTCGATGGTGAACGCGTGTTGGCGGGAATTGTAAGGATAGAGAACAACGACCGAGAGGGAAAGCATTGTCGAGAGACCCATCGAAAGGGAGAGGGCTGGAGAGGCTGCGCTGGGCATTGGAAAGGGAGGAGGAGCCACCAAGCGCAGGTGCTAGACCGAAGCTGTCGCCGTTGGTCGAGACAAGGCGTGCGGATTGTGGGCTCGGACCCAGCGCAAAATGGCGCCAACGGAGCGTCTCAGGCACCGTCATGGTACGGATGTTTCCACATAGATTACGAGCTTGACCATCTCGTGGGCCGCAATCAACCAATGCCAGCGCTGGACTCGGTTCAGAGTTTGGCCGCTAACTTAAACCCACATGGTCAAAATACCGCCGAACCGTCATCTTACGTGACACGGACGTTGCTGAGCCTCCTCCGCCCTTGCTCTGCGTCTTTGTTGCTGGTCCTGGCTTTGTTCTTCTGCCCCAAGGCAATCTCGCGGTCAATCTCGTTACGCTGCTACCGCACGCTGTGGCTGCTAATACCTTTCCCGTCTTTGGTCAAGGCTCGAGATGGACCTGAGTCATTCTTCCTCTCAAGCATTGACGAGCTCGTCGATCATCACAGCCCTTCTGGGCGCAGAAAAACCATAGTCAAGCTGCTGGCTCTGGACGAAACGCTCCTCCAAACAGTATGTGCGTCCGATTCCTGCGACGGCGGAGATGGCCAGCGTAAATCTCTTCGGAATGGCCAAAAACAAGGATTGCTTCAAGGTGAGCCCTTGTCAAAAGCCCTTTTGTGATGCGTGGCCGTTGTGGCACTGCGCCGCCAGTGAGGATCAAAAGCATGTCTGGAGCACAAGCAAGCAATTTTAGGCCGGGAACAAGGACCTGAGCCAGGAACCACTTAGAGCCCAATCGCGTATTAGCCAGACGCCGGCTGATGGCCCTCGATCCAAGCGGGACCGTAGATTGGCTAGGAAAAATTCCATCATCTTCTCCATCTGCCGCCCTGTTCGTAATCCTTGGAACGGCCCAGATGCCAAGGGCGAACATCAGCACCAACATCTACGGAGAACTGGTGTACTCGTGCTGTGTATCGTACGGCCGTCGCACTGCATGAGCGGTATGTATATCGCCTGCAGCCTGGTATGCAAAGAAGAGTTTGCGGCATTCGATTTGCATAAACAGTGGGTATCACAGTACCGCATACGAAGCCCTTCAGGACTTGGTCGCCTTGACAAGGATGTCATTGCGAAGATATCCGCTGAACAAGCGTCGGCCCCACTGCCGAGCTGCCGACGTTGTTTCATTCAGGGGTAACTCACGCGCTGTCTGAAGTCTCCGAAAAAGCCACATCTCATGCCTTGAAAGCACATGGATGCTCCAACCGGAAATTTTACTAGTCTCGATTTTCTTCCATGTGCAAATCCGCGTACTCGTACCCTCTGCCGCCAAACGGACTACACAGCGCGAAAGCCTCGAGCATTCCACCGCTATGATGCATCATTCGGGATGATCAGTGCTCAAATTCTCAACCACATGGCATGCAGTGTGTTGATCAACAACTCGGTTCAAACACAGAGCATCAGAGGTTTGGTGCAAATTTATGGATCGTCGCCTAATGTGAAATATGTTCATTGTATTTGCGCAGCGTACAATAGTTCTTCATCAGAGTAGTACCCGTAACGGCCTACTCGCGGTCTGATGAAATCAGGGCGAGAAGGTGCTGGATGCTACGATTATTGGAATTGCTCGACTCTTGTGCGAAAGTGATTAGTAATAGTATTTCTGTTTAAAGCGTGTCTCTAACATCAAGCTCGTTTTCGATCATGCCAATCAGCCAACTACCCGCGATATAGCCAAGACACAGACTCAGAGCGGACCGCCCTAGAAATGCTCACTGCTTATAGCTCCCCGAGCACGGCGACAGACAGTTGTCGCATTCATGGTGAGTTCTGGATCATGCTACAGGACAAGCAAATAATCAGGAACAATGGTTGCGAACGGTGACAGATAGACATGAATATGGTTCTGGTCCGGTTGAAGGTCTTTGGTTAGCCCAACCGATAAATGCTACCCAGTACATAGTCAGGTGAGAGCTGTACACAGTACACAGTAGAGGCGGCGAAACACGCATGACGGGCACTCGAACTTACACGAGCTCGACGGAACGCACCCAGTCTGAGCATTATTTCGTCGGGGCTGTTCGGAGCACTTGTAGCCGATCATCAGTCGGACCTCGGTAGAATGTTCAGCCCAGAATGTGAAGGCGTCGCAAAGGTGTAAGTTGGAGGGGTAGGCGATTGTCATCCGTCGCCGGGCAATAAAGATTCTCAACTCCCCTGCACAGTGAATGAACATTTCAGATGCTTATCGTGGTTGTTTCATGGACCGTATCCGGGGAACTTGGTAGGATGGTCAGCTCAGGCCGAGATCGGGCGGCCAAAGAATGGGAATGGGGTCGTGTGGGCATCGGGGTTGAAAGGCCTGGAGCACGTCATTTGCGACTGTTCGTCTTTTTTGCCCGCAAACTGCACTCTGATCCACTCGGTAGATGCGCTTTGCGAACGATTCTAAAAACGTCGCTTGACCTCGTCCGTTCGCCCTCCAGCTGCTTATTACTACCTGATCTATTGTTCATTCAGTCAGTTGCTGTTGACTGACCAACTCAACTGGCTCTCATATGTCCTTGAACGTACTGATCAGCAGCCTGCAAGTCGTCGAACTTGTGCCCCCACCCCTCTCCGACCACCGCCACCATGTCTGAGTCAGGTTCTTCTTCCACACCGCCCTTGAAGAACCCGAAGCTCAGCGCAATGAGCAAAGCTTTCCCCCACGTTGACCTCGACGGTCACGATCTACCACCATCACCTGTACCGTCGAGCCCCAGAAGTGGTCGGCAGTATGCATTGGCGACGCAATTGGTCTACTCAGAGGGGAATGACCAATACAATGCCAGCAGCGTGCCCATATACCAGGTCGGTTGATACAGCTCTAGCTCGGTGTTATGAACCCACTAACTCCCCATAGTCTGCGACTTTCAAGCAGACCTCTGCCACAGGCGGCGTTTCCAACGATTATGACTACACTCGGAGCGGCAACCCCACACGCACCCACCTCGAAAAACACCTCGCAAAAGTCATGCGCGCGAAGCGCGCACTTGTTGTCTCTTCCGGTATGGGCGCTCTTGACGTGATCAGCCGCCAGTTGAGACCGGGCGACGAAGTGGTAACAGGCGACGATTTGTATGGAGGAACAAATCGGCTGCTGAAATATCTGGCCACGCATGGTGGGATTATTGTTCACCATGTCGACACCACAACACCTGAAAAGGTGCAGGAAGTCCTGAATGGCAAGACGGCCATGGTTCTGCTCGAGACGCCCACGAATCCCTTGATCAAGATTGTAGACATCCCGACGATTGCAAGCATGGCTCACGCAGCTAATCCTGCGTGTCTGGTGAGCGTGGATAACACCATGCTCTCACCCTTGCTGCAAAATCCACTGGAGCTTGGCGCAGATATTGTCTACGAGTCTGGCACCAAGTATCTGTCAGGCCACCACGATTTGATGGCGGGCGTAATCGCTGTCAATGACGAAGCACTCGGTGAGAAGTTCTACTTCACGGTCAATGCCTCTGGCTGTGGCCTTGCGCCTTTCGACTGCTGGCTGCTGATGCGTGGAATCAAAACCTTGAAGGTGCGCATGGATGCACAACAGGCCAATGCCATGATGATCGCCCAGTTCCTCGAGTCTGCGGGCTTCAAAGTTCGCTATCCAGGCCTCAAGAGTCACCCACAATACGATCTGTTTCACTCCATGGCACGGGGACCTGGTGCAGTCTTGTCCTTTGAGACAGGAGACATTCAGCTGTCCGAACGGATCGTCGAGTCCGCCAAGCTGTGGGCTATTAGTGTTAGCTTCGGATGTGTCAATTCCCTCATCAGCATGCCTTGCCGCATGAGCCATGCCAGTATCGACGCAAAGACACGAGCAGAGCGTGGTGTACCGGAAGACCTCATCCGCTTGTGCGTGGGCATAGAGGACGGGGAAGATCTACTAGATGATCTTCAAAGTGCCTTGGTACAATCCGGCGCCATGAATGTCACCCTTGATGGGATATATGCGAAGAACGCAACAATCGGCGACGAGCATCCCGCCGAAGGAGAACATTTGGCGGCTAAAGCTGCCGCCATTAACGAGCCCTGACGAGGCTCTTGACCAGTACGATCTGCCGTGGACGGTCTCAAGATCCGGGGGACCGTTGAAGAGGCTACATACTAACGGTTGGCGGCAAAAAGGAAAAAGGCAAAAGCTATTTTCCAGGCGCCAAAGCAGGCTATACTCCGCCTGGACAATGACAGTCTCAAGGACGACCAAAAAAACTATTATCTTCTGTTCCCGGTGACTTGTGTCCGCCGGGCAGCGAATTAGATAACCACGAACATACTATATCGATCCACACATAGTGGACAGGTATAAAAGCAAGATCTGTCCTCGAATCACTTGATCACAGTTGTCTTTCGATATCCCACCGGAGGTACACAATCCCAGTTGCTGACACCCAAGTCTTTTGTAGAGCCTTCGCGGCTGCCACTTCCACCAGAACAATGTGCTCCGAAAAAATAGCTGCTCAGGAGTTATGTTCCAAATATCTGGCTCTTACAAGCGGCTGAAGACGAGACAATCTCACTCTCTTAAGGTTTTTGCCGCTTTATCTTTTCCTGTCTGACTAGCATGCGCTGAAGACTCGCCAGCTTAACTTACATTTAAGGTGGTCAGCAAGGCTGAACTCGTTGTCCCCTGGAGATTGAAGCCAGGCGCACCTGGCAAACCCCGCGATAGCCCCTCATCACGTGTCAAAGTAACTGTCTATATATTTTGTATGCCTTCAGAATCGAGCTGAAACAATGTCGATTTGCGACACAGATTTGAAGGGGGATTGGCGCAGTATGTTCTCGCACCGCGGGAAGTCCTTGCTTTCAACTGCTAACGATGATCAGATGGTAGCGCGTGGCTCTCCTAAAGGCTAATAGCCTCCTAGATTACATCCGAAGCCAAGGTTGTGGGTTCGAGTCCCATGTTCCTCGAAATTTTTGCCCCTGTAGAGTCCTTTGGCGGTGGAATCGATAGCAAACATTTCTTTATGTCAACTTTTACACACCATATGCGTCGACAAAGGCACTCAGCAGTGGGAGGTTCAGACTTTTCGGAGATCCCATGGCCTACCTGGCTTAGTTGAACATGTCCCTCGCAAATCGGCAAGATGTTGACACGGCCCATTGCCATTGGGAGAAACATAGGGTGGCCTTGCGAGGTAGGTCCAGGGGTCGCAGAGAAGAATACTGGTCCATGACCTTTTTAAGGCAACACACAAACGGTATGCCGTCACGACCGCGGTCGAAGGCGGAACGTCTAACCATACAGCGCTGCCCAACTTCGCATCTGCATCTGGCATTGAACCTCCCGGCCAACGCGATATGAAAGCAATTCTACTATTATACAGAGTGCGTTGCTACCCCTGTGAGGCCGTAAGTTGGAAAACCCAACGCCAGCCCATCTAGTGCCACATTTGTCTAAACCGAACCCGCCCTTGAGAATGACAGCCAACAACGCCAACAAGGCACGCCAGCAACGTAACGCAATAAGTCGTTGAAGGTGTCAACGGCCACCGTCGAGGTCGCGTGATTAGTTTTCGAGCTTGGCCATGAAGCTCTTCCGCATATTAGCATTAACGACACCACCAACTCCAAAGGCAGGGACTATCCGCCCCATTCGCGCAAAAGCACTAACGCCCCAATCCCTGACGATCCGAGAATAACGTTGACCGAACCCGAGACGGCCCTGTCTGTTGTACAGATCCAAGCCAAGCAGGTGGATTGGCGTCGAAATCAGCTGAATAGCCGCCGGGGCCAGGAACTGGGCCGTATTGGTCCGTCCCGACTCTGTCGACAGAATGCGCGACAGCCGGGATTGTACCTCCGGTGGCAGATTTGCGAGCCTCGGCGCGATCATGGAGGGTAAGTTGAACGAGGCAAAGATGGTGAGACAGTCACGCACGGCGAAGAGCGCGTACGATAGCTTCGGCACGACGGCTGCGAGTGACACGGAGGCGGCTGGAGAGGACGCGCCAAACATTCGCGCGAAGCACGAATCCTTGTATACGCACAGACTCGTGTTGACGGACGATGTGGCTAGGAACTTGCTCGTGCTGGGCGTCACTGCCGATGCAGGCTTGGAGGTCACTGTCGATTGGAAGGTGTCGACTGTATTTGCGGTGGAGTATGTCGCAAAGTAGAGACTGAAGACCAGGAGGAATGGTCTGCTGAAGATGAACTGGTGTGGTCGGGTGATCGCAGGGCGGAGGGAGCGCAGAAAGCAGGACGAGAAGGATGAGCCGTTTGCGGCTTTCTCGACGATCGACCTGTCCGTTGATATGGCCGTCAGTAAAGCCACGGTCGCCAGCGATATTGGAGGAGAATCGGCAGAGCAGCCATAGATACTGTAGGTCTGGCTATGTGCTAACCCAACGGCAGGGCTATAGACAACGCTTGAGGCCGATGTGCTCTTTAATTCTTGCTATCTGGAGCGCTGGGAAGACAGCCAACCAGGGTCACCTACCTGTCTATGATGGTTATGATCGGTGCAACCAAGACGGCAGCACTTGCAGCAGAAGTGAAGTCCGCACCCAGTCGCAGCCCCAAATTTGTGGTATTCCAGTGTACATTCCTTTTCGGCTCTATCATGACCTTCGGCAGCGGAGGGAGATGCATGTGGACCTCCGGAAGAGAAGCTGCTGGGGAGTCATTTGCTATCGTGCTTGAAGCCCTCTTTTCTTTGAGCTTGGGCAGAGGCTGTTGTTGTTCGGGCATGTTGGTCGCAGGAGCTTTTGCACGAGGTGCATTGATGCCAGCTGTATGGGAGCTGTTGCTAGCGGTTCCGGCAAGGAACGTAGTGAGTTGCGCAGAGGGGACTTCACAGTCTTGGCGTGTCCGCGCTCTGTTGACGATGTTGCTGGCAGGATTACTCGTACTGTGTCTCTACATAGGAGAATCAGTGTACGGAAGTTGACTCAAAAGATGGCTCGGGTCAATCTACACCGACCCGATATCGGCCCGGTTCCATCACAAGCTTTGCAGCCTTGCTCAATAGCCGACAAGGCTACGTCAAATGATGGATCCGGAAGACCGAGGCCGATCAATGAGGCACGCGACAAGACTATGAGCATGATGAGGATATACTTGGAGCAGCGACTGACACAGAATTATGGACCGCGAGACTGAACCCCATCCGAGCTACTCTCGGCTCAAGTTTGTGTTGACAGCTCGAATATACATTGTATGTGTGATGAGTAGGATAGTATGTGCATGGCGAGGGTCGAGGATTGGTACCACCAGTGTCGGAACAACTCCGCTCTTGACTTTATAAATCCTTCTTTTCTTGCGCTACTTGCGCAATCTCCGTTTCGACTTGCAGAGCCTCCTTCCTGCCCACATGAGGTCTCTTCCCGACCGCATTCTCCCCGCCAATTGCCCGGAAGGCGGTATAAAAAGTCCATTCCACAGCCTCCTCGACAGGCTTATCAAATAAGTATGGCAGGGCTGGTACTGCAGCGAGACCGAGCTGCCTTTCCGTTAGCGCCTGCGTTCGACAATGTCACATGCTAACTTACGCCTATTGGTCCCCATGTCCTCACTGTAGCATTCGTTGCACTCTTGAGCGCTTTCCCCGAGTATCTCACAATGGAATGTATAGTGAACGCCGGCAAACCCATAGACGCAATACTCTGAAACACGGCACGCTGCGCCATAACAGCCTTGTAGTCCTCGATCGCTGGTATGCGGACGGGATGTGTTGGGGGGATCGCGTCGAGCTTGCCCATCGGTTCTTTTTGCCTTCCGTCAAAGTGCTCGTCCCCTTTGGGTGCAGCCAACTTCTGATTCCTCTTGTATGCCTTGTAACCTTCATGACTGACGTCGCCGAGAATATATGCCCATGAAATACCGTACGCGCTCCTAACGAGTATGGGATGGGCAATAGGCCGAAATGATTCGCCAATGTCTGAGGTATATGCGACATAACGATGGGCGCTCAACATGATGGTGCGCAGACGGTTGGCGTATGCGGCATATCGCACGCTCGTTTCAGTCGTATCGGGCCCCTGCCCCTCGTAAATGTTGTCCCATATATCATCTTGCTTGTCAATCAACTTCTGCAGGTCTTTATTCAGCGGCTCTCGTGGAAAAGAAGAGTTCCCACGACCGTTCCCGTCTTTGCCAGCCATCGTGAAGGACGAATCTATTGAGAGAGAGCACCAGAGAGTCTGAAGCTTGGAGCAGATCTGATGCCCCAACCGTTACCTACTGTGTACAAGAGAAGGCGACAGAGGCAGAGAAGGCGACAGAGGCAGAAATGCCTCAGTGTCGGGAGGAGGCGAGCTCGACTGTTGGCAACTACTTCTGGAGGTACCTACTGCTTCCCCAGCCCCGAAGCGGAAACGTCATAGCCTGCTACTGTAGATCATATGCTTCGTGTAGCAGCTCTCTCTTTGTACGGCGAGTCATGCCATCGAAGCTCCTGGTTTCTCAAATGCAAATCGCAGTTGATCAAGCGTAATTGAACAACTCCCTCAAAACACTTCAGTCGCACCTCAACCCAGAACGGACTACCGATACCTCCTGAACCGTCAAGATGGTTGCCATGTACACTGTTATGGGCCGCCAGGTCGGATCACACGTCGTATGTCACCATTGCTCGAAAGCCTGAATCCCTCTCGAGGCTTGCTACACAATTCCCTCTGAAACTGACGATTCGTAGCTGTCTATGGCTACGCTCGGCGCGGTTTTTGCCATCCCCTTCCTGTTGCCAGGTGGGAGCAAGAACAAGGACACAAGCACACCGTCTATCAACGCTTCGAGCAAAGACGAGGAGAAGTTCATTCAGTAAGGATATGGCACCGTCCTTCGCCTCTGAAATACCGTAACTCATGCCCCTTAGGGACTTTCTAAAGCAGATCGAGCAAGAAGAGAAGGGAAATAAAATCTCGGGAAAGGAAGCGCACTGAGCTGAGAAGAGAGCATGGCGACATGACAATTAAGACGACTTGCGCATTGTACATAAGCTAGACGGAACAAACGCCGCTATATCAGGCTTGACTCGAGTGCCGCGCATTCCCACAATGCTCACGGCTTCAGCTCAAAGACCTCCCCGTCTTCTGTTGGCCGACCCATCTTGACTCGTGCGAACCCTTTTCTCAGGTCCATGACAATTGAAAACAATGTCTGGCTGGTACTCTTCTCACCGACAGCCCTGTTGATCGCGGTAGGGTAGTTCTTGTCGTCTTTCAACATTTCACTAATCTTCTCCATCGATGGCTTGTCAGCGGTTCGCATCAATTCCTGAATGCGATCAAGGCGGAAAGGGGAGTCGTTCAAGAACAAAGTTCCCTCCACCTTGTGCTTCTTGATCAGATGATTCGAGTGGGTACAAGTCCCCGGCAGCTGACCGTCAGTTTCCATGGGCATCTCGATTATGTCGAGAGCTGTGCATTCGAAGCCAATTCCACCGCTGGAGGAATCAGCAATTGTGATATGACAGGCCGAAGCGACGCCTGTCTTGCGCAGAGCATCCGCCGCAGCTTCTTTAGAAGCACTATCCAGAACTGTCCTGAGCGCAAGATGGCATGGAAGCTTATCATAGGATACGCCAGGCGCCTGTATAGCGTTCAGCGTGACGCCCACTCCAGCAGAGTTGAGGCCAATCTTGCCAATGATGCCGCCTTCGGTCATCATGTGGATATTTGCCTTGGGAGGTTGCTTGATTGACAGACAGATGATATTCGGCGTCTGCTCGAAGTTCCAGTCCCAATTCTGGGCAAGAAAACTGGCATCTGACGTCTTCCAGGACAAGGCCGTGCAGCCATCGCTCAACATGCCATAGGCGATTTCAGTGCGCACATTCAGTGCGACGATCGATTCGAGGTCCACTCCGGCGCCATCAGCGACGCCGTGCATCTCCTCCACATATTCTGGGTACGACGACTCGATGAATGGAACGAATCGACGAGCCACTTCACGGACCTCTGGCCATGCCAGCTTTGTTCTTTGCTTGAAAAACGCTCCATAAAAGGCGATACTGCCGTGTACCTCGGTTTTAGCTCCCTGACCGTGCAGATAACCGATCTGGAAAGGCCGTTAGTAGCGCCACTGTCTCCATGGCTTTGGGAGCCCAGACATACTTCATAAGGCGTTCCAGAACACTCAATATGCTTCACCGGCATCTTGAATAGCAGTCACCTGGTTTTTCGCGTGCAAGCAGATGAAGAGTTGTGACGGAAACCGCACGGAGTGGTGGACGACTCGTATTTCAAAGCAGCGCACCGACCACGATCTCCGCACGTCACGGAGTTGTGCGTGATGATTGTACATCGTAGGGGCAGAACTGAGTATGTTCAGCATGTTACACGGATAGTTGTACACTAGGCGATTGGCCTTCGCAAAGCGACCCCGGCACGAAGGTGAGAAAGGCACGGAGTAGACAGCTGCCACAAGGCCACGACCATCGCACAAAGAATGCTTCTCACCTAATCACTGAAGATGATCGGTAGGAACAGAGTCTTGCACATGGCTCGTGCCGAATTGACTTCCGCTTTGAGTGTGAGTTGATCTGTTTCTCCAACTCGCGCCGCCGACGATTATCAATATCACTCGCGTCGCACAGTCAACTACGGATTGCATTCAACGGAATTCTCTTAGCGGGCTCGCATCCACCATTCTGTGTTAATAGTCTGAATCGATATTCATATTCAATTTGGTCTAGCAGCGTCGATCTTCATGCGCGTACCATTCCCCCTACAATTGCGCGTGGGCACAGATATCATCGCAACGCACAGGATCCTGTCCCCACTCCGACCTGATATCCGACGGGCAGTCAAACTCACCAATCGTTTCTTACTACCGCAAGAGCTGAACGAGCTCAGCCGTCGCTTTCCAGCATGGAACGATGCACGTGCACAAGCCCGACCTCCGACACAACACATTGCTGCTTGGATAGCTGGCCGGTGGGCTGCCAAAGAAGCAGCTAAAAAGGCTTGGGGCGCCTCCCTACTCAGCTTTCGAGACTTGAGAGTTGAAGCAGACTCTGGTGGTGCTGTACACGTCGTCTGTGATATGAACACGATCTCGCGCAACTTGGCAGACCACCCTGCCTCTTCCAACACGGTGACGGAGCAGGTTGCCCAACTGAGTATCAGCCATGATGGAGACTACACTGTTGCGACAGTCCTCGCCACGCCACTACATCCAGATATATCGTCCGAGCTCGAGCAGCGGAAAAGTCGAGCAGAGGCAAAGGTTCGCGGTCCCATACCGTAAATCAGAGAACCATTAGATCAAGGGATCCGGCTCATCAACCTTCCCAAAGCGTACAGCACTTCCGTCGCTTCGGCGCTTTTCACTAAGTCGTAAGCAATTGGGCTGCCTACCAAGGCCAGCAACTTCTGCTTCAAGAGCATGATCCAATATGGACTGGCTTCGCCGGGTAAATGGATGCCTGCCTACTCTCGCCGTTGAGGAACGAACACCATGAAGCTCTGCATTTCGTTCGCTCGAACTCCCATGCCAAGGTCTCCGCTGTGTTGCCGTTCACACACGCCACAGGAGGATACTAGCATTCCAAAACAAGACTCCCAGAGCCAAAATGGTACCACAAGTCAGCACATTGGGGAGAATACCCTGGCCCCTTAGCTAGCTGCGGCTGGGGACGATGTCGAATGCACGACGGTCAAAGTTGATGCTCAGCCTGGGGCGATACTTGTACAGCACGTCGCGCGTGAGGGACAAGCCACAACACCCTGTGGTGTATGGGCTTTCCAACAAGTTCTAGCTAGGTCTCCCAGGCCCGCCAGGCCTAGCAGCCTACTCAACGGAACAAAGCCCGATAAGCAGCTACTGTATGACGCCGCATTCTCGGACCCGCGGGGGAACAACTTCGCCTCTCCCCATTATCCATCTCAGATACCTATATCGGAATCCATGATTTACGTTGGGAATGTGGTCAGATATGGCTGGGTGGTCGTTGAGGTGGCTATCAGAAAATGCCCCAACTTTCCCAACTCAATCACGAGCTTCATTGCGCTATGGGCCTCGATGAGGGGATTGACGCTGTCGCCAACCGAGCAGGAGGCGATCAGGACTACAACGGCTACTTCCTACTTGCTTGGGCTGAACACATGGCGGAATCGGCTGCTTTAAAGCGGAACGAATATCGGCAACACGGTCTCCAGGGCCCAAAGCAAGGATATTGCCTGAGGATAGCGGAAGTTCTTCGATGATGGCAGGCACAGTCGAAAAGCAACGGAAATTCTGGGGAAACAGCCTGACCCAGCAACCGGGCCGGCCAATGTCGTTGTAGCGAGATGCCATGAATTGTCTTGGCCTAGCCTTGTATCGGTCTCGACTTTTACGAGCTGATATCTCTGCCACTTTCGACTCAGTCTTCCTTATCCAAGTTGGTCACCGTGTTCGGCTTGTGTGCCACTTTCTTGTTATTTTGGTCGGTGAACACAACTGCTGGTGCATGACCTGCGCCTTTGGCATTTTCCAGTTGTTTGGCTTGCTTCTCGTCTGTGATTATCTGTTCGACCTATTGCAACACAGATGGGTGGTCAGTGATAGGCTGTGATGCCGACTTGGTCCTTAACAGGCCACAAGTTGCTCACCTCCCCTTCATGCTTGCCTCCACGGTACTGTTCTAGTAAGCATTTTTCCGACTTTTCCTGGGGATGACAATCTACTCACGGGCGTGGAGACAGTGTCTCCTTTCTCGATGGTTGCTCCGCCCTTTGATTCAAGCTCGGACATTGTTTCTTTCGGCTTACTATGGAAACTGTTGGTTGACTACGGCTTTGCTGGGTTTAAGATGCGCCATAATTAAGTAACGAGCCCCTCCTCTTGAGTGCAGCCACGCACCAACGTCACTTTGTACTCACGGTCTCCTTCCCCGCGAGGCTGGAAAGCCTGCGATCTGACTGGTCCGCTGTTCTAATTCCGTGGCGTCATCCATTCAGCATAGAGTATCGTGCCTGTCGATCTTCTGCAATGTCAACTCAGGTTTCACACTCGTTCGAGGCCCGACGGGGGCATGGAAACATCTCGAGTTCGCCTCTAGAGAATGAGATCATCGAGGTTCTCAAGCGTGACGTCAACTGCCACGACATTGCACACGACCATTTTTCCTTTACAGCTCGTCCCTCCTCGAACCGATTCTTCCATACTCCTCATAATCACCGTTTGAGAAAACAGTCCTCCCTCGAAGAAAAGAATTCCAGAAACAACCGCACTTTAGATCAATCAACAAACCCACCATGGCAGCCAAAAACGCCGACTCAATGACCAACGCCCAGGGCGAGTTCCATCCTAGAATGCCCCGTGCAGAGCCCATGGAGAAGTCCGGAGTAAGTACTCAGCCATCAAGACTCCGTGGTCTTGGAGAGTCAGAGGACTGTAATCCCGCCGACAGGTCACCACTAACATGTCTCTCGCAGCACCAAATGGGCCAGAAGACATCACCCGCCGACCACGCTCCGGAATTCTCGGCCAAGACCCTCCCACCAGGGACCGCACCTAAAGAATCAACCTTCCAGCCAAGTGCCACATCTGAAGTCCCGGGTCAAGCGTTCAACGACAACGTTGACCGCTCCCATGGCAAAGAAGGCGTCCGCACGGACCCCTTAAGCACCCTCCCCGGCGCCACATCAGCCGATGTACATACCGGCCTAGGCCACCCCGGTCAAGGTCAAACAAGCACCGAACTACGCCACGAAGGCCACCACACCTCGTCGAAAGCCACCTCCGGCCCCGAGGGCGCCGGTGCTACAGGTGGCAGCGGCCTACACAACCCTGACGACTTGAATCAGGAGTTCCGCCGGTTACAGGATGACAGCAACCACTCCACAGGCCCGATCAAGGAACATAACCAGACGCTGGCAGGCGCGGAGGAGAAAGAGCCGGTAGGTGCAGAGTTTGTGGCCAGCGAGTCAGGCAAGGCGGGTGAGCACGCTAAGGGAGCTGGCTCGAGAAACGCGACGACAGGGGCGTCAAATAGGGGTGCCGCTGCGCCCAGAGAGTAACGTGCCTCCTCATTGACAAAGGTCAATCGAGGGACGAAGGTTAGGCATGCCTTCGTGTCGTCATAGATGGTGACACGGACTAGGTGGACCGCGAGAGCCCGTGAGTTCGCATGTGTGATTTGCCCAAGGCTATATATCAATGCGGGCATGCTCCGTCCTCTGCCGTCTTCCTATTCCTTGTTATGGCGCAAGAAGCGCCATTCACAGCGAAGAGTTGTGTATGCCACATCAACGGCTGTCCTGTACAGAATTATAGAAAATCCACTAGATTTCTCAGTGACACGAATGGTCACATACGATGGGTAGCTGGGTGCAGGTCTTAACAGACTGAAGTTCAGCACAGGGTCCGGGTGCTGCGGGGGGTCAGGCATGAGACAAGCAGCATTTGGTTGTTGTTCAGCTGTGTTGAAGGTGTCGTCAAGATGAGGCTAGCGCGAGAATACGAGATCGCCTCTATTCAAGGACGACTCTGGTATGCACCTCCACCCTGATTTCGAGTAGACCGCACACAGCACAAAGTACAATAACTTCCCAACCGAAATGACTAATCAATGACTAGTCGCTCATCTACACCTTCCCTGCCCTTCTTTACTACCTTCGCGTGGCCATTGGCCCCACCATTTTCTTGCGCAGCCTTCCCGTCGACCGCCTCAATGCCTCCCCTCTCTTTCGTCCTGTGCTCAAAGCTATCCACCTCCACACCACTGATGAGAGCCTGGCTTACCCCTTCCAATCCAGCGACGAAAACACACAACAGACTCCCAATCACAAAGTGACTAATCGTCGTCCCTATATCCAACCAACTCCCCTCGTCCCTCACCATCCAGAAAAAATTCAGCGTCATGATGTCACTGATGCTCATCACCGTCATGAACAGTGCCGAGGACTGCAGTCCTAGCCTTCGGTTCAGGATGCCAAGTGCAGCAGAGATAATTGCAAAAGGCACCATGAGTTTGAAGAGCAGGAGGGCGCCTTGGGAGAAAGGGTCGAAGACGGGAATGAGGCGGTAAACTGCGTCGAGTGAAAAGGACGATATAGAGGCGATGTTTCCGGTTGAGAAGAAGGCGGATTGTAGGAAGAAGAGGAAGAAGAGGGCGCGGCGGAGGTCGGGCAGGGAGAGAGTCCGGAACGTTTGCTCAGGATGTATGTTCAACGAAGTGGGCGATTTCGAGGTTATGGTGATGCTGCTCGGAGGAGGTTGAGATGCGTTTGGCTGAGGTTGAGATGCGTTTGGCTGAGGT